CCTTTTGCTTTTTTTTTTTTTTCAACTCCCCATTCTACTGCTGTTGCTTCAGGTAGTTGAGGCGGATCTCAACAGCTCTCCTGTGAGCCTCAAGCTCCTCGACCTTGGCTAGTTGCATGACGGCACTACCGACGTTCTTAAGACCGTCGGCAGTGAGGTTGGAGCTGGTGATGTGCTTCTGGAACGAGCCCAGGTTGACACCCGAGTATTGCTTGGCAAAGCCATAAGTGGCTGTGACATCAGTTAGTAAGAATGAAGAATGACCGGTAATGAAAGAAAGACTTACGCAAAGAGTGGTTGACACCGGCAGAGTAGTCGCCGACACTCTCGGGAGTCCAGTGGCCAACGAAGACGCTGCCAGCGTTCATGACCTGGTCGACAGCCTTCTCTGCATCCTTGATCTGGAGGATGAGATGCTCAGGGGCATACTCGTTGCTGATACGCATAGCCTCCTTGATGTCCTTGACCTGGACGGTAACAGAGTGGGCAATAGAGCCTCGAACAATGTCAACACGAGGAAGTGCTATGGCTTGCTGGTGAACCTCATCCTCAATAGCCTGGAGCTCTTGCTCGCTAAGATCGACAGCAATCAATATGACCTGACTGTCGACACCGTGCTCAGCTTGAGAAAGCAAGTCAGAGGCAACAAATGCAGGGTTGGCGTCCTTATCAGCGACAACAAGAACCTCTGAAGGTCCAGCAGGCATATCAATGCCAACACCAGCATTTGTGTCGTTGCTAACATGCATTTTGGCAGCAGTCACGAACTGGTTGCCAGGTCCAAGAATCTTGTCAACCTTGGTTACGCTCTCGGTACCATAGGCAAGAGCAGCGACGGCTTGAGCACCGCCGGCCAAAACAATACTCTCGGCACCAACCTTGTGGGCGACGTAGACAATCTCAGGGGTAATGCGGCCGTCAGATCGAGGAGGCGAAGCAAAGACAATCTTTTGGCAACCAGCGACCATGGCGGGCACACCAAGCATCAGAGCAGTACTGGGAAGAACAGCAGTTCCTCCAGGGATGTAAAGACCGACTCGCTCGATAGGTCGTGAGAAGCGGCTACAGACAATGCCGGGCATGGTCTCAACCTGAAGAGACTTCTCCTCCTGTTGAGCAGAGTGGAATTTTCGGATGTTCTCAAAAGATACGTCGATAGCCTCGATAGTCTCCGGAGGAATATCCATCAACTCCTTAGGGAAGGGAGCCTTGAGAACAGGAGACGTCAAAGAAGTTGCCTTTTCGAACTTGTGGGTGTAAGACAGAACAGCCTTATCACCACCGGTTCGTACATCCTCAATGATGGGCTGGATGATCTTCAAGATAGCGTCAGGAGACTTCTGGGAAGGTCTCTTGAGCTTCTCCACGAGGTCGGTCTGGGAAATCTTTGTAGAGTCAACTCGCTCCATGGCAATACGTCCGTCAGCGGGCTTCTCAGCTTCAGGCTGCGATGGCTTCGCTGGGGCCTCCTCAGTCTTGATGCCCTCCTTCTCAGCCCACTTGCCCTTGGCATTACCTGTTCTTCGCTTGACCTTGAGACTCTTGGCATCGAGGTTAGCCTCAATGTCAGCGAGACTAACACCAGCACCAACAGCCTTGGTGAGGGCAAAGTAGATCAGGTCTGCAGCCTCAAAAGCGATGTTCTCCTTGGTCTTACCATCGCAGAGCTCCTCCGCCTCTTCCATAATCTTTGCCCTGAGGAGCTTCTCATCTGAAAACAGGCGAGCAGTGTAGGAGCCCTCGGGAGCAGATTCCTTGCGAGACTTGAGTGTTTGCTCGAGCGCAGAAATGCCACTGAGATCTCCAAAGCATCCGAACTGCTCCAGGTGGCAGAATCGGCCCTTCTGCTTAACCACAAACTTGAGAGTATCGTTGTCACAGTCGAGACCAATTCGCACCAACTCTTGGGTGTCACCAGAGGTGAGTCCCTTCACCCAGAGGCCACGCTTGCGGCTTTGGTAAACACCGCTTTGCGTTCGAAGTGCCTCCAGAATACTCTCCTCGCTAGTGTAAGCGAGACCCAGAGCGATTCCTGCGTCATCGGTAACAACAGTGGGGATCAGTCCATCAGTTCGATCGGACTTCCAGTATGAGGCGATAAGTTTTGATAGTAATAATCGAGTCGAGTCGTTCTTATCGGTTGTCAATCGTGTGGAAGGAATGATTGGGATCGCATTGGCCTTCTTGGTCACCTCGAGGAATTTCTGGATATCGGTTTCAGGGGTGGGCTTGACGTAAAGGTTCTTGATCTGCTTGGACTGCGCGACTTCAATGAACTTGTCGACGTCATTTGAGGAGACGTCAAAGTCCTTGACCAATAGACCGTCATCTGTCGCCGCTGAGAGAATAAGAGATGAGACAGCAGGAATTACCCTCGCGCCATACTGCTCGTACTCTGAATAAGATTCTGAAGTTACAAACACCGTTCGTACCCCGCTATCAAGCAATGCAATCACATCGTCGGGGTTGCTCAAGCTTGTAGCGTCCATGTGAGCATTAGAGCCAGCACTAGGGCGACCCCAGTCCTTGGAGGCTGTTTCGTAAAATGCACCTCCAAGAAGAGCAATCTCTTGACGGCTGAGGCCATCGTTGGCGGATTGGTCGTTGGGGCTGGCAACGCTCACCAGGAACGGCAATGGGAGGGTTGTTTCCATATTGCAGTGAGATGTATAAATCGAATTGGCGTAAGAGATGGTAGAAATTCTGTCACGTCAATTGTCCAGATGATGTTATTTATGAGTCAAGAAACCACCCGGGAAAAAGTTGATATAATGACTGAGTCCTCCTGCATCGGCGGAATTTGGTGGGGCAGTCTTTACGTCTTTGCCCCTCCATCTTTCTTTCCCTGCCAAAAACCACTTCGAATTCCGGCTTGTCCCAATGGATGAGATTTAAGGTGTGGTCCGTGCTCAATTCGCGACCTTTCATCGGATTATTAGAGTCTCCGAGGTGCTACGCGCGCATGCAACGGTGAATCCGTCGCAAGGAAATAATTCAATATCCATTAAGCTTTAGGCTTGGCATATTGATCTCTACTAAACTATAGCTGAAGGGCCAAAAGAGCTTTGCACATCAATCGCCAGCTGCGACTTAAATCTATCTAATCCGCACACGCGTCAACCAACTTCAGACGTAACTCGAATATTCGGCGCGCAATCACCTCAGACATTCGACGAGCTCCCGCATCTCCAATATTCCCTCCAGGGAAACCTATCACTGTCAATATGTCGTCAAGCCAACCGCAAACCAATGGGGTTCCGGCCTCATCAGCAGGAACTTCACAAACAGTACCAAACACCCAAACTACGGCAGCCTCGTCCAGTCAACCCGCTGCTACAGCCTCGCAGAGTGCTCCTCCTCCTCAAACACCATCAACAAGCGCTCCTCGACCGCGCGACTCTCGTCTCATCGAGCTTCTACTCACATCCCAAGGCGTCACTGCCTACGAGCAACGCGTCCCTCTTCTCCTTCTCGATTTCGCCTACCGTCATACGTCCTCCGTCTTGAGCGACGCCCTCCATCTGTCGGGCGACCCATATGTTAGAGAAGCAGGCTCTAAACCATCAGCAAATGCCGGCGCCATCTCAGCACCAGCAGGCGATGCCGCGGTGACAGCCAATGCCGTTAAACTCGCTATTGCAGCACGACTCAGCTACCAATTCCGAGGAGGAAACGCTGGCGGAGGTATCAGCAAAGAATACATGCAGGAACTTGCGCGCGAGCGGAACAAGGTGGCACTGCCCAAGATTGTACCAAGCGAATGGGGTGTCCGACTACCAAGCGAGCGGTTCGTGCTTAGTGGAACGAGCTGGGGTCTTAAGGATGTGTGGGACGAGGATGAGGATGAGGATGAGGAAATGGATCAAGGAGGTGATGCCATGGAGGGCATCGAAGGACCTGAGCCCGAGGATGTTGGTGGAGATGGTGTTGAGGGTGGCACTGTCGAAGATATGTTCGGTGAAGACGTCGACGAAGAGATGGCAGAGGAGGACTAGGTGCCCGTCTTGCCACCCAACGGAATCGCATAAACTGGAACACATATGAATGGTGTTAATGGCGTTTGAGGCAATCTGGGTAACGGGGGGTGTATGCTTGTTCTACAACGCTATAGGAAGGCTATCCAAACATGTAAAGGGTTTGCGTAACCCTTGGTGAACGTTTGCAAGCGAATCGTAATAAATATTGTCCTTTGTGCCATACAGCTTGGCAGCTGAAGAAAATCATAAAGTTTTAACCCCTGCTCTGTGCCACAATAATGATCTGCATTCGCGATTGAGTATACTCGGGATCAATTAATGACAGAGAAGCGGTTTATGCCTAGAAAGCGCACATGATCAATACGCGCGAAAGTACATTCAGTACACAATTATCACAACTCCATGTTACCTAGTATGAACAGAGGAAATCTTATGGTACACTAGGCCTGTAAACGGTATCTCATACACTCTATACCCTGGTTTCGATTTTCACAACTCCACTAGCCCTCTCTAACTTAAAACTTGGGCTTCATGGTGTTGCGAAGTCTCTGGTAGTCGAAGAGACCCTCGATAGTTCCCACAGCACTGACAGCAATATCGCGGTCCCAAAGTTTTCGGTTGGCGAAGTCCATAATATCCTTCTCGGTAATGGCGTCAATCTTGCGCTCAATCTCGTTAGGAGCCATGCGGCGGCCAGTGGTGACGAGCTGTCGGCCAATGTCCTCAGCAACGGCAGTGGTGCCGTCGAGGGAGAGGAGGATGGAGGCCTTGAGCTGAGCCTTGGCACGCTCGGTCTCGGAGGCGCTGACGTTGGTGCAGAGACGCATCCACTCACGGATAGCGAAGTGGACGAGATCGTCAACTCGGTCAGGCTTGTCGGAAACGAGGTAGATACCCCAGAGACTGGGAAATGTTAGTTACAGTGAAACAGAAAGCGTCATGTCAGAACTTACCCAGTGTCGTTGTAGCTGGTGGAGAAGCTCATGAAGCTGTTGGCAAGATCGTGCTTGTGGACCCAGCCGCTGAGCTTGCTGCCCTGGTGGGGAGCCTGGCCAACAGCCTTGTCGTAGTTGCCAACGATAGCCTGAGCAACGAGAGCAGTGAAGTAGTCCTCGGAGTTCCAGCTGACACCCTCGACGGCGAGAGCGATGTTGGCAGTAGGCATGCCATCATCTCGGACACGGACGTCAGAGCCCATGAAGTCAGCCTTCTGCTTGGAACGGAGGTAAGCACCGGTCTGGGGACCGCTGGTGGGAAGACCAGCGAAGTGCTTCTCAGCAAGCTCGACAAGCTGCTCATGGGGAATACCACCGGCACCAACAAGAACCATGCGGTCAGCAGTGTAGTTGTTCTTGATGTAGTCGGTAAGCTCGGTTCGGGTGATGTCGCGGATGTTCTGCTTGGGGCCGAGGATGGTGCGGCCAAGGGGCTGGTGCTGGAAAGCAGTGGCGTGAAGGTGATCGAAAACAACCTCCTCAACCTGCTTCTCAACCTCCTCGGACTCGCGGAGGATAACGTCGCGCTCACGCTCGATGGCGGATTCCTCGAGCTTGGAGTTCTGGAGAATATCGGAGAGAATGTCGACACACTGGGGAACATCAGAGTTGAAAGCCTTGGCGAAGTAGACGGTGTTCTCGCGCTGAATGAATGTTAGCATCATTCAACCTCCATATCCCTTCATCCGACTGACCGAAGTATAGGCGTTCAGGTGACCACCCATGTTCTCAATCTCCAATTCCAATTGCTGCTGAGTTCGCTTGGCGGTACCCTGATAACATTGTTAACGATGATTTCGGCCAATTGATGGGTTGTCGAACCTTGAAAGCGAGATGCTCGAGAAAGTGGGCGGTACCGTTGTTCTCGTCAGTCTCAGCTCGGGAACCGGCATCGATCCAGACACCGACGGTCGACGTTTGCGCGAAGGGCGAGTGCTCGGTAGCAACCTAGTAGTAACAATCGTCAGGAGACCATTCCGAAGTGGTTCTCGAAGCCAATTGGCCCCGGGCGATGATGCTCACAGTCAATCCATTCTTAAGAGTTGAAGTCTGAGTCTTGCCGACGGTAGAGGGAGTGGCAAAGCCTCGTGTGAAGGGAGCGGCGGCCGAAAGACCAGCACGGTTTCGCAGACCTCGCGAGAGGTTCAAAGCCAGTCTCCGGGACGCCATGACGCAGGTTTGGAGGGTCGACGCTGAATTGAGTGGTTTGATGAAATCTTTCGATCTGGCTCGGCTAGAAGCTTTACTGAGATAATTTTGAGCCTGAGCAATTAGGCGCATAGGATTAGTCATTCCGACCGTCCCCGAATCACAGCAACCGGCTTTATGATATCATCCAATGGGAGGCGCCAATTACTAACCACTCTCAGCCCCACTCTGATCCAACGCCTACCCGTTTTCGTCTCTACAATATCAACAACTTACATGATTATCACACAGCATCAAAGCATTTTGCTGTTATGATTGCATGATTGTTACGATTTGCTCTTGCGATTGAGAAGCTGTTACCAGCACAGTTACGAACGTTCTCTACCTTCAGATTCTAAGTCGCTTAATAAACGCTTTACTACTTAAAGTCTGCTCCTATCACTCTTGTTTCAACTGCAATGCCATCTGACGAGTACAATTTTGGCGATGTCTTTCAGAAGATCTACGTCTCTAAACAGAAATCTCCTCCGCTTCCGGTTCCTGAAAATATGAAGGTTGTTCTTCAGAGCTTTCCGCCCCTGGGGCAAGTAACCTCAGTTGTGGGTAAAAGTGTCACTCTAACAACTGTTCTTGAGATACCCAAGTCTCGTGCCGACGAGTCCTGGGAGGTCTCAGCATGGCACTCCGTAGACAATTCAGACTGGAAGGACTCGCAGTTATTCTCCATCCAGAATGCTCCAGCACCTCAGACTTTGCAAACATTGGACGACTCTATGTCTCGTTTCTATTTCTCTTCGTCCATCTCGTTTGAGGCTTCGATTCGATTCACTTTCAAATTTCGTCACAGTCCAGATGTTGAATGGAGATGGATCCGCGATGAACAAGGTCTCAATGATGGCTTAGCTGTCAATACTCCTTTTGGGGGTTTGTCTGACAATTTGTCCAATCTGATACCTGATATAAATACCAAGGACTGGACTATTAAATCACACTTGAGTCAGTCACCTCGGACTTCACTGTGGTCGCTTGAAGCCGACATTCCGCCTGCGAATAGCGATGAGTCAACTTATAGGGACATCACAATCGGGTCGCCTTGGGGTACTTGTGCAAGGTGAGTGGTTGACAAATCTCATATGCGTTATCAAATCGTCCAGGGTCCATCTTGTCTGACTAGGTACAGATGGTTCTCACTTGTTCGGTTGTGGTCACCATGGCTTGCTCCTCGACATGGAAAGTCGCACTTTTCTCTCGATAAGGATGGGGCTCTCTGTTGCTTTTTGAGCCCTCAAGGAAAAAGCCTCGTGTTTCTTGCTGTTAGCGGTATAAGTCATGTCTTACCAGTCTTCCGAAGTGAGCCGGACGGGAAAGTTCAAGTTCATGTAGGTACCTGCAACATAGCTTTGTGCAGCTGCTGATTATACAGGCACGAAATGACGGAGTTTCTGAAGAGAAGGCTGTCATCCTTGTTTCGGAGGGCGACGATTTCGAGTGTGCCGTAGCTTCGGTGATGTATCATGCTAGGAACTTGGTGTCGGTTACAAAGCAAGCCAATGATGAATCGAAACACGAGCTGACTGCTTTGATGAATGACTTCAAGCCAGAATGGCTGGAATACTGGTTTGATGGGCTTGGTTTTTGTGAGTTCGGCGTTCTATTCACGCCCGCGAAGTTGGATCACCAACTGACGTACCATAGGTACATGGAACGCTCTTGGACAGAAACTAACAGACCAGAAGATCTTCGATGCTCTCGACAAGTTGAGCGAACATGAAATCAAGGTCTCGAGTCTTATCATCGACGATAACTGGCAGTCGATCGACTATCAAGGCCCTAGTCAGTTCCAATACGGCTGGACGGACTTTGAAGCCGAGCCTAAAGCGTTCCCTCAAGGCTTAAAGGCTACTGTGTCCCATATTCGAAAAGCCCACCCGCATATCCAGCATATCGCTGTGTGGCACGCACTGTTGGGATATTGGGGTGGTATTTCTTCTGATGGTAATCTTGCTAAGACGTACAAAACCATCGAGGTCACACGGGAGGATGCCGACCGCCGCAACCTTTCTTTGGGTGGCAAAATGACCGTTATCGCACAGAAGGACGTCAACCGTTTTTACGATGACTTTTATAGATTCCTGTCAGATGCTGGAGTCGATGCTGTCAAGACGGACGCCCAGTTTATGATTGATACATGGATTGAAGCCTCGCCTCGGCGAGACCTCATCAACACTTACCTTGATGCTTGGACTATCTCGACTCTGCGTCACTTTAGTGCAAAGGCTATATCTTGTATGTCACAGTTTCCGCAGGCCCTGTTTCACTCTCAGATGCCTACGAATCGACCCACGATTTTGGTTCGCAACTCCGATGACTTCTTCCCCGAGATACCTGCGTCTCATCCCTGGCACGTTTGGACAAACGCACATAACGCCATCTTTATGAGTTACCTCAATGTCCTTCCTGACTGGGACATGTTCCAAACTGTCCACGAGTACTCCGGATTTCATGCTGCGGCCAGATGTATTAGCGGAGGACCTATCTACATCACTGATGTTCCTGGTGAGCACGACATGAACCTGATCGGACAGATGACAGGTCTCACTCCCCAAGGGAAGGCTGTCATCTTCCGACCAAGCTCCTTGGGAAAGGCCATAGACCCTTATGTTGGATATGATGACGATTTGCTTCTCAAAGTGGGAAGTCATCATCGTAAGAACCTCTCTGCTAGGAAACCTTTTTCTTTGTCTTTCAAACTAATGAGATTGCAGGAGCTTCACATACTGGCTACCCCATCTTGGGTATTTTTAACGTCTCCTCCAGGCCATTGACCGAGCTTGTCTCTCTCTCAGGCTTTCCTGGTATAGTTCCTGGGTACTATGTGGTTCGCGCTCACACCACAGGCAAGGTGTCGCAACCAACAACGCTTGAGGGTTCGGGGTCCTTGTTTACAACTTCACTGCCCATTCGGGGGTACGAAATATTCTCCGCGTTCTCCTTGACACCTCTCTCCAGCTCGAAACATGGCGATGTTTACGTCTCGAACTTGGGTTTATTGGGTAAAATGGCTGGTGTTGCAGCAGTCATTATGAATGATATCAAGCAGGAGCTACAGAATAGCCGCGTTACGCTAGTCACACGGATCAAAGCATTCGGCAAGCTAGGTAAGTCAGACTGGTCTTGTTTAACGTCTGTCATGGTCTCACGTTTGTCTTAGGAATCTACATCTCCGCACTCCCCAGTCTAACCATTGATGGGGACTTTTTGATCACGATTCAAGAAAAAGTGATACCTGTGCATACAGTGGCTATTTCAGCTGTCGACAAGTATGTACTTGAGATCGACATTGGAAAAGCGTGGAAGGAAATGGGTCTTGAAAGTCGATGGAGCAATGACGTTGAGGTCAAGGTGCACTTCAGTCTTTGAAGGACTGATCACCATCAACAGCGTGGCGAAACAACATGTTAGGCACAAGTAGAGCTTGGAGATATTAGGATCAAATCTCATGTAAACAAAATTACCATTGAATGAAATTCTGGCTCTTCAAGAGTACCTATTGATAGGTACTAGGTAGAGTTGACAGAATCAAGTTCGGACATAGGGTAAGTCTATCTTCGGGCATCAACGAACCACAAACGGTAGCGCACTGGAAAAAAAAAACTAGCAGGAGCTCTGAAAAAAACCACGTTGCCCCACTTCCTTCGACAGACTTGCCTCAATTGGGTGTTCACCCAAAGAGAGAAGGAACTGCCCCTCCATTATCGGCGCCCCATCCCAGGGTCCCGCGTTCCCATAAAAAAGTTTTTGAGGCGGCACCACCAATCTTTTTCTCTTTTCTTTCTTTCGGGAAGAAGCGTTCTATCAATCTTAGCAGTCGATAAAGGCCAGAGCTTGCTCATCGACTCGTCTCGTCTTCGACCTCATATTTCTTAATATCTCCTTTACTTTATAGTTAGTTGCCCATTATGTCTGCCTCAGTGCTCGACCACACCAAGGCCCTTGAGGTTCTCAAGGAGTACAAGCAGAGGGATGGTCTCGACATCCACGAGCTTATGGACACTACCAAGCACGGTGGTCTGACCTACAACGACTTCCTGCTCCTCCCTGGCTACATTGGCTTCGCTGCCTCTGAGGTCAACCTTGAGGCGCCCATCACCAAGCGCATCACTCTCCGAACTCCCTTCGTCTCGTCTCCTATGGACACTGTCACGGAAGACGAGATGGCCATCCACATGGCTCTCCAGGGTGGTCTTGGTGTTATTCACCACAACTGCTCCCCAGAGGCTCAGGCCGACATGGTCCGCAAGGTCAAGCGATACGAGAACGGTTTCATCAACGACCCTATCGTCATTGACCCCAACACCACTGTTGGCGAAGCTAAAGCTCTTAAGGAGAAGTGGGGTTTCGGTGGTTTCCCTGTCACTGGTAAGTAACATCTACAGCACAACTCGTTCTCATTTCTGGTTGCATGATTATACACCCTTTCATATAACTTTCGTTCCACCGTATAAGACTATTGTCATGGGGAGAAACTATACTATGAACAACCACTACATCAATTTTTTCTATGGTCGCATCGCCCCGCACTGGAATAATAGGCTAATGGAAAATTTCAGAGAATGGCAAGCTTGGCTCTAAGCTTGTTGGTATTGTTACCAACCGAGACCTCCAGTTTGAGGAGAACCTCGACCAGGCCGTTACCAATGTCATGGTCACCGACCTTGTTACTGCTCCTGAGACCGTTACCCTCCTCGAAGCCAACAAGATTCTGTCCAAATCCAAGAAGGGCAAGCTTCCCATTGTTGACAAGGACTCCAACCTTGTTTCCATGATCTCTCGATCCGATTTGACCAAGAACCAGCATTTCCCTAATGCTTCCAAGCTTCCTGATAGCAAGCAGCTCCTCTGTGCTGCTGCTATTGGTACTCGCCCCGAGGACAAGCAGCGTCTCAAGCTGCTCGTTGAGGCTGGTCTCGATATTGTCATCCTGGACAGCTCCCAGGGTAACAGTATGTACCAGATTGAGATGATCAAGTGGGTTAAGAGCGAGTTCCCCGGTGTCGATGTCATTGGCGGAAACGTCGTGACTCGAGAGCAGGCCGCTTCTTTGATCGCCGCTGGTGTCGATGGTCTCCGAATTGGTATGGGCAGTGGTTCCGCCTGTATCACCCAGGAGGTCATGGCCGTTGGCCGTCCCCAGGCTGCTGCTGTCTACAGCGTCAGCCGCTTCGCCGCTCGCTTCGGTGTTCCTTGCATCGCCGACGGTGGTATCCAAAACGTTGGTCACATCGTTAAGGGCCTTGCCCTTGGCGCTTCCACCATCATGATGGGTGGTCTGTTGGCTGGTACCACCGAGTCTCCCGGTACCTCTTTCGTCTCCCGTGAGGGTAAGCTCGTCAAGGCCTACCGAGGCATGGGCAGCATCGACGCTATGCAGGACAAGAAGGCCGGTAAGGGCGGCAAGGACAGCCAAGCCAGCAACGCTGGAACTGCCCGCTACTTCTCTGAGGGTGATAGCGTTCTGGTTGCTCAGGGTGTCTCGGGTGCTGTTGCTCACCGAGGGTAAGTTCTATCCCATGATTTATTGGATTGTGGAATGCTAACATAGTCAACAGTTCGATCCAGAAGTTCGTTCCCTACCTCGCTGCCGGTCTCAAGCACTCTCTTCAGGACAGTGGTATGACCAGCCTGTCTGGTATGCACGGCTGCGCTGAGGCTGGTGAGCTCCGCTTCGAGCTCCGCACAGCCAGTGCTCAGTTGGAGGGCAACGTGAACATGGAGTCTTATGAGAAGAAGCTTTACGCGTAATGACATGTATTGAAAAATGATAGGATGATGATGGATTGGGATACGGAAAAAATGGCTGGTTTGTTTGACATGCAATCACTTGCATTAGGGATTTGGGCACAAGATTCAGAGGGTTTCTGGGATGAGGATACAAAGAGCCTCGATAAACTGTAGATCTGAATAGGCGTTTGTCCAACCATTAGAGGTGCGACGCGGGCGTTTTGCTGTCTGACTGTCTGAACAAATCGACAGAGACAGAGGTCATGAATTAAATTTTTATTGATACCCTCAGGATACTGAAGTGCTGCCGGTCGATCGGAGTTGTGATCTTTGCTGTGATGGTTAAAGTTTGATGAGATATAAGCACGAGTACAGAATTATGTACATCTTTCAATGAGCAAATTAGGATACACTCAACCACTTGACTATCTTAGGCAACTCGTCTCATCATTCAAGAAGCCGTGCTGAAATGGAAATCACCGAAACATTGGAGCACGGACAGCAATCCTGGAAAGCATCATGACATGCCAAAGTCAAACCATTCCTCAAAAGGGAAGGCGAGATGGAACGTCACTTACAAGGGTCTTTCCAGCTGAGGTTGAAGCTTTTTAGAGTTTCACTGCTGCCTTCTAGACCGTCATATCTCGTATTGATTGCCATCACTCAGTTGGACTTGAAGGAAGAAATATTGTAGGAGAAAGGGATTTGATGGATCGGTTGTTTGTAACAAAAATTGTATAAAGTAGAAAATGGTTGTTTTAAGTATTTAATTAAGAAAATATGACCGTCTAAGTCACTGGGTATAATCCATCAACGCGTACCCGTCCGCGCTCGTCAATTCACATGCCAGACCGGCATCTTCAGCCGCTTTCTCACATGTCTTTCCCTTTTTTCTTTTTCGTAGTGTCATGTAATTGCATCCTTCATTTTAACCTATCCTCACCCCCTGGTCCAATGGCGTGGCCTAGTACTGGGGCTGGGGCTGATGAGGATTGTAAGCCTGCTGGGGAGGAGGAGACTGGTAACCGGCATGTTGCTGGTGCTGAGGAAGCTGGTAATCAGGTTGAGGCTGCTGGTGAGGGTTGGGCTTCTGGTCCTGGTACTGGGGCTGGGCATTTGGCATGTGCATGCCCTCCTTCTGAGCTTGGTAGCCTTGGGTGATAGGACCCTGAGAAAGGCGAGCCTTGACCTCGTTGTCCTGCTGGATGAGAGCACAGCAGAGACACCAGTAACTGACACAGCAGTCGTTCATGCCGCTACCCTTGATGCCGAATCGCTCACGGATCTCTCCACGCTTCATCATGGAGTAACTAGAAAAAAGCGTGTTAGTTGGTGATTCGAAGACATTGGTACAAGAAGTCTTACATCCAACCACAACCGGTAACACATTGAATGGCGCAGAAAATAAGAGTATCGCTGTTGCAGGTATCGGCAGTTTGCATCGTAGGGTCTCTCATACGGTCGGCAGTTTTACCCAATACTATTAAGAGAACTGTCAGTCTCACAACTGTGCCAAGATTGACTTATGCAGGAACATACGGATACAGGGACAGAAAGTGCTGAGCATGCAAGAGTCGCAGGGCGAGCAATTGCAGAGGTTGCTCTGCCATTCCTGGTTCTGGACATTAGGTCCTTGAGAGTATTGTTGAGCCATTGTGATTGATATGTAAGTCGATTGACGATTGATGGCTGAAATCAGGTAAAAAGAAGTTATATAGAAGCCAAGGAGAAAGATCGTGGGTGGGTTAGAGAAGGGAGAGAAAAGGGACCAGCCAAGACTCGGCGGACGATAACGGCACCTTATTATGAGACGAACTCCTACGGACAAGCAATTCAATCTGACAATCGTCTCGTCTCGGCACGGCAATCGCCTTTTGTTTCAGGCCGGACGTATCACAGCCCAGGCTCCCAAGCTTCAGCTCTAAGCCTCCGTGTTCACTAGGGCGCCCTTCATTTCAATGATAGACAGCAGGGTCAGCAGGGGAGCCAAGCTCCAAGCTGGCTGACGGATCTAACCCAGAAGAAGGTCAGGAAGAGCATCCTTCGGTTGCAGAAAGATACCACATTGGTATAGTTCCTGACGCTACCTTGCAATGCTGGCTGTGCAACTTGTACAACTCTGCACGAAGCCGGCAAGCTCAACACGGTAATTGGAGCTGATGCTGAAAAAGGTACCTCAGCTCGGGTCTGAGCTAGCGTCCTAGGGCTGACATGGTTGCAGTGGGTAGTGCTGGCAGATTGTCACCTCCAAGGGTTGCAGCGAAAGCTTGAATCCAAAGACTAGGACGTAAAAATAAACCTGACGAAGAGGTGGCTGTGGTCGTGATCAAGTGGTCAATTTATCTTGCCTTGAATGCTTTCAGCGTCCTAACTTACTGCTCTGAGGCCCATCCAGCGTGTCAGCCTTGGTGAGGATCCGCGAGAGCAGAGGATCACCTCCACTATCACAATATTAATGCAGCCCGAGTTGGTTAGTTCTCAATTGATTGTCTGATTGCCATGAGGTAGCAACCAACGGTGCAGCCAGCCATCGTAATTTCGTCCAGTCGGGATTAAGGGAGTTGGAGACAACTCTCAGCTTAGGCTTTCATGGAACAGCCTAGGCAGAGTCCGGCCACCACTGCGAAGATCAGAACATGGTGATATCTTTAGAACAAGAGAACACCCTTTCAGAGCAGCTTTAACCAATTGTAGCGGCCTAGACGGGCCTTGAACTTTGTTCCCCAATCAAGCCAAAGGTTCAGATATCTTTAGAAATGTACTCGGTCGAACTTTTATTTCGAGATTGTCGTTGATTGTGAATATCACGTATACATCAAGGACACGCTTGAAATTGATATTATGTTCCTGTTCCACAACAGAGTAAGCCTGTGATACAAGCTGGCCAGCAAATGTAACATGGCATACACATTTGCTGTTGTTTCTCATATTATTGCTGCTAACGTCCAGGTTGATGAGCTCGTGAGTCGTCCACCTTCTTTGCGGCCGTTGGACGACTGAGTATCACATAGTCGGGTATCACCACCTTTCCTCCTCTTAACTTTCGCTCCCTCGGGGAATAATCGTCTTTTGTGAATCCCAACTTTTCGTAGAATTTGAGCGCAGATTTGTTACTCACGAAACATGTGAGCATGGCTTTTTCTATACTTGGTATGTTCTCTGCGACGTCCATGTAATACCCCATAAGCTGCTTGCCCAGACCTGTTCTATGCAGCATACCTGTTAGCACAATGTTCTTGTATGTTCTTGCATTCGGTTCACTCCATTGGATAACCCTGAGTTCCAACGACATCCCATGAATAGAGAAATGATTCCAGAAAAAGGTCGCATTGGTCAGCTTACCCTTGCAATTCCGGCTTTAAATGAATCTCATAGCAGTAAACAACCGGTTCATGGTTCTCAAACGTGGGCATAAAGGATGTAAATCCTTTTATGCTGCCTTCTCCATCTTTGATCAGGATATATCGAAGATCCGGGGACCGCATTTCTTTCTTCTTCACAGATGGATGCCAACCAAGAGACGAGTTGCGATAGTCTGCACCGCTTGTCTCATCCACCAAGTTGTAGCATGCTTCCAAGTCTTCATCGCTCATACATGTAGGACGAACGAGACTCAGAGCAAAGGTTGTTTCATCTTTGGGATGTTTCCAGTCTGGCCAATCATCGCTAAAGCAATGTCAACGGATTGGTCTGAATGCATTCTGACAGTCAAGGCTCACCTAGGTTTTAGATATTGTGTAATGAATTCATCGTCCGAGATCTTGTTGGCGATTTCGATGGGATTTTCTATCTTTTGTCGTCTTCTTCCCACAAGTCTTTTCGGTTCTTTCGTATCATCCTTACCTGTCATTCTGATTAGGTACTCGAACAAATTATGATGAAGAAAGATCGAATAGTGCAACAATCAAGATTCGGTCTCTTGACTTGTACCTGCCACTAACAACTTGTCGGACCCAATGCCACTTTCCCTCAGTGGACAAACCAGACCCATTCGATAGCCGAGGTTCGTCCGACACGATGCGAAAGCACCAGTTTGAAGCTTTTCATCATCATTATCACTGCAAATTGCAAGTGATGAACATATTCACTATTTCACAGTCGATGAGGTAGTAACAGGCGGAATGGTCCTCAGCACTCGTCTGCTGGTTTTCAGCCGTGGCTATGCCACTCGCCCAAGCGGTTCTCGCCTTAAGCCTACACTGAGTCTCGACCAGGTAAGTACAAGTCAGTCTGATACAAGTCATGACATCAAAGTCTGATAGGGTGAAATTGTCTAGTTCATTCAAAGAGGTCGAGTTCTGGCTTTCTACCGCACTATTCTGCGCGGCACGAAAAAGATTGCCGATCCCAATACAAGAGCCGAGTCTCGAAGATACGCCCGTGATGAATTCGAGAGACGTCGCAATGTGAATGACTCGGTATGTTTCCTCCCCTCACTACTTGATAGTCTACCGCTGACTAGCTCTCTGTAAAGGCACACGTTCGATACCTCCTCTCAGTTGGCAAGACGGAGTGGGAAGGCATGGAGAGGTATATCGATGGTATGTAGCGCAGAAAAGTTGTAATAGTAGTTATAGTTGTACATAACAGACAAGTCCCATCGCTGTTACCGTCCTCCTTGCTCAACCTTTCAAAAAGATATCCTGACGCCTGCCAAGCTGAATGTCTTCTGCTCGTTCTATCATGCGTGGGCTGTATTTCTCGCCATCTCCGTTCGATCCCGCAATTCGTTGAAAAATATCGTACAGTTTCCTCCCATGTCTCGTGATTTTTAGCCTTGTCGTTGCTTGTGTCGAGGGTTTGCCTTGCAGATGATGTACAAGTATCCGTTGTGTCGCTTGCCGGCCTTTCGTCGAACGACCTGAAAGAATGTGAGCCTCCAACAAAGAACTCCGAGGCAACAAGCTAAACCCGTCCTCATAGGCTGCCTCCTCTCACCTTGCAGTGCTCGCATCGCTTCTTGACCGAACTGTGAACCTTCATGCCTCGAGTCTGCTGCATCAATCCGTTTCCGAGGGCTCGGGAGATGGGTGTCGTCGCGGGGCTGGCGAAGAGCGACCAGGGAGCCCGAGTCGCAAAAGCCCCCAGGGCATTGCTCGGGGTCAATGACCTCGCTGATAGCGTAAGAGCGCGAAGAAAAGAGGCCATCGTGAGTTGCTTTGGAGGGGGACGACTCTTAGCAAAGGTTCTTCCATTCATCGACTGTTGAGGTTTGCTCCATGAACCGGATCGTCGAATCACGTGCGACGCACTCACCCCAGAATCCACTTTTCCTATCAACCTCAACCTCCTGTCCTCTCTACTGACCTTTAAGGCACATCACGAAATTGAAATAGAAAACACGAATGGTAGAACTTGTGTAAAAAAGAACCATTTCATCTAACTCGGGTATGTATCAGAAGTCGTCTAGATACCTATCTAGTCCCCGATACAAACTATGTGCCTGATTGCTTTCATCAAACCTCATCGGAGTTCCAAATTTCCATCACCAAAATCCTCAATCAATCAATCAACCCATCCTGTATTAGCAAAAGCAATGTCGCCGCATCGAGCAAGATCCCCATGTGTAAGCAAAAGTAATGTCCCTGTGTCGAAAAAAAAAAAAGGGGGGGAAGAAAAAAGAAAAGGCCAAGTCCTCCTATGTCTGCACAACTATCATGTCGGCAATCACATCTGGGGCCGTAATGTTCAGGGTGTAACGTAAACGTGCTCCTTCACCAAAAGCCCTCCGACACCTCGCCATCGGGGGTCCAATAGTTCTTGGGTTGGGCCTCCTCGTCAAAATCGAAGACTTCCATCTTGAAAGGTTCGCCCAAGCTGTGGTTGTACTGGTCGATTGCGGACGTGAAGGTGTGGGTGAGGCGAATGCCCTGGTTGTCCTTGGGCTTACGGCTGAAGCGAGGACCTTGATCTTCATCATAGTGATCAGGGCAACCTCTGGCTGAGATCATGCCAGCCAGAGTCGGCGGCGGCTTGATCAAGAGAACACCGGGATAGCAGAGTCTCCATACGAGCGACAAGGTTCTTCGTGCATCAACAAACAAAGCCGCGTCCCTGGCATCAAGTTGCTGTTCAACAGTCGCATTGAGAAGTGTAGCCAAAGTAGGCAAGCCCTGCACACTATCAAAATGGAACTTGTGGTTGCGAAGCAGTGGCTCTTCACGCTGTTCCCAATAGATTTCACCATTCGGGAGAATAATCTGGGGATTCGGGTCGGCCTCAGCCTTGGCTGTCTTGAAGTGGGCCAGGTCGTGTCCCTGTTCAAGGAGGGGGGCATTGACGTTAAAGGCATTGGGTCTCCATTCCGGGTAGAAACCAGCCATGATGTTCATGGTTTGTTGTTTGAGGTGGTCCTCCTCACTGTCCAGTTGTCCGCGCAGAATGCATGCGGAACAAATACGACGCTCAGGCCGATGCCCAATCTCCCCGTTGTCAAAGAACTCAGGTAAGAATTCGTAACCACATGAGCAGCAGAATGCAAAAGACTCTCCCATCTTGTGGATGTAGTATTTGACCCAATCTCTCTTGAGAGGCTGGAGGCCACTTCGCACCGCTTTGAGCAAGTCGTACATGGCTTGCTTGATAGCGTTCTCATCTTTGGATCTCTTCTCCTTCAGGTCGAGGAAACGATAGAGACCGTCAAGAAAGGCGCATACCTTTCCGGGGACCATGGGGAGGTTGAGAAGATAAGTCATGAAGGCAGCATCTCGGTCCATCAGGAGCTTGACCTTCATATGACGAGATTTGAGAACAGCTAACATGACAATGGCGAGAACACCTCGCTGGGCCATGTCATTGTCCTTGGGCATCCAGGAGAATCCGTATGTTTCGAATTCGTTGGGGGTTTCGTATGGCATACCAGCGTGGTACCTTGGGTAGAAATCGAGAGATTCTACTCGTGGAAGACTTTGGCGGTCTCGCTCCATGTTGACCTCGCGAATCAGGTCGAGTAGGAAAACGACATCGCCCAAGTGCAGCAACGGGCATTCGTAGATTCCCAGCATCTTGACGTGTGGGCATGCTCGAAGGATTATGGCAATTAGCTTTCGGTCAAGCAAAGGAGTCTTGTGGAAATGCAAGACTTCGATAAGGTTGCTACGCTGGGCAATGGCGGTCACTAGACAATAATGTTAACATGTAATCAGTATAATAGGGAATAGTTGGACTTACGTAGTTTCATGGTCTGAAGCAAGGCAACTTGCTTAGACATGTAATAGTCCTGGGTGGGTTCTGGGTCGACAGCTTCAGCGAAAGCAGTCAAAATATCCCCATCAGCAGGAATCGCTTGGGCCATCTTTACAATGTCTTTGGGGCAATGGTAACTGTTGGCGATGTGCACCATTTGGTTGTTCTCCCCCTGATCATTGTAGTCGTCTGGGTGAGTCATTCCATGATACTGACGGATAGCGACCACTAGTTTCAGAATGTTCTCTCGACAGGCAGCTTCATCGGAAATAATCTTGGCGGATCGCTCATTTCCCTTCTTCAGTTGGGCCATGGAACCAGTGGGATGAACGCAAATGAAGACGGCGGAGCCAGTCATCTCTCCGTGAAAGCCGGCATCCAGGAAATTCCAGATTGCGATTCCTCTGGCAAGTTTTGCCCAGAGTTTCTGGTTTTTGTCTACAGCAAAGTTTTCCAGCTGCTTCATGCCCTGAGAGGCCATCATCTTTCCAATGGTCAGGCCAAATGTCTGATCTCCGTCGAAGACTCCGACCAATGGGGTAGCATCCTTGGTGACATACATGCTGGCCTTTTTGGTCATTATGTAACCAGTCATATCAATCACCAGGTTTCCGGAATCGACGTAGGTACCTTGGAAATGGGTAGGCCGGCCTTGGTTATCGTTGATGAATGCTTCTGGGGAAGTGGCTCGCCCCTCGTTCTCGTCACGCTTCGCTTTGAAGTCTTCAAGAATCTGGCGAACCGACTTGGTTGTGACAAGCGGATGGTAGCCTTCTTCTTCAAGGCGCATGCAGGCCTCTTTCGGGCCATACTGTTTGATAGACATTGTGATTTCAGGTTCTTGTCCGGGGTTAGTTCCCTTCTTAGACTTTCTTCTTGCCATCTCGAAGGAATAGGGACGGGGATTGTGAATGTCTATAACAACGGTAAGGTGAGATGATGTTGATATGATATGAGAGGTACCGAGTGAGACAAGGAATGGTAAGAGAAGTGTGAGATGATGGAGGAGAGAGGGCAGATGAAGAAGAAAGAAAGAAGAAGGAAGAGTGTATGTGCACGGAGTGTGAGATGGTAGAGAGGACAGATGATGATGAAGAAGAAGAAGAAGAAGAAGAAGAAGAAGAAAGAAGAGCGTGTGTGCGTGGAGCGGATAGGCAGGAACGGGGAGTTAAAGGTTATTGCGGCAGGAGAAACCAAGGACCGAACACCCAGAAATGGAGGTGAAGATGTAGAAAAAAGATGCAGGTACTCACCAAAATGAACGGCTGTTCAAAATGTGTTTTTTTGCTTTGTTCCAGAAATGCGTTTCCTTTCTCCAAGATGGGTTGCCGTACGCAGTATGCTCGGGTCTCTCTCTGTATGAAGAAGTCAGTGAGTGACTGGGTATCGAGACGAGGAAAAGAGTCAAAGTGCAAATGATTTCGTCCCTTGGTATCAACTTGCCTAAGCTTAGGGAGCATGAAGCAAATTATTTCGTCACTTGGTCTCAACTTACCTAAAGAGAGAACGAGGGTAGCGGTGGTATCAATACCTATTGATGTCTAGGTAGGTAGGTATTCCAAACCAAGATGTGATAGGATGTGGTGTTTTTGTTGTGTAAGGAGGAAGATTTGGGAGTGAAGGTGTAGAAGAGAAGGTGCAGGAGAGAAGATGTAGGAGAGAAGTGGGAGGAGGAAAGAGCTGTGGAGGTTGTAGGAGAAATGGCTGTGGATAGCCGTGACGCAGCAGAAGATGAACCGGCGGGGAATGGATTATCAGCCAACCAAAGCAGACTCCGTCCTGACGGGAAGGAATGCAGCAGGTCACTGCAGAGCAGCTGATACACTTTCGAGAGCCATCTTTAAGTAGATTGTATCTAGATAAATAAAGAGTGTTGGTGTAGATTATACCTACTGGTCCCTGGCAAGACAGACCAAAAAGGAGGTCACTGGAACTCGGTCGTCATAAGCAACATATTGGGCTTGAGTGTCAATAATACATATTTTCTGCATCTCCATCATCTAAATGTGCATGCTTATCTATTCCAGAGTTGTGGCACTGGCGATTGTCGTTTGCCTTGGGCCCTCTGAAAGTACTCTCTGGTGGAGGAATTTTAGGGGCATTCAGTAGACAGCAAACAAACCGCCAACTGCTCTCCAAAGATCCCCTGCACTGACACTACCGTACAAAAAGATGAAATCCAATAAATTGTCATGGCCTATATGCCCCAAGAGGCTGGGGAAATGCATCAAGAAGGGACTTCGGTACTGTTCTGATATTCTCCCAGAACAGTATCTCCCGGTGCCAACTGTTCGGCATCCAGCGAGCGACTCGTACAGGAAAGAATGAACCATAAACATCATTAATACCACTAGAAAGACTCGAACAGTACTGATGTGTTCTGTTTCGGCGACTCAAGGAAGGGGGTTGGACTTTCGAGTCTCGAAGCCATCGTCAACGCCCATCAACCCTACTATATCATCTCAGCCATGCATCGACGAAATGAATTCACTACAACTACTACACCATTTGCTTCTAAATACATCCGAAATCATCTCTGCTTGTTTTCAACTCCATACTACAAGTTCCGCGGTCGATATCTCTCTCGGCGGCAGACATCGCGATCGCCCTACCAGCTTTACCAGCGACGACATTGCTCCAGGCCACGCTCTCTTCAACCATGTCTCTTAACGATGCATCACCTCTAATAGACACAAGAATCTCAAGCTTGATCTTCTACAGTGGTAACCATCAAGTTCCAAAACAACCACTGGTGCTAACCCCTGAAATGCTGACCAGAGTGCAGACGCAAGCCCACCAGACGATCAACCCACCCGCAACTCTCCATTTTGCCGAAACATATATCTGAGACAATGGCGATAGATGCAAATGGCTATTTCAGCGACATCTGAGGATTTTCATCGAGTTCTTTCAACATTCGAGTTTACAATTCACGATGGCGGTCAACCGATCTCTACCTCCTGTCAAAGTAGCCCCTTGGCTAACTCTTCCGAGTCACACTCCTTTCGAACCCTCTATATCACCTTGAACTGACCAAAGACCTCATAAGTCTTTGCATTGGTATTTATACTCAATTCTTATACTGTCTCGACAAATTCTCTTACAACTCGACTTCAGCTACGTCTAAGGCGCGAAACCAAGATACACAACATACCACCTCAAACCTAACTAGACGTCTATATTACCATATCAGCGCTTGCAGATCCTCTTCGTTATAACCTTTGCTGAATGGAAACAAGAGAAGGCTTTGGCGCTCAAGACAGAGGCGGCGAAGTTCCCGAAGCAGTGAAACTGTCAGTATTCCACACAACACTTTGCGCAGAACGATAGATAACCATTCATAGGCAGTCTTTCAACTAGGACCTGACAACTAAAAGCACATAAGCAATGCGCTCTAATCGAAGACATTTGTCCAAAGACACGAAACAACATAGGAGGGCCCTCCCTTCTGGGAGGCTATAAGCCAAAGTGGACCGCATGAAACCAAAAAGATATCAATGCCGGCCTCATGGTTACGATACTGAATACTGGAAACACAAACTGTGAAAGACAAAGACGTCACTCATGCCGCTATCATAGCTGACATGTAGGAGACAGTCGTGGGTCAAATCGGCATGCTTACTGATCTCAGATCAGATCTCGGTACAACAACATGATTCTTACGAGGCGTCTGAACAAGGCAAGCCATGACACCTCCGGCAGTAAGTACATGGTTCCTTGCATTACACTCCTCGACTTGACTATCACATGCACGTCCAATTCTGCAAGTGGCATGTTGAGCGAGGTGCGGCAAAGAAAGCTAATGTATTCTGCTACGAATTCAGGCAACGATACGAAGATCCCACACCCAGTCGAAAATCAAGAAAATAATAGAAACCAGACAACAAGGAAGCTGCTTGGAGACGCAGAAATCCCCGCTTAGTACGGAGTACCGCATTTCACATCGAATGAAGCAAGTTCGCAATAAACCCTGCCTTATCACGCACGCACTCACATGCCGGACACAGAAAAAGTGGTGTACTATAGGGCCAGCCAGTCAGTGATTTTCTCCCAAAGTCCTGTTGGCTTACACCCAATCTAAACAAGGGTCCCGCACACCACCAGCTAACAAAGTCATGGAAACAAGGACAAGACAAGCCTGTCCCGGAAGCTTTGCATTGGGTGTCGTCAATGTCAAAGAGGTGGGCACATGGCGCACATGGCCATGCTAGCTATGGCCGTGGCGTGGCGTGGCCCAATCTGCATGACTGCGGGGTCCTGCATCGACGTTTCGTTTCTCGACGAGGATAAGGTCCAGACGAGACGAGTCGCCATTGCCCTAGGACAGATGGGATCAAAAGAGTGTGACAGTCCAGTCCGGCATGGAAACCACATAACATTATCGGCGACTCGACCAATTCGAGAACACGGCGGGACAGGCGGTTTACAGTAGCGAGGTTGCTTGCTTGCGTGTGTATCATGGCACGCATGAGCACGAGGTCATGCAAACGGAGGCTTCGGTTCCCTATGGCTACTATCTTCAACAAAGAAGAGCTATGTAGATTACCGCATATGTAACGACTCGCCTTGGCTTCGAGATGGATGGATGGCTCGAAAGTCATCAGCTGTACGGATTCTTTCACACCAGATTCGATGGCCGAGATAAGGGACTCGTTGAAACCCCCGGCTCCTCAGGACGGCATCTGATAGCAAATACAGTACTTCAGTGCTGTGTACTTGACTATGTCGAAATATCTTTGATGCACATACCGCTACTCAAGGATCGCCGGTGCGTGAGGACATTGGATAACGAATCCTGCAACGTCGAATCATATGACTCGAAACGGTGGCGGCCGGTACAGCACAGTACAGTAACTTAGCAGATAGTACATAGTACGAGTACTCTGTCTCTGTACCGTTGCGCCCAGCGCATGAGACAAAAGCTTGTGAACGACACATGATCAAACATGGCGGAACGGACTGTTTGAAGTTGGCCACCAAAATATCAAAACGGCCGGTATCCTCTGACCGTATCGTCGTATCCGAGGCTGAAGAATCACGAGTCGAATCACGACGACTCAGAAAAGCTTCGCATTAGCCACCAACAATAGGTGGATCTTCAATCCCAACCAGTGAACAAAGGGCCGCTAGGATGAGTTAAATTGCACGGTCGCATAAAATCTCAAATAAGATCATCTTGTGGAACTGCCCCAGCTTGTTATTTGATAGAATCCGAAAATATGCGAGTAGTCATCCAGAGCACGCATGGTTTGCGTGTCTTGAGCCGCTCTTTTTGCAAGGAAAACAAAAAACAATAGCCACGCAGCATTAAATGAGTCATGATCGCCAAGATGAATTTCAATAGGCCAGACGTTGCAACGGTTCTGTGTTGATCTTCCAACATCACAACTCGCCTCATCACAGAAAGAAAAAAACAAATCATTTCTCGATGAAAGACTAATCAGGCGTGAAACAAGCAACTACACCCAGGCATAGATAAACTTGGAAAAGTCGACGACTTTTTCAGCCGCGAAATCAAAAGGACCAGGGCCTAAATTCTAAAGCCGACAGACTCAGGTACCATCGGCCGATGAGTGATCAGCCATCTCAGGGATGAAAAGATTGTAGAATCTCAAGCCCAAGAAAATGTCGGTGTGACCCAGGTAAAATTCATTCATTCATTCAAATCAGTCGAACCGAACCCAACGCCCATAGGTATGCTTCGGGTCCTATTCCGGGGTTCCAAGGGGCAATACTACAACACCGTTGGAGCGAGAACACAAACCGTCATGAACGCTGAGGATCAAGCTCAACAAGATCTTGTTCTTCCGTAACCCTCACGTTGCAATGCTTGAACGCCTAGACGCCAAAGAGGCTGCAGGGTTGGTCCCACAGACCAGCATTGCTTGTGGGTGGACGTGGTCGTAGTTGTGGTTGCGCTGACGGGCATGTGGACCTCATTTGCATTGCATTGTCCACCCAAGGCGGACCGTGTATGGTGATCATGGTCGTGCACTGGGGACCATCATCTCTCTCTCTCTTTTGTTGGCGTGTACCTCTTTGATCCTCTGGTAGATCAAACCGAAGACGGCGCGGTGAGAGAACACATCGACCAAATTGTAACGCCCCAAGTGCTATTTTGAATAAAGATAAGGGTCCAAATGGGAACCAGACTTCTGGGCTCTCCCCAATCCATCAACTTTTGTAGTAGCCATTGTCATGGTTCCTGTCTAATTAAGCCACCTTCGAGTAAGCCAACGTGAACACATACTGTCTGTTATTGAGGTTGGCCATGCCACTCGTGCCGCTTAACAGCCCCGCGAGTAAGTCGATGTGTATGTATTGTTTGCAGGCTGTTGTGTCTCTCCTATTTTGATCCACCCTGGCAGCTGTGTACAATAACAGGTGTCTCATCAGTAAGGCTTCTAACTTCCAGTAGTACAACACACAACAGTAGCTTCGGAATGCCTGAGTCAAGGGCATGGAGGAATGGGCATCAGTATTTGCAATCTTGAGGACGGTCCTCTGGCGGAGGCTTCAGGGTGTTGAATAACCCAAACTGGCTTGGTGATCGCGGCTCTGGCTGCCCGACTATTCCTAAGTGGTCAAAATAACTATGCTCGAACTAGTTAAGGTGGCAGCTGAGCTTCGAGTCACCTGAACGCACGGCGAGGGAGAAGTGCGATCGTGTGAGCTACAACTGGGGTTACTCCATAGGTAGCCTAATACTATTTGTACTTGATTGTGGGATTGTCTTTTAAGTGACTGCTGTCATAATGCAAGTATCGCAACGCCGAATTGTGTCATTGTAATGCGATTGTCAGTGGGTATAACGTCAACGTTGTGTTGGCACTGGAGGAACACGGCGGGTGTGGGAATTGCTGATGTCTTGTACGTCTAACTTGAAGGACTTACGATAACTTTTGACTGTTGCAGGCATACCAAGGCGGCTTCCTGTTCTCAGAATTTCTTCCAGATGAAATCGGGCCAGTCTCTAGGGTAGCATTCCTGTAGTTTATTGTGATTCTCCTACCTTGAGAAAGTGAGCGAGCTTAATGGCAGGCGAATAAGGGTCTTGAAGACCAGTAAATGCGGGTCTATCGGTCAAAGTAAGGTACCGATACTATCTTGGGAAACAAAAAAGCATGCTCTTGTGCACATGTCCAGCGAAGTACCTCTGGTGCATGGCTTTGTATCTTTTATGGGGTCAAGTCCCTTGCTTCAGTTGACCGTATTGATTGATTCGCCAGAGCGTCTCAAGTTAGGGCACCAAGCGGAGTCTGTTTAATACGACATTTTCGCTAGCGTACAGCTGCCATAAGGCCATGTTTGGGCTGGAAACCGGTTCAGTTCAGTGTTTGCTTGAACTTTTTTCCATGGAAGACAGGAGAAATCATGGATCGAGAACTGCCAGATTCTACACATGAACTTGCTCTTATTTGATGGTGTGCCCGGTAGAGTTTCTGTCATGGCCGGCTCCCGTAGCCACGACATGTTGGAGGGTTGACTCATGATATTACTGGAGCAAAGCATTTGTCGGAGGATGACGCTTCTGCGGGTAGCTGAAGCGTGACCTGATATGACCTGACCTGACACTTGGGGGTTATCCAAGACGGAACAGGGATGACCATCAACGCAGCATTGTGTGCATCGAATCGTGTGAAACGCGTTTTTCGACCTGCGGCGATACTCGAGTTTAAGCCACCAAGTTCACGGGAGCTATTGACCCAACATGAGACAAGAGAGCCTCATGGTAGATCTGAACATATTAGACCAGACCAGCAGCCCGACTCGTCCGAGTTGGGAGCAAGGTGCAAGGAAGAACAGTAGGGCCAAGATGCCAAACGGACCAAACAAAGATATGGTCATGCATTTCACAAGATAGTAGACAATCTTTGTGCAGCCTGTCGAGACTGCCACCTGTCGAAACGCTGTAACTGGCATAACAACATCATCTCGGGTTCTGTTCCAAATGGTGATCCACCTTGACCCATGCCAACTGAGTTGATCTTGGCCGCATGAGCACGGTGCAGACGTCGGCACTGGGCTCAAGCGAGAAACCAAGAACAAGGACTTGGTGGATAGTTCGGAAAGAAGCCAGAGCTCCCTTACTAGGACAGCAAGGGCCAGACACAGGAGGTAGATGGATGCTGGGCGCTGATTGGGTTTTGCGCAGGATCCTTGAAGTTGGGCAGATTGTTTTTATTATTAGGAGCCAATAGGTATGTCTGGTGGATGAGTTCCTTAGTTGAAAGACACAGCCCGCAAGAAGAGAGACAGCCGCCCGGACGACGAGCCACCAAGTCTTAAAAAGCAAGACTTGCATGTTTGAAAGCGCACATGGCTCTGGATACGTTGTGCTTATTGCAATCCCAGGGAAGCGCGAGGAGGTCAAATGCTAGGCAAGATTGCTCGGCAGAGTGGAGATAAATCCTGCAAGTGATTGGGGGGAAAAGGCGGCTTGGAGATCGATATTGAACATCGTTTCGAGACCCTGCACTGGTCTAGAAAAGAAAATCAGCGGACAAGAAACAGTGAAGGTTGCCTTCTATTTTGTCTTGAAGGGAGACCCGCACGATTGAGTCAGGGCGAGAGATGTGGCGCGTGTTGCTTGGCACAGTTTTCGATATAGTACACGGCCGAGTTCCATGGAAGCAAAACCGTATTTGATACGGGTAATTGAAATCGAGGGAGGATTTCCGTATTCAACAACGGGGCTCGATAGACCCAGCTAGCATCAAATAGCGTTGATAGTTGCACAGGCCTCTGTAGATGAGCTCAATTAGTCAAGGCGCTGGGGAGAAGATGTTCCGCGCTATCTTTAACAGTGATCGATGTCGTGAGTCCCAGGTTGGAGAAATTGGGGATTGGAGATCATGAAAGGAGCCGGAATTGCCCGTTAGGATGATAGACAGTAGCATGTATTGCGTGGTATGTGCTTCAGGCGATGGTGTTTGGACATGAGATCTGAAGCAGGAGAATAGACATCGTGTGGTTTAATTGATGGGGCCAAAACGGGAGTTACGGTGAGTTCCTTCTTTGACTTGACTGCCCTTCAACAGGACGGAACGGTAGAGGGAAGGATGGAAGGTACCGTCTGGGCGTGGGAAGGTACGGTCGAGTACGTGGGCCCTGAATGTGCTACTGCAATTTTGTCCGCGGCTAGCGTTGGTCGCTAAAGTAGAGTCAATCCAAATCCACTGGTAGCCGGCAGGTCGATGGGGCATCTGCAATATTAGTTCCACTTGTTTAATGCAGCACAGACCAGGGCATCACCCAGCAACAACAAGGAGTAAAAATTGGATGGAAGGACATTTTAGAATTGGTTGAGGAGAGACATTGAAACTTGAGTAATAGTTGCTGGGGAACCAAATGAAGGATGCGCATCATCTTTTGAGAGCCGCATAAGCAATGAGAGGAGGCTAATCCTTATCGTCCAGATCGATATAGTGTATCTCAAAAGATGGACGGGCTGTCATCCAATATCAATGGAGGAGATGAGAAGGATGCCCCTGCAATGACCGGCGAGTTGACGCGAGGGTAGCTAATGAAAATCTACCTAGCAGGCTACTAAGCCAAGGAGATCGTCCGTCGGTGCCAGGTGGTCTTGGAATCAGAGGCTCCGTAGAAGAGAACACGGTGAGGAGAGGAGAAAATAGAATAGTTGTGAATAGCCTCGTGAGGAAGATCAAATCCTGACATACTATATACCAATAGTGAAGCACAACTGCAACATGGATCGTTCTTCGTACGGCAGTACAATACAGTATTGATGGATACTACGAGATACCTACCTACTCAACATTTCAACTCGTCCACAGAAAGCTTGACAGTCATCTTTCCCCTAAAGTGCCCTACCCGGTCTTTAATCTCTTCACTCCCCCCTAATTCCCGCCCGCTTCTGCACACGCCCCGCCCTGACCCACGTAGTCAGTTTAGACCTGTTCACTGAGTGTGACCCTGAGTCTGCTAGGTACATTTTCCATCTCTGCTTGAGCAGGCTCTGATCCCTTTTTCACAGCGAGAGAGCAACAATAAGTACCCCAAGCCTCCCCGTTCTCTACATCCTCTCTCTCTTTCTTCCTTCCCCTCTACCTGCTCTTCAGCTCCATCTGAAACCCACGCCTTTTTTCTGGATTAACTTCCTTTTTTCTTTCCTTTTTTATACCAACGTCTTTGTTTGTTGTGATACCCAATCTCATTTGATACCCCCCAGAATCTTTCAAAATGGCCGAGGAACAGAAGAACATCGGTCTCCCCCAGGAGACCAAGCCCGAGACCACTGGCATCTCCGCCCCTGCTGTCGAGGCTCCCGCTGAGACCAAGCCTGTCGAGGAGACACCCGTTGTCGCCGCCGAGACCGCTCCCGCTACCGAGGAGAAGCCCGTTGAGGAGACCAAGCCCGTTGAGGAGGCTGCTAAGACCGAGGAGGAGAAGAAGGAGGAGGAGGCCAAGCCTGTCGAGGAGGGTCACCTGAACCACAAGGCCCAGGGCCTGAGCTTCCCCAAGTAAGTAGAAGCCCATATGCGAATGAGTCCGATGCCAAAGCTGCAAATCGTCCTATCGATGTGCAACTGAAAGCATTCGACTACAAACGTAACCCCTAAACAGGAGCAAGACGCTAACCGCACACCCCTGCAGGAACCTCATCCCTACCAAGGAGTTCTTCTTCTTCGGCACTGAGGCCGTTGAGCCCAAGACTCTCTCCCACTACCTGAAGAGCGAGAAGTCCGCTGAGACTGCTCACTCTAACATCGCCTGGGCCTCTGAGACTGGCAAGGGTCTTCTCTTCGTTGGTGACAAGAAGAACCCCTCTGGTGTCATCAGCCTGGTAAGTATTGGACCCACTATTCTCCAAATCTCAACTGCCGGCATATCGCAGCAAGCTAACCACCATATCCCCGCAGGCTGATGCCACTGAGCCCGAGATCGACGGCTCTAACAAGTTCCACCTCACTGCCAAGGGCAACAAGCACACCTTCAAGGCTTCCAACACTGCTGAGCGTGACAACTGGGTTGCTCAGCTGAAGCTCAAGATTGCTGAGGCCAAGGAGCTTGCCTCCATTGTTACTGAGTCTGAGACCTACAAGGCCACCCTGGAGAGCTTCAAGCCCGCCAAGAAGGAGGAGAAGGCTGTTGAGGCCCCTAAGGAGGAGACCGCTGCCGTCCCTGCTACCGAAGAGGCCGCTCCCGTCGCTGAGGAGGCCGCTAAGGAGGAGGAGATCAAGGACGAGCGCAAGAAGGACGTCAAGTCTGAGGAGCCCAAGCGCCGATCTGCTAGCCGCAAGCGAACATCTTTCTTCGGCTTCGGCAAGAAGGAGGAGGCTAAGAAGGAGGAGGTCAAGAAGGAGGCCGAGACCAAGAACGCTGACGAGGTCGCCGTTGAGACCCCTGCTGCTGAGACCCCCGCTGTTGAGGAGGCCCCTAAGATTGAGGAGCCTGCCAAGCCCGTCGAGGAGCTTCCCGTCGTTGCCCCCGTCGCTGTCGAGGAGCCTGCTAAGGCTGCTGAGGAGACCCCCGCTGAGGCTGTCCCTGCCACCACCGAGGAGAAGCCCCTCGAGAGCCCCAAGGAGAAGCCCACCGCCACCAAGCGCAACAGCTTCTTCGGCAACGTCTTCTCCAAGAAGGAGAAGAAGACCCCTGAGCTCAAGCCTACTGAGCCTGAGGCTCCCAAGGATGCCGCTGAGGCCGAGACCACTGCTCCTGTGATCCCTCCTGTTGAGGCCACCACTCCTCTTGCCGTCGATGTCTCTAACCCCGCCACTGTCCCTACTGAGACCACTGAGGCCGCCGCCGCTACCTCCCCCGCCCCTGAGGCCAAGAAGGACCTCAAGGAGAAGCGCAAGTCTTCTCTTCCTTTCGCTTTCGGCAAGCGTGACAAGTCTCCTGCCCCCGTTGAGGGTGAGAAGAAGGAGTCCCCCTTCTCCAAGCTCCGCAACACCATCCGTGGCAAGTCTCCCAAGCCCGCTGAGAAGCGTGAGGAGAACAAGGAGGAGACTGTCCAGGAGGAGCCCACCGAGGTCAAGGCCGAGGAGCCCAAGACCGAGGAGGTCCCCAAGGTCGAGGAGCCTGCTGAGGCTGAGAAGCCCAAGGACGCTGCCCCTGCTCCCGTTGTCACCGCCGCCGCCTAGAGGGCTTGGCGATGAACGTTACGACTCACTACAATGAAACAAAAATCCCACACCACCATACAACACGCGCATTGAAAGGGTTTGGGAATGGAAGGAAGGATCTGCATTTCTTCACAAGATACCGAGATACCCTGTCGAGACTGCTTCACTGATACCAATTTCCATAGCTAAGTTACTGAATATGAACGGAGGAGAGGAGGATGTTTGAGAAAAGTGATATCTGCCAACAGATATCACAAAAACACAAAAAAACTGTTATCATGGACTGGCCGACCTTGATGAGTTGGCTTGTCCGCGCCTTTGCTTCTTGTCTTTTCTTGTCTGATACCCGGAATGGAGATAATTAATACCTAATAATACAACTGCTGCGTGTTGAATAAACCTGTTGCCGTTTGTGAACTTGCTTGAGCTCAGTGAAATGTGTTCTTTTTTCCAATCTGTGCTATATATCTTGTTGCAACCAAAAGCGTCGCCTTTTCAACTATTTTCATTCTTAATGGTGCCGGACAAGGCATAGAAACTTCGCCTTGCTCTCATGAAGCCCGAATGGTATAATGCTGTACAGGTTGAGCGAATGGCATATAATGTGAAGTTTGTTCACGCTCCTTGGAGAATCTTACGTGTTTGGTAACTTGATATGTAATATTGTTGACAAAGGATCGGTCTTGTCCAAATATATGCACATGACAGCTGTAACTATCTTGACCATAGATCATTGTATACAGAAGGTAAGCCAGATATAACACCGGTCCATGTCTTGTCCGGAAATATCAGTCAACCAGCATCTACCAGCCTAGCAACGCCGGTATATTTATCCTCTATCGTATTTCGTGAGAATGCTCAGAGTATAATCCCTCTCCAAAAATGTTTTTGAACCCCATGTAACTCGCCCCGAGAAGTACTCACTCTTACTCGAGGGCCCAAACAGAAATGTCGCTATCATATTTTACAGTCAAATAATCTCGCGGGCTCGCCATCCCGCAAACCATCCAAGGTCTCTTTCCCCCTTTAAAAACGCCAAAACGGATATGAAGCAGATGCTACGTATAGCCGAATAATAGAATAAAATGTTGTATGTGGTAGTCAAGATATTATATCGGAAGGGCAGACCGTGCCTAGCCACGAGTGTCGAAAGATTCGTTAAGTTCGTTAGGCCAAGAGAATCATGGCCAGGGTATCAGGTGAGTCGATCGGTGAGACAAGCTATCTACAGCATCAAGCAGACACTGAAAGGTTTTTGTATTTGCCAACAAGCTCCTCGATTTTTGGCAGAAGCTCAGGGATCCGGAAAGGCTTGGAAATGACATCGTCCTGGCGCGAGATAGTTAGTAAGACGTATACATAGGATTCTCAATAACAACTTACAATTCCTGCAGCCTTTGCACTCTCGATCTGTTCCGGTCGAGCATAAGCCGTTACTGCAATAATTGGGATATGTTGCACAATCGTTCCCTCTCGTTCTAACTCCCGAATTCTTCGGGCGCAAGTCATTCCGTCCATGACAGGCATTTCCAAATCCATCAAAATGACCGAGATATCAACGCCTTCGGTTTCCTTTCCTGCCCAAAATCTTGATCGCTCGAGAGTCTGTAAAGCTTCTTTGCCGTGATTGGCAACAAAGGTATTGTTGCCACAGTTCCGCAACTGTCGTTGAAGAACCTTCTGATTCACGATGTTGTCTTCCACAATCAATACGTCGAACAGCTGGTTTGTTTCTTCGTTTGTTGTCGTCGCAGTTTTGGAGAGTTGACGGGTAAGCTCAGGCTTTTGTGGAATGCCTGGAGCGTGTGATTTTCGAGCGATCTTGAATGGCGTAACCTCTTCGAAGTCAGGAGGAGGGGTTAGAGAACGACGACACTTGATGTAGAAGCTGAAGCTGCTGCCGATATCACGTCGAGATGTAACGCCGATCTGACCGCCCTGCATCTCAGTTAAGATACGAGAGATGAACAGGCCTAGTCCTGAACCGCCATATTGAACATGTGTTCGTGGTGTCGCCTGTTGGAATCGTTGGAAGAGAAGCTTCATTTCTTCTTCGATCAACCCCGGACCGGTATCCTCAACGGTACAGTGAATGTTAATTTCCTCACCATGTCCCCACTCGTCTGTGTTGTTGATGTCGGTGACCGAAGCACGTTGATGATCAACTTGATCAAAATAAGTAATGCCCTTTCTGGTTACCTCAGATACATGCTTTGAAGCGCTGAGGCTGACAGAAATAGCTCTCTTCTCACGACCCTGCGTGAACTTGATGGCATTTGTCATCAAATTAATCAGAACCTGTCGTAATCTTGACGGATCAAGCTTCACCCACTTGATACCGTAATGATCGAAGCTCTGGTCCACATTGAATTCGAATTCAATATCATGAGCCACCAGTTCTGACTCAAACATCTTCAAGGCTCGTTGCACAACCCTAACAGGCTGTTCATCAATAGGCGTAACAGCCAATAGGTTAGAGTCCAATTTGGACAATGTCAGAATGTCGTCAACAATGCGCTTCTGATGGCTTGCGCAAAGGTTGATGGTGTTGGCAGCATCGAGACAACCGTCCAACAAATTTTCTACATCGGCTTTGATGGTGTGCGAGTCGAAAACCGTGATGTTGTTGGCAATCTGGTCGGCACATTGCAAAATTGCAGAAAGAGGATTGCGCATCTCGTGACTCGTGATATCGATAAAATTCTCCTGTTGACGCTTCATTTCGACTGCTTCTTCACGTCGTTCATTCTGTACCTTCTCTGCCCACTTTTGAGATGAGATATCGGTGATACAACCAAAAATCAGCTTGAGGTTGCCTTCTTGATTCTTTTCCGGATAGGCGCTCATGAGAACCCATGTGTCGATCGTGTTTCCGTCGCTTTGTTGACTGCACTTAAATCGGAATTCCACAGAAATGGTCACCTTTTCCCTAAGTAGCTTGTCCCAAGCCTCCTCCAACGCCGGCCGGTCCTCGTCTCGAACACTGTCCATCCAAGTATCCACCGAGTCTTCGGATCTGGAGTGCCTGGAGATCTGCCACCACATGTCGTTGCAATAGTTGATTTTACCTGCAAAATTGGCAATGAACATACCCACAGGAGCGAATTCAGCCATTCTGGTGAATCTGTACTCGCTCTCCACGGCTTCTTGTGTACGCAGGTAAAGTTGCATCGAAAGTTCTTGTCGGTCCAGCGCAGCAAGGCGAGCAGCTCTCTGGCCGCGTTTAATTTCTTCTTCGAATAGGACCACGGACGCCATTGACGTGGCGAGTTGACGGGACAAAAGGTGAATGAATAGCTTATAATCGTCATCGTAAGGTCGGCGAGGGTTGACACCCATGACGATGAATCCAATGACAGATTCGCCTGTGGTAGTTGGAATAACCGGGAATATCACAAGCGTTTTGGAGGGATCGCCGAAACCTCTCCAGTGAAGACCGTCGATCAAATGCATGGGAAGAGTGCCGTCTTCTTCAGAGAGGACAATTGGGACACCGCCCGCAGCCATGGACTGGCGCATATAGGGTGCAAAGCCATCGTCGGATTGCCGCATATCGAGGTGCGTAAGTGCTCCTTGGTGATTTTCTGGAGCACCGAGACTTCCTTCGAGGACTAATTGAGGTGAGTGAATCAAACTGCCAGAATGTAACGACGAAACCTCGCTCTCAGTATCCTCCCTCGCTGAATAAATCAAGGCAAAGGGCACATCGAACTCGTTGAATTCCAGTCCCTTTTGTACCTGAGGCCAGAAGCCCGAAACAGTAGTGGCTGCAGCTGTTCTCTCGCCAATCTCACGAAGCATGAGCATTCTTCTCTCATTGACCCGTCTGCGAGTGTTTTCGAAAGCAGGGTTGTAAAGTCCCATAATTTCACCGTTGCCGTCTACAAGGGGAACGATAGACCAGGAGAAGAATGCTTCCTCCAAAAATCCATGTCGGTTAATGAAAAGTTGATTTTCATGCTTCATTGTCGCTTGACCAGATTCAAGCGCGCTCTTAAACACAGGCTTGATTTCATCCCAAATCTCCGACCAAGCATCCATATAGCAAGCTCCCATCAGTTTGGGGTGTTTTTGACCAGCTAGGTCCAGATAAGCTTCGTTGTAGATGATCACAAACTGGGGGCCCCAGTACATGGCAGCGGGGTGTGGGCTGCCCATGATGAGATTAGACATGGATCTGAGGTCCGCGGGCCAATCCTCGATGGGTCCCAGAGGAGTCGCCGCCCAATCTACAGATCGGGCAAACTTAATGTGAGGAGGAAGTGAATCCGACACGGGTATTCTTGTCCAGTCGAATATCGATCTTGGTGCGGGCTGCGATTGGAAGACCTGATTTGTGAAATCGTCGGGATGTAATCTTGGTTCACCTCCCTCCATAACTGCATCAACATCGGGATTCCGTGTATCAAAATTAGTATCAAGAGGTTCGGCGTCACCAAAATAGTCAGGCGCATCAACGAGCTCGGCGTCAGGGGTGACTGGCATCCGCGGCGATTGTCCGACACTCCGCGTTTCTGAAGCAACCGTCTCATCGATAAGTGGTAGCGTGGAATTGGGCCTAGGAGTAGAAAAGCTGGCATGAGCGCTGACGAAGCGAAACCTTCGTCGTAATGTTGAAAGCGTCCATGTGATACCAGCATAAAAGTGAGTCGATGAGCCATCGGTCGATCCACGGCTTTTGAGCGGTGTCATAATCCATGACTTGAAGCGGCCAAAATCAGTTTCTGTGCTTGTATCCTCCTTGTCCACGGACAGGTACTGAAGCACTTCATGTGCCCCACGTAAAGAAGCATTGTAGTATAGGATGTGTAAACCAGCACGACCAGTATTGGCAGAGTTATCCAGGTCTATCAGAAACGTAGGCCTCTCGTCCTGCTCCAGGAATTCAATTACTCCCACACCTTGCAGCATCTGTAGCCCTGGAGGCAGACTGCGACTATCTGGAGTTGCAGTATGAGCTGGGACATCCATTGAAGAGCCCCAGCTGCCAGGAGTGCTTTCTGATCTACCAGGAGTGACAGAGTTTACACTTGCACGGGGCAACTTCAACGTTGTCACTCCGCCAGCCGGGTCCTCTCGCATACGTGAAAGCATAGAAACAGCAGGATCTGTCGCGGGAAAGCTAGCCGGACGATGGACATGCCTCGCCGGCGTGTGGGAGAAAAAGAGGGGTGAGAGGGGGCCTTGTTGCTTTCCACGTGCTGAAGGATCAAGATTGGCAGTTTTGTTAGGAAGTTCGACTTTGCGAGGTGGCGATGCCCCGGTGCGGGCTTTCTTGATGGGTGACGGGTGCATGACGGGTTCACCTCTTGTCGGGGCGGAGGGACGCTTCGCCGGAATTGGGGTCTGTGGGAGTCCTCGCGTGAATGCGCTAGGACCTCGCGGACTACCGGCCGTAGATAAACTCGACTGGTGAATAGCGCCGGTAGTCGAAGCTGTCGAGAAAGAGTTGACCAAGTCGGGCGAGGGCACGATGGAGGCCAAGTTGGGTAGGTTAAGGTCCTGCCGCCATGCTGGTACTTCTGAGGTTCGACGATAGTCGTTGGTGGTCCTGCCAGATGCTGCAACTCTGTCGTAAGCCCTTCCAACAGCGTTGTTCGCAGCAGCAAAAAGTGAGGCGCTGGTATTAAGCTCAGTGTTAGTAGTGTTGCTTGTGGCTGTAGTTGAAGTCGCAAATGTGGGTACCTCAGCCGAAGTAGAGGTAGAAGCAAAATAGTGATGTGGATGATTTTGATGACGCTGCTGCTGTTGATTTTTCTTTTGACCCTCCTCTTCCTGGTTGACAGAGTCTGCGTTAGGACGATTCGAAGAGGCAGAAGGAGATGAGGGAGAATTGAAACTAGAAAGCTGCTGCATGAAGGCGCCTGGAGAAGAGGACGGAATCGAAGCCCCGGAGGGACTGCGAGTCCTTGGCACCTAGTGGCTTTGGGCCTTGCGCAGCGGCCAGCAAGAGATCGAGATGCGACCTGGTTGAGGGGCGTGCCCGTGAGGTCGGGTGTGCGTAGCGCTGTACCGTATGCGTGGGAGACAGCGGGTGGTTGGCTGAATGAATGTGACCTGACTGTAACTTGTGCCCGTACTGTACCGTACCGTAAGTGGGGAGACGGAGCAGCGCAGCGCAGCAGCAGCAACGATAGCAACAGACCTGACAGTCCTGTGCTGGTTTTCTTTGGGTCGTCTGTCGGCCAGGTACCCTCTGCACGGCGCAGTTTACCAAGCCAGGTAAGTGTGAATATCCGTACAGTACAGTGAATGGTGAGAACGCCGCTGCGATGTCAGGTCGAAGGGGAGGGGAAAGAAATGTGACGGGGATCGAAATGGGCTATGGGATCAGAGGATGGAAATGGACACGGATGTGTTGCAGGGGGATTCGCAGCTAAAAGGTCGGCTGCACGGCGCTGTACGGACAGAATTCTAATATCGTCCGGGGGATGCTCCAGGGCACTTTCAGGCAGGGCAGGGCAGGACGTGACTCAGATGGGACGGGATGGATGCAGAACAACACATGTATATCTTTTGTTTGCTTTGACCGATCCAAATCAAGGGGAACAAAAGAAACCAATAGCGGAGAGGAACCCGAATAATTAAGTAAATTGACGGAAGCATTCGACCTTGTGGACTTGACGGAAACCGTTCAAGGTTTCGGAGTGGCGGACTCGGGTTCAAAAAAGGACGGGTCCTGGCATGAGATTTAAGGTAGGTAGCGTTGCGGCTTTCGAGTACCGGGGAAAAGAGCCGTATGTGATTGATTATGGAGCCCTGAAGTAGATAGTCGATAAAGAGAAGGCCATTGACGTCTTTATCAGCCGAGGACGAGGGCCTAGAAGGGATATTAGAATGGAGAGGTCATGTCTCAACGCCAGCAAGTCTCTACATACACGCAGATCAGAGGGTTGAAGAGAAGAGGTCTAATGCAGCAAGGTAAAGGTGGCAATAACTGAGATAAGTACTGCTTGTTAGTCTGTAGAGCTTAGGTAGGTAGTAGATATGGAGAGGAACTCCTCCGCATTTGTTTCTGGACGGATGATGGATAAGAAGAAGAAATGGTAAACGGAATTGGATGTCAAATGTCGTTCGTTGATTCAAATCAACCAACACAGCACGAGACTGACTGACTTGGATTAGGGGACTAGCCACTATTGATAATGACAAAAGGGGGAATTGAATCTATGACAGACATGTCTAGCCTAGAGGTAGAAAAGATCAACGTTGATCTCCTAATGCATCTTGAATTCAGCTTCAGCTAGGGCAGGCAGAGAGAATCAGTAAGCACAGGTACAGGTAACAACAGCGCAACACGCACAATACAACGCAGTACAGCACAGCACAGCCCAACAGCACATCAGAGCAAAGCAAAGCAAAGCAAAGCAAACTAAACTCATGGGCTTTCATAGAAACTGATGAACCGGGGTTCATGCTGGGGGTTATGGAGATTAGGACGGGGAACTGGCGTGCGGCGGCTTGCAAGTGGATGTCTTTTGGCTTGGCACCAAATAACCTACCCGCTTTCGAGGTCTAGGTCTTGAACTCTGCAGGGGAGTTGGACAGGGGTTCTGACCACTTTACAGTCGAGTACAGAGTACCTGCAGACCGGGTTCTAACCCGACGAAAACTCATGATTGTGGTGCTGATATCAACAGAATAGGTACCTAAGACTAATACGCGGGAAAGGAAAGAACCTAAGAAGGAAGGAACACTGGTGGTTACAGCACCCGGAAGGTTCTACAGAACAGCACCTTCTCCAAATCGAAACTTCGGTGGACATGCGCCAAGCTCGCCAAAACACCTCCAACTACGAATTTGGTTCTGAAGCTCTCCCTCCCTAAATAATCCGCGATCTGAACTGTCTCCACATTGGGTATGCGACCGGCCTCTTTTCTGGCACACAGAAACAGAATAAACCAAACAGATATCAGACCGGCCCTGGTCCGTCCCGCTCAAGACCGCCTTCGACCACTCACAAAAAAGACAAGGGCAGTCGAACAAGCTTTTGACTTTTGGTAAATCTTGGCTGCTACTGGTTCAGCTTCACCAGACGCAGGCCTTTCTTTTCCTGTTCTGTCGATCCTCGTCGTATCGTATCGAATAGATCCCGACTCTACTTGTTCTCGCGTGATTCGTACCTCGTCGTCGGGTTTTATCGAGATGGGACGCATTGATTGCAGAGAAGCGGATGGATAGACGTGCTTTACACCAGAAAATGCACGATGCCTTCAAAGATCCCTGTTTATTATAAACATCAACGGCGGCGGAACCATCGGTGCAACCTCTCGGCACCAATATTAGTGACCTTGGCTGCTTCGGCTGTCATTATAGGGTCATTCAATACGATGCAAGGATGCTGGTTCTTTCACTCCTTTCAATCCCACAGACTATATCAGACTGGAGGCTTTTGTGTTCTCATTTCACTTATTGAATGACTTGTCGCAAGAGTCAAACAGAACAGCCTCAAAAAAGGACCCTGAGGGACGCTGCAATGGCATTGGTAAAACCTGTCTTTGAGGCTGACAGGGGGTGGGGTGTTGGAGCAAAACGAAACTACCGAGGCACGCATTTCTTATTGCCGCAGTTTGTAACCTAACCTCTAGCTCAAGGTACGCATATGTCAAGAAAGGGGAATCCGTAAAGAGAAGATAACGGAAGTCCAGCCCAAGCTTCGAGGACGCGAGTGTCATCAACTAATTAAGAGAGCAGCTAAAAAGAACCAGAAAAAAGAGCGAGACAAAAAAAAGTTCCCGATCTAAAGCAATGAACGACGGGCAAAATGGTTGTGGAACGGATGCGTGGAACTCACTCTCCCACATCAAGAAATACCCATGACGATCGGCGAGGTCTAGAACGGTCTGTTTTACCACGCTTTGAGCCTTGAGAGCTTTCAAAAGGGCCCCATCTTGTCGCACGTCCTCAGTTGAACCCCCCTGTCAGAGATCCAACTTGTTCACAAGCGTCTTCAGAGAACACGGTCTCGAAGTCTGACCCCTGGTTCTTGGCTGCAAGAGAGTCTGACCTTGAATTTTGGCTTCAGAAAACGTCCATGAATTGAGCCTCCGAACGATTGGTGATATTGAACTTAAAGCCGAAGCGGGAACTTTTTACCATCTGGTATCCACGAAGTACGTAATGTTGAATCTGCTTCATCATCCGTCACTAATAGAGTTCGTTCGGCCGACATGGTGTCTTTCGTGCAGAATAATTGTCCGATCTATAGCTCAAGCTCAGACTGGACTTGGAGCTGGAGCCCCCACGGCTTTAACGGACAGAACAGAACACATGAAGCGCCCAGAACTTCCCAATTCCGAAGCGGTGTGGATCCTGTCGCTTGGTGATTGTGGTGAGACCACTGACTGGACTGGACTGCTTAAAATACAGTCATCAATCAATTCTTCTGACGGGTCGTTCCCGTTCAGCCACTCCGTTGATGCCGTGACGGCGGAGCTTCCACCGCACCAAGTGGTGATGTGACGTTGTGGCTGGTTCAAGTGCATTCTTTACCTTTCGCTGAGTTTGGTTTTTTTTTTCACGTTCGTGATTTCGCTTAGTCACCGACTCTTGGCATTCATGAGAGCTGTGAGGGAGCTGGGTCTCCTCCGTCGTTCGTTTGAGTACTGGAAGTATGCGAGCTGCAACAAGTGTTAAGGGTCTCGTTCAGGCCAACAACGGTGATTTTTCATGAACTTTTGATCGCAGGCAATTTCTTCTGATCTGTTCTCATGGCCAGGAAATTGGTGAGATATGTAGAGGTCTCAATGCATCCCAAACCAAACTTGAGAACACTGAGGACAACTGGGAATACCCTCACTCAGAAAAAAAAGAAAAGAAACAAGAGGTCCAGAAGCCTGGATTGACAAAATATATCAAGCCGAGATATTCCAAGTACAACTCTTGACTTTACGGTTGTGCAAGAACGTCATTGCTGCTACAGTTAGCCGCCAGATGACCATTTCACATTTGATGACTGAGGCAGGATCCTCATTATACAACATCTTAGTGCAGCTGTTTGACCTTCCTCATGGTTCAATTCACGGCTGATGGTTGTATGTTGAATATCACAACTGATGCCATTTCTGCTATCACTCGACTGATAAACAGTAGCAGGCGGCTAAAACTTAACAAGACTGGCCATGAACCAACATATGGATACAATGCAAAAATCGGTTCAAGCCGTACTTCCGGACGGGAAGATCACATCGGATTCGAATCTGCGAGCACTTGAAGGCAAAAGATGGCGGCTTAAATCCCTGCTGTGAAAGCAACCCGGACTCTGGAGGCACATCTTCAACTATACAACTCGCATTTTGATTGGCCAGTCAGACTCATGAGGTTGCAGTTCCAACCTCGTGCCCAGCCAATCGGGCCCTCTGGTCAGCATCGCGCATCTCACCATATTCCACCCGGGCGCTTAACAGAGGAGACGAGTGGTGATGGCCAAGCAACTCTGCAACACCATTGGCTACGCTTTAGATGCTGGTAGTGATTGGCATACTGAGTGTCACTGCAGACGCCCGCCTCTCGCCTTTTGGTTGCCGCTCACAGGCCCTTTTCACACGGCATCACACTTATTGCAGTGGTAAGAGCGGTTTTCTTCACAGGCCATGAGCCTCTCACAGCTGGGGAAACCCTTGCGGCCCCCTCACTAGTTTACTGTATTCGTATGCGGTTCCCTCTTCAGCCGATCCGTCGCACTTTCGCTGGCCGCCTTGAAGGCCCTTAAACGGCTGCCCACCCCCGACCTGGCCACCTGAACGGCTTCTTTTCATCTTCAACTGAAATCTAAAGCTGCAGGCCAGCCATAGCGAGGAACAAACTTGAAGAGCTTCAACTACTCATAAGGCTCTGCAACGATATCGCATGTGTAACCAACTATAGCTGCTCCGCTAGCAGCCAACGACGAACGAAACAACAGTCAGCCACCTGAACAAGATCAGATATACAACATCGACAAGATGAAGCTTCCCATTTTCGGCCGCTCATCTCAGGAGCACATGGATAAACCAGCAAAGTCACGGACGTATAAAATTCTCTTTCGAAAATGGCCCCGTCCAGCGAGGCTAGCAACTTGGTGGTTGATGGTTCTTGAGTTGCTCGGAGTTGTGCCCGCCCTGGTCATCTTTGGCATCTCTCAACCTGATCTCTACCGAAGCGATATGTGGAGGATTGGTTGGGAGCATGATCCTCCGCTCAATTCAAACCCTGCCATGATTCTTTACGCATATGCCAACCATCGACCTCTGCCCAAGGTTGCCCTGGTCTGGACAAGAACGTAAGTTGCCTTGAAAGGCCATCACATGAATACTGTATAACATGAACAAGGTTTACCGACTTCAATGTGGCCATCTCGGTCATCTCGCTCTTCTTCCTTCTCGGCAAGCTCACAGCTTTTATCATGAGATGCTGGTACCCGATCTTTGCCACTTTCATCAACGTGAGCTTGGTCGCTCTCTACACTGTCAGCACCTACGGAACTATCGGACCCGACTTTGCCGACCCACGATATCCTGCACCCGTAGCCTGGTACTACCGTATTGGGTGCGACATCTCAAAGCGTTATGGAAAGTACAGCAGCTGCATGATTGCCAAATACTCACTTGTGGTGTGTGTATACATGCTGTAAGTTGCACTTTAAGTAGATGAAATGGAACTGTACTGACAACTGTGTAGCGTTGTTTATCTATGCAACCTCGGCTTCTCAATCTACGCCCTGCTTCCTAATAAGATTAACGATATTTCTGACGATGATGAAGAAGAAGAGGGATCCACGACTTCGGAGCCGAAAGAGAGAGGTGTCTGGGAAATGCACAATATGAAGACAGCTGATGCTCAAGCGATGCCATACACTCCCCGAACACAAGCGTTCCACACTTTGGATCGCCAGCTGCCACTACGGGCACAACAGACCAGATACAGATGAACGAATATTGAGGGATAATGACTGGAAAATGTCTATGGCTGGACTACTATCCTTAATTAGCATGTGGTGTTTGGAGTTTGGGATGATATGGAATACCAAGAAACAATCTTTGAGGCCCAATGAGGCACAACTTTCATACTGTTATATACTATTTATCTATCTAGCTTGAAAAGACAAGCATTTTCTAAAATGTATCAAAAAGATGTCTCTAAGTTTCAGGATAACGGACACAATGGGCCCCAGGCTGCTCTACATTATAGTTAAACGGCCATCCCACTTACAAGCCAAGGGTTTGGATAAGTTCTCATGATCTATTCTTATGATGCTCTTATTCTTTATTAAATGATAAACTAAGCTTTATTATATCCTTATCCCTATGACTGAAGAGGCTTACCCATGCCTCCATATGTAATCATCTTTGTAATCTGGTACTCACTGGTACCGTACAGAGATCCCTCACGACCGAAACCACTCTCCTTAACACCACCGAAGGGCGCAGCAGCATCGGAGATGAGGCCAGTATTGACACCAACCATACCCACCTCCAGAGACTCAGCGATACGGTGCACACGCTCGAGATCGCGAGAGAAGAAGTAACCTGCCAGTCCGACCTCGGAGTTGTTGGCCATCTTGACGACCTCCTCTTCTGTCTCGAAGGGGAAGAGACCAGCGACGGGTCCAAATGTCTCTTGAGAGGCCATGTCCATCTCGGGAGTCATGTCGCGGATGACGGTAGGGGCGTAGAAGTTGGAGCCAAGATCGTTGAGTCGCTTGCCGCCAATGGTAATCTTTCCACCCTTCTTCTCAGCGTCCTTTACATGAGCCTCGACCTTGTCAATCGCCTTATCGTGAATCAGAGGTCCATGTGTGACACCCTGGTCGAAACCGTTTCCTACGCTGAAAGACTTGACCTTCTCGGTGAACTTGGACACGAACTCATCATAGATACCGCGCTGGACATAGATTCGGTTAGCACAGACACAAGTCTGGCCTGAAGATCGGAACTTGGAGGCGATAGCTCCGGCCACGGCAGCATCGACGTCGGCATCATCAAAGACAATGAAAGGAGCATTGCCGCCAAGCTCCATAGAGAGCTTCTTGAGAGTACCAGCTGACTGCTTCATGAGAAGCTTGCCAACTCCGGTAGAACCGGTGAAAGAGACCTTGCGGATGGTGGGGTCAGAAGTAAGAAGCTCGCCCAGCTCAGGAGTGTTTTCGTGAGAAGTCACAACGTTTACGACACCCTTGGGGATCCCTGCGCGGTGAGCGAGTTCGGCGAGGGCTAGTGACGTAAAGGGTGTCTCGGCGGGAGCCTTTGCGACAACTGTACATCCTGCGGCCATGGCAGGTCCGATCTTTCGGGTGATCATGGCAGCGGGAAAGTTCCATCTAGAGAGGTCAGCATCTAACTTCAAGTAAGAGGCAGGCCGTCTTACGGTGTGATCAGACCACAAACTCCAACAGGTTCCTTGATAGTCCAGACACGGTTTCCGGGCACCGAACTGGGGATTGTATCGCCGTATACTCGTGGAGCCTCCTCGCTAAACCACTCGAGGAAGTTGGCAGCATAAGTTGTCTCGCCCTTAGCATCAGCAATGGGCTTTCCATTCTCCCATGTAATAATTTTTGCGATATCCTCCGCGTTGGCGGTCATTTCGTCGTACCAGGCGCGCAGAAGCTTAGAGCGCTCACGGCCTGTCTTATTGCGGAAGGAAGGGAAGGCATCGGCGGCTGCGCGAATGGCTAATTGAGCGTCTTTGGAATCGAACTCAGGGCAGGTACCAATGAGATCGCCGGTGGAGGGATCTGCAGTTGTTAGTATGTGATGATACAAAGAGGTAGCGATTGAAGCGCACCATTTACTTTGAATGTCTTGCCCGACTTGGCCTTGACCCATTCGCCGTTGACGTAACAGACATCCTGCTTGAGAAGAGAGGGATCTTTGAGCTGGAGATTGTTAGTCTGTGTTCAACTAAATCAATTGTGAGCAGTCAGTTACTTGCCTTTGGAGGAGAAGCGTTGGATGATTTTCGCGTAATCATCAAGGTAATAGCTGGGGACTGTCGCAGCGCACCTCGCGCCGAGGGAGCAACAAGACGTTGAAGTAGAGCCATCTTGACTATCTACCTAACTGCCAATTGAGATTTTTGCAGTCAATTAATTCGAGATATCAGCAGTCAAGAAGGCCAGGCTATAATTATTGACTGTTGATGAAAGGAAATGTAATGACAATCAAGTTGGTTTAGTGATGGCGGGGTGACGTCTTGTTAAAGCTACCCGCCCGGTTCAGAGCTTGTGTGGGGTAACTCCCGGAGCCGGCATCTCTAATCTCGACACCAAAATCGGCTCCGGCAGAACCGGTAACGAGAGGCACGGCCTGTTACTGCCAGTCACCGAGAAATTCTTTTACAATGAGTCAGTATATCACATCTTTTTGCCCTTGCTACCGTTTATTAGCTTCCAGGAGTTTTGACACCGGCAATCGCTCAAGGTTTCCCCATATTTTAATGATTGACCGGGCCGTTCATATCGACAAAATAGGCAAGTATTCGCGAAAGATAAGTTACCATATGAAAATGTAGTAAGAGCGCAATTATGTTCTCCATGCCATAATTATTAGATCCTGCGTGCATATAGTTGTTAGGATACTGGAGAACTTGGCCGTCAGAAACTCAAGAGATGAGATATGTCTCCCGTGCGCAGCAGATCGGTTGAAGCCAGTAAAAGTATCTCGACGAACACATCTTCTTTTTCGACTCTGTAAGAAGTCTCTGAAACTAGCTTAAACTACGAGTTACTTGATTAGTTACTTTTGTTATCATGGCTGAACTCTGAAAGATGTCGGGCAAGTCCATCATGCTCCGTAGCATCAATCGTCAACTCAGCCTGAGGACTGACAGTGACAGCGGCAAGGTTTCCGGGGTTTTAGCTTTTCATATTACTTGTTTATAGTAATTGGCAGTTGTTTCAGTGATATCTCAATCGGTGAGCGCGTGGTGGTGCTTCGGACCTCCCGGGGCACAGAGCGTATATTCCACAACAAACAACACCATCTTAACCAGGTCGTGTGGTGTAGTGGTTATCACATCTGCTTTACATTCCTATGTAATTCGCAGCAGGCCGCAGGTTCGAACCCTGCCACGATCAGAGACGTGTATGATGTGGTGTTGTCTTGATGAAAGCATTCATATCATCCTTTTTGGCCACGTTGCTGAGTCTGCGGGGTACACCAACAGGGTGGTGTAGTAAGACTAATTGTGGGGGCCAAATGCATATGAATGTCGAATACAGTTACATAGAGCAGCTCAGAGTTATGACAAGAGCCAAAGTCTGAACTTGATTGGTTTGGGCTGTGGGCTGTTGTCCAACGATGAGTTGCTGAAGTCAACTGGACAACTTGAGTGGATAGCCATGTAGCAATAGACTGAACATCTTCCTCTTCGCCTCTTTTTTTTTTTAATTTTTTTTAGAGAAGAATAAAAATGTTACTGATCGCATGATCTACTAATATGAACTTCAATGCCATTGTATTCTTCCATCTGCTTCTGTGCTGATGATATGTTTGGAACACCTCCACTTACACTCTTGTCCTAGAATAGTATGTCTTATCTTATCACTAGCAGAACCCACCATCGAACTGACGTCGTGCAGGAATTTCGATCTTGACCAAGACCTGCGAAATACCCGAAACTGCTGTATCTGCCACACATTCTTTACAATGTCACTCTCACGAGCCAATGCACCTCTAAGGACCTGTCTGCGCCAGCTGGTGCGCTCAGAGGGGTATGTCCCGTCAAACATTGCTTCACTACGACCTCACTAAAATCATGCAATTGATCAACTGACAGTCAACTAGACCAGCTCCTCTCCGCTCGATAGCCGCCAGCCCTCGCGCATTCAGCACATCTCCCTCGCTTCTTAAGAAGCGAAAGATCACGGCGCCTGCAAACAGCCCCAACACTGCCAATGCGAAGGCGGCTGCGGGGTCTATGAACAAGGCTGAGTATGACACCGCAAAGGTGCCTATGCCTGACCCAGAGGATCCTCTCGACTTTACAGCTGTTATTGCTGCGTACCAACCCATCGATGCACACTTCAAGACTCAGCTGGCGGGTATGATTCATGGTGGACGATTTAACCCTACAAACTTGGGTTCACTACCCGTGGCTGTCAAGGATGAGGAGGGTGCCGATGCTACGTTTCCCCTCAGAGAGCTTGCTCAGGTTGTTCCTCGATCTGGCCGAGCCATTTCACTACTGGTCAACGATAAGGAATATATCAAGCCCATTATGTCAGCGGTTCAATCGAGCAAGGAATTCAACCAACAGCCTCAGCGATCAGAGGACAATGAGCTCGAGCTTCTTCTCAAGGTAGAGCTAGAACGCAAGGACGATGTCGAGCGACGAATCAAGGAGGCTGTTCAGCAGTGGAAGGACCGCATCCGCAATGCTCGATCACGACACGAAAAGACCCTCAAGGACTGGAAGAAGTCAGGCACCGTTCTCCCTGACATCGTCAAGAAGGCCGAGAAGGAGCTGCAAAAGGTGCAGGACAAGAAGATGAAGGAGATTGACCAGGAAGAGGCACAGACAATTCGTCAACTATAGATGCACAGACTGGGGTTGTAGGATAGATGCAGAATATTTGTAGTATTACATATCGTGACAAGTGTACACTGATCCTAAGATCTAATACAGATTTCTTTTAAGCGCGAGCCTTTCCACCTTTACCACCAGCTGCGCCCTTCTTTTCCAGAAGCGACGTCAACTTTGTCTGGAACGAGTTGACGTCGTTGGTAGAGTACGTCTCAGATCGGAGATGCCATGAGCGAGACACTCCAATGGGGTCTGATGCGAACTTAGGGGTCTCGTGCTGACCCTGGATAGCTCGCTGTGTGATGACCTGACGAATAGACTCCTCAGTGTCGGTGATGATGGGACCGGTAGACTCCTTGCCTTCGGCCTTGAGTTTCTCTTGGAGGTGCTCCTCAGCGGCCTTTTTAGCCTCTGGGTCGGCGAAGAAGCGAATACCACTGGATTCGATCTCGGAGGCGTAGTATCTAGCCTGGAAGGCATGTGGCGCACCGACGTGGTCTGCTGTGCCGAGGACGCTTAGGTTCTGGAGAACGGTGGCTGACTTTCCGGAGATAGTGCTTGGTGCAGCAGGGGCGAATTCGTTGATAGATTCAATTGTGAGGGATGGTCTGTACTCGGAGCGCATGCCGAATCGAATGCTGTCGTCGAACGACTGCTCATCGGGGTCCAGTTGGTTGAACTCGTTTCGGTCCCTGTTTCTATCCTTGTTTTCTTCATCGTCCCTTCGACCACCGGTTCTTCCTCCTCGGCCACCGCGTCCACCACGCCCACGGCCACCACCACCACCACCGCGGCCTCTACCGACAAAACCGCCTCGGCCTCTTGTCATGGGCGACCCAGTGCGAACAGGCGAGGATGAGCGATCTCCAGCTGAAGATCCTCCCCTGCCAGCGAATCCGCCTCGTCCACGAAGACCGCCACGAAGACCACCACGACCCCTCAGACCGCCCCGGCCACGCATAGGCAAATTCTTTATATCAAGGACCTTGGGACCACCAGCCTGAGCTGGACGGGCGGGACGAGCGGCCGGCTTCGGGGCGCTGGGACCATCGGCAGCCTGGATCTGTGAAGTCGAGAATTGGCGGGCATAGTTTCGGAGAGCATCCGAGGCCTGCTCGAGCTCTGGCCTTGTCCGGCTGCACACCGAACGGAAGGCGTGGCGTTGCATTTTGGCGGTGGTTGTCTGATGTGGTGAAGCTGATTGTCGGTAGTTTAGATGATCAATTTTCGACACCAAGAATTCGTGACTAAGCAGAGACACCCCGCATTGGCCAATCACAACTCTTGGCAGCATCTACACATGAGTTCACCATTTACCATGAAAGAAACAAGTCATGAGGAGAGAGTATATAAACAAGAAACAAATTACTAGAAATTGCTTGTAATTAATTCCTGTTGCTATGCACAAAAACCAAGATCCCAGATCTTGCTATAAACCCATGAATAACTCTATAGGATTGTACCCTTCCAATCCTCCCATCAATCAATCGACCGTTTACAAAGTGCGCCAAGCATAGGCCAATCGTTCCCAAACTCCAAAGCGTATACACAGCGGCGCTGTTCTGGGCCTTGCGCGCCGTTCAGCCATCTCAGGCTGTATGTTCAGGACAGTTACGTCCGTCACTCGGAGCAGAGACCATGACCTTTTACGGCTGTCACACCGTGATACTTGGCCACCGCGTGTTGAATGTACTTGTTCTTAGTACGAGGCCACGTGTGTAGACCTTATTCATACTCTAATTAGAGTTGATCTGTTTGTTTTGCGCTGTTTGTTCTGCTCAAAGATGACAGCATTTTCCGGGTTGCCCTCGAAGTGCCGTCGTTGGTGTAAATGAATGTTTCGTAATGGAGAAAGCTGGCATAAAAAGTCGGATACGTATTTGCGATATGTACATCATTACATGCTCTGAGGCTGGATCATGGCGGGCTGTGAAAAGTTAGTAGAAGCTCAGACAAGGATTAACTTTGTGACATACTGGACTGTTGAGCATATGCTGGCGCTTGTTTCGGCTCTTCTTGATATGGCTCTTGAGAGCGCTCGAGTCGAGAGGCTTAAGCAGCTCAAAGCTACAGAGCAACTCGGCTGATACCGACATAACGGCGCCCCAGTTATCAAACTCACCGCAGTACTAAGCGCGTTAGCCGTTGATCGGGGTAATCCGGGAGGGAATGACTTACATTGGGGGCACTGAAGACTGTCACCAAAACCCTATCGTTGAAGAATTCATAGCCATCCTCAACCACCATGTGTGCTCGACAGATAAGATCAAAATCGTGTACTGCCAAAAACTCCGTAATAACCCGTTTACCAAAACAATAACTAACGCCTCTTTCATTTGCTTCCCAATCTTGCTCCATGTCTGCGGGGTCTGACCAAAGAAGATCGTTGAGCAGTCCATAATCGGGGACATCAGTAGGTCGAGCAATGTTTCGGATGTCGTCCATATGAACTAGCGCTGGTGACAATCCTCCGTGAACACAGAAGATCTTGCCGGCGACGATCGCGGCAATAGGAAGAGTGTTAAAGCAGTCAATAAACGTCTTCCAGATTTTGACATTGCACCTTCGCTTGCATTCATCGTAAAAGCCGTAAACTCGTGTGACGTTGGCGCATTCGTGGTTTCCTCGGAGGAGGAAAAAGTTCTCGGGGAACTTGAGCTTGTAGCAGAGGAGCAGCAGGATAGTCTCGAGCGACTGCTTTCCTCGATCAACGTAGTCGCCAAGGAAAAGGTAGTTTGAGTTGGGAGGGAATCCACACATCTCGAACATCCGGATAACATCGGTGTACTGTCCGTGGACATCACCCACAACCTTGACAGGCGCATCCAACTCCAACAAAGCGGGCTGCGACAAGAAAACTTCTCGTGCTCTCTGGCAGATAGCAACAATTTCAGCGTTCTTGAGACAGACGCTCTTAGTAACCTTTCCAGCGTAGCCCGCATCCAAGAGTCTCTTAATGAAGTCGTCGAGATCGATATCCTTAATTTCAGACATGGCGACGTTGGAGTTGCCCTCAACCTTGGACTCATCAGACGGACTAGCGTTGACTGGGTTGATGGTGTTCTCGCGCTTAACCAGAATCGACTGTCCTGGAGCTTGCATGTGCGCATTGGCTCCAGCATTGACAGAGGGAGGCTGATCCGAAACGTGATCGACCTCTCCCGATGCTTGCGCGGCACTAACATCGTGGTTACCGCCTTTGGTGTTACCGTGGACGGGAGAAGGAGGAGGCTGGTCCTCCCCGACGGCGGAATCTGCAACGGCCGATTCGGATGCTGACATGTCTGTTCCGGCGGTGTTGAGGGGAGGGAGCTCGCTACGGCTCAATCGGGACGAGCTTGAACGTCCATGCCTACTGGAACGTCTTTCCTCGCTCTTAGATTCGGTCGGATTTTCGCCGTTGGACAAAACCCTTGAGTTCCTAGGGCTGTCCGACTTGCTGCTGCTGCGGATCTTGGATCCTAGGGAACGGAACGAACGAGAGGATTCCTTGGTGTCAGACCGACTAAAAGACGGGTAAGACTGAAGAGGTCCATCAGGCCCGGCAGAGCCCTTGGAGCCAGATCCGCCTTGGCTGGAGTTGTTGTTTCCCATGGTATTTGTTGCCCTCGACTATGACCAACGGACGACTCAAATTCAGGCTCGGTTGGTTGTTGGTTGGTAAGAGGCGGGCGGACAGGCGATGGGGTCCGATGATTCGTAACAATTCTTGGCGTCGACGCAGGTGAGATATCGCCGAGCGGTTAGGTCAAGGGAGGTGTTACGGAGGGTGAAAAAAGCGATCGAGGGTTAGGAAGAAGGAGGAGCGGCTTTGACTCCTTGATGCGTCCGTTTTGGGCAGTTTGACAAGATGCTTCTATCCGAAGCACTACTGTAGATAGTTACTTTTTTGTTGTAATCTTCAAGATGGTGTTGAAGTGAGTCGGCGGGTGGGTTTTGCGGCGGTGATGACGTCGTGGGGAGGTCCGTTAACGCCGGGATGAGGCCGGAGAGGATAGAAAGCGCGAACCGAAAGAAGATCGGAGATAGCGCTGAATGATCAAAGACCGAGTCGGAGGATCTAGAGATGGTCCACGTTAGGGTGACTCACTTTCTGAGAATGAGATAGAAGGTGAGTGAAGAGAGTGAGAGTGAGTGGGTGCAGAAGTTGCGGCGCATACAGCAGTAGATACCGTAAGTGGGAAAAAATAACCACAGTGTGGAGGATGAGAGATGGAGAGTAGAGTAGTAGAGTCAGAAGAGTTAGGTAGACATACAAACAAAACAAACAAAAAAAGAATTGTCGGGTATAATGGAGGTAATTGAGTAGCTGTTGTTTAGGTCGAGACTAACAACAAAAGCAACTATGATAAGACTGAAAAGTCAGATTGCCAAGGCGTTTTAAGGGCAAAACGTTGAGCGTCGGGGCGTTGGCGCAAGATGGTATCGGTATCGGTAACGGTATAGGTATAGTATGGATGATACGGCACAGGTAGAGAGGTAGAGTAGAAGTACAGGTGCAAGGTGCAAGGGTTCGTAATGATAAAGGCGATGTGAGGTGAAGGAAGCAAAGATAGGAAGGATAAGTACAACGGGCGGCGTCTATTCAAGGCGGTTCTCGCATGCGAATGACGTCGATTGGATTGAGTAGAGCAGAGCAGAGCAAAGCAGAGTAGAGTAGAGTACAGATGGCAAGGTCGTTGATAACGTGAATGATCAAGTGTCTGTATTAGACAATCAAACAGAGATACACAGTCAAACAGACGGTGATAAAGATAGAACCAATTGCGACGGGATGAGGCTCTTGTCTGGTGGGAAGAGAGTTTGTTGCAAGAAGAAGAAACAACAGACGAGACAAGTGTGTTGCAAAGATGAGATAGCTAAGGTAAGGTAGGTTAATAGCTAAGGCAGGCAACTACTCTCTCCACCTTTTGGTCCCTACTATTTACCCCAAGAAAAAGCCAAGACAAATCCAGAGCAAGGAAGAGTAGGTAGAGATAATGGACCTTGAGTTGAGGCCGGTCGAGAAGCGAAGCTCACCTCACCTACAGTGTCCACTCGCTACAGTAGAGTAGTAACGCCTAGAGAGACGAGGAGAGCGTATTATTAGCGGAACCGGAAAGGTCGAAGCGAAGCGAGTTAAAAAGTGGCGGCTCAGGTTCAGGCTATGACAATTAAGGTTCCACACCTTTTGTCAGTTTTCTTTTTCTTTGTTGTCAAGATAGCATAGTCGTCTGTGAAGTTGATATGTTCATTGACATGGAACTGAGAGACTGTACTACAGAGGTCACAGAAAGACTTCAACAACAAATACGACAGACCAAATCAAAACAACCTCCGATGAGAACCACTAAAGCCAAGACTTTGCTCGTCCGGGGTGGTTTTCTTTGATCGGCGCCCAATGGAGGGGAGAGCTTCAGTAGTGCGAGGTTGGGTTGGGTTGGCTGTAAATAGACCACACAGCAGGGGTATGAAGCAATTAGTCGCCTTGGTTGATACGTGCGAGGGTGAGTGTCAAGGTTAAAAAAGAGCCAAGACCCGATAAGAGTAATTAACACGCGTTAACAATCATCGGTATTCCTCCTCCGCCAAGGTTATGAAATCGTCCCATCGTTTGGTCTCGGGACCTGAATCAGTGTCTCGACAGATCAGATCGAGACTGTAACAAAGATAGACAGATCAACAGGTCATAGCATACATATACAGCACAGTACAGCATCTAGAGCTTTGATATGTAACGTCAAAACTCAACCCCTGGACGTTTGGAGTCAACCGATTGGCACGTGCAAGAGCTTGATTCATCTCGACCATTCACGATTCATTTCTCTGAGAAACAAGTCAAGGAACTCGGTCAAACGGTCGGACTCAATACAAATCAGTTCACATATCCATGTCACTTCCTAGGATAGCATACTATCCTACCTGACAACTCGATATCAACCACCACAACCAACACCACTAATGGCAAAAAGGCCAAGACTGAGACTACGAGGCACATGTTCAACCCCTCACTGTCAATCTCTTTTCTTCCATGACCGCAGAAATCAACATAATGATGTATCAAATTACTCCTCCTTCATCCATTTTGAGGCCGCCGTTTTCGCCTTCGTAGTGCGTCAGTAGCTCGCTCGCTACCTGCTCGGTATCACCATAACACAGACTTTGTGCTGTGACAGCTGACCATCCCTCGTGCTCCTCTCACCGAAACCCACCCCGCGTGGTCTTGACAGCCGCAGCCGGTCTGCGGCACACTATTCCTCTTCTGTGTAAAGGTGAATTGAGTTAGAGAGTACTGTGCATTTCACAACGGTGATACAATTTCGTGTAAAGAAAGACGTTCTGATAACTAACAACTCTGACATTATTACCACGACTATCTCCCATTCCGTGAAGTGTGCTAACTTGGTTTCATGTAAGTTCGGACGGGATGTTAAAGCCCTTCTGCTTTTTGCTGTCCCTAAATGGTGAGATGCGGTGCCTCGGGAAGCATTCCTAGAGCATGTTCATTCTGTTGCTGAATATCACTTGGATCGCATTGCCATGCTTCTTGTCGTCCCGCAGCCTCCAATGATGATATCAGCTCAACGGCAAACTACAGAGGCCTTGCAAAGGACCATCGTATCTTCGTAGTTGCAACCATCAGAATTTCCACTCTTTCTGAGGAAGGGCGACACGATGAAATCAACAATGGTCTGAGAAGAGAGTGTCTCGCTATACGCAAGAGCCTCCATCTTGTTGGCATCGAATCGCACTAGTCCCTGCTTCGATGGAACACACAAGCGGACCGCAAAGAACGCCTTAGACTTCATGAAAATCTCATCGAGTTCCAGCGCGTTTTCAAAAATATCCAGCATCCCCTGAAGGAAATCAATATTCGACTTGCTCAAGACTATGTTGCAAAAGCCTTTCACTTCATCCAATTCTCCCCTCACTATATTCTTCAGACTCTCCGGGTCACGTCTAGAGAGGTGTCCGAGGAGAGAAGCACCCTGAATAGACCACCTTGCAACGTGGTGGATACTTGATCCTGGCAGTCCAAAACGATGGATTTTGAAGGCATGGTCTGGGGAGTCATCGTCAGATTCCTCCTTGAGTATAAAGGTTATCACTTACTAAAAAGGTCTAGTCGAAGGATTTTCAAGCCTTGGACATGATCACCACCCCAAATTTGGCCTGACCCTCGGAAAACTCTTTCGCGCACAACAACCCATAGATAAGCCTGTATGGTCCATTCTATGTAGTCTTCATCGGCCAGCAGGCTCATCCAGTGGGAAGCTATGGTGGAGAACCGTATTTTGGTGCGATCAGTAGTTGGTAGGATGACGGGACATTTGGCCAACGCTTTCGCAAGGGAACGGATGTTGTAGTCGAGCTGCTTCCATTTGTCTTGAACATCGTCGTCTGATACCTTTACTGACCCTGCCCAGTCGTTACCGTCGCTGATGCGCTTGTATTCATCGCGCTCCTTGAGAGCTTTTGCGAGTCTGGAATCCGACTCTTTCAATTCTTGCTTTAAAGCCATGTTTTCTGATTCGAGTTCCCGGCTATGGTGTGTAGCTTGCTCAAGCTTGCTTTCGAAATGCTTGATTTGATCGATCAAATGTTCGTACTGTTGGTTATCAGGTTGGTTGCCTGTAGTCCTCACGAATGGGTTGATCCTGGCTGAGAAACGCTCGAAAACAGACCTCTGTGCTTCAGCAGTCTGCTCAGAATGTTGCGAAAAGGAATTCACTCGTGCTTGCTGATGATTCCAGGGTTCGTTCATTGGGGCATAGTCGGAGTAGGCCACATTGTGTTGCATACCCATGTATTGCAATGGCGGGTTTGCATGGCTTCGCAGGTCAACTGAATGTTGAAATCCAGGACCATAACGAGCGTTCGTAGGTACAGTAGTTCCAGGGTAGAAACCTCTGTCAGTTCCTCGTTGTCCGGATGCCATCTTTGTGATATTCCTGCTTGGTCTACTTGAGACAAATGACTGGCATTGTCGTCTGTTCAAAGTTCTCAGTTAGGGACGATTTCCAAATGCCGATGCTATAGTCGCAGGTAGGTTTGAGGCTCGCAAGACTTTCGCAGAGAGTAGAATCCTTACCTGTTGTATGAGAGTTCAATCAATAGATATTCACAGGGCGAAAGAAAACGCGGGCGTTTACTCTAAGAAGGGTGGATGCAGATAGGAAGAGAACAGCCACCGAGAAAATAAAAGCAATGCCAGTACTGCAGGCAGACATCTTAGCAGTAGGAAAACTTTGGTTAATGTTACCCCTATTGTTTCCTTTAAGAATATCTATGATTTTAGTGAATCACTGTGCGGCAGGTTCGTCAATATTATTTATTTTTATGCAACTGGCGAACACTGTCGAGAACTGCCAACACTGCAAATTAAAATTTTCCTGTATTTGACTTAATCACTCGCTGCCTAAATTTCCTTTCAATGTTCTTTTCTTCTCCTTCTTCCTCTCCCATCTTCAGCTTCTTCTTTCTTCACCATCGTCCCTCTTCGTGGCAGTCATCTCCTCTTCATCTACCACTACTACGACGACAGCAAGACCACCGGCAGCATGGCTGCGGACCAACCTCCACGAGATGTCATCATCATTGGCATCGACTTTGGAACTACGTAAGTCAATCATGTATTCGAGAAAATCTAGTGCCTAACAGTGTTTGGAGGTTCTCAGGTGTCGCCTGGTCGTACTCCAAAGAGCCCGACAATATTGAGATCGTGACCAGCTGGGATGCGGAGCTTCATTCTTGCTCCGATAAAGACAAGGCGCCCTCCCAACTGTACTTCGATGAGAAGAACATGGAAGTCAAATGGGGGTACTCGGTTCCTCTCAATGCTGAACCTCTAAAGTGGTTCAAACTGTTCCTACTTGACACCAAAGACCTTCCAGCTGAAGTGGCCTCATCAACTCACTTGCAGGAAGCTCTTCGAATTCAGAACGAAACCAAAAAGAGTTCTGATGATATCATTTCGGCTTTCCTCCGTAAACTCTGGAACCACTCGATGGAGTCCATCCAAGATGCTCTGGGTTCGGATGTGGTGGAGCAGTCCAAGCTGCACGTTATCATCACCATGCCAGCTATTTGGCCCGCCTATGCACAGAGTAGAATGAGAGGAACTGTCCGGGCTTCAGGTATCCTTGACTCGCGCCCAGCAGGCGCCACTAATCTTCGCTTCATCACTGAACCAGAGGCCGCTGCTCTCGCCACCCTCAAAGACGCTGCTAAACGATCGACCATCCAGGTACAGTACAATACGTGGCATTCTGGAGAATAAGTAAGCTAAAATACTCTCAGGCTGAGGATACTATCGTTGTTTGCGATGCGGGGGGTGGCACGGTTGTAAGTCCATCTTCAAGCCGAACTGTTCCCTGCTTACATGCAAAAGGACATCATCAGCTACATGTTCGAATCTACAGGCCCATGCAGCGTCAAAGAATGTGTGAAAGGCGACGGTGAGTCACCATAGCATACATCGACGCACTCATCTTCATTGTTTCTGAGTGACTGACCTGCAACCAGGCGATCTTTGTGGAGCGCTGTTCCTAGATGAAGGATTCGTCGAGCTCGTCAAGACCCAAATCCCCGATGGCACTTGGGACATGGTCAAAAAGTCTGATGAGAAGAAGTTTCTCAATGATCAATGGGAGCACGGCATCAAACACCAGTTCACTAATCAACAGAAACTCTGGCTGGTCGATCTTCCTGATGTCTGCAACAAAAGTTCATCCAAGGGCTTGAAAAGTCGCACAACTTTGGAGTTCACCTCGTAAGAATGGAACATATAGATGATTTTCGACTTACTGATTTTGTTTATAGTGGCGAGATCTTGTCTGTCTTCTCCCCAATCGTGAGCAAGATTGAGGCCCTGGTGAATCGGCAAGTCGATGCTATTCAACAGAAATACGGCAAGGCACCCAAGGTATTTAATTCTTGAATATTTAACTACAATCAATCGTTTAACTTAAATATCCAGTACATCGTTCTTGTCGGAGGGTTTGGTCGCAGCCGATATCTCTTCAACCGCCTTCGGGACCGATTCGAGCCAACTGTGCTGCAGTCACGCGGAACCAAACCGTGAGTATTTGTGCTTCGATAAGCCAGGCATCTGTGTTTCTTCATGACTAACAACAATTTAGATGGACTGCTATTTGTCGCGGTGCGGTCATCCAAGGTCTTATTCAACAGGGCCTCTCTACCACTTTGGGGATGACTATCGCATCACGCGTCGCTCGGATGAGTTACGGCATCAAATACAAATGCACATTCATCGAAGGCATACACGATGCTTGTGACAAGGTTTGGGATGAGAAAGAACTGGAATACAAGGCCGACAACCAAATGAGATGGTTTCTCGAAGAGGTAAGCGAACCAGGAAGATGCGGAATGGTTCAGAACTAATGTGCCACAACTCAGGGTGAAAACATCTCCTCCAAACGGTCGGTTCACCATAACTATCACCGTTGCTACCCAAAGTCGAGCAGAAAGTTTCAGCGAGTTTCAATCAAGATCTTCTGCACGACAGAATTTCCTCCGCCTCCAGTGTACCGTGCTTCGGGATCTATTCGACTACTTTGCACGGTCGACTGGAACAAGCAGATCGATATCAACACCCTGCCCAGGTACACCAACCGCAAGCAAGAGACTTTCCCGAGGCTTTCCTATCGGATCCAGATGGATTGTGAAGATGGGACTGTGAACTTCGCGGTCTACTACAAGAATAAAAGAATGGGCGCTCATGATGTTGAGGTTCAGTTCAACTAGGCCATTGAGGCAAGTATTCCGGGGGTGGTTGGCAGATGATCGGATCATGAATGCACTTGGCATACTGCTTTGGAGAAAGCAGCCAAGAGGACACGTTAACCCATGGGTATTGGGGGTACGATAGTAAAATGGATTGTGTAAATAAGAGTTTTGTAAGAACTATGCACTTTAGAACGATTATCGTGAACATAAGTCATGATCTCCATCCATCGGTGACATTATACCAACAGTTCTTTAGACATCGGGCGCTTTTGCTCGACTGCCAAGTCCATAATCTCAAGGCCCAATGTGTAGGCAGGTTAGCAATAGAAGTGAAGGAATTAACATGGTCACTGAGGTTGTGATAACCAGCTAGCTGTATATGGAAGAAGGACTTTGGGTGTTGAGATGAGACTCCAAGTCAGCGGCGTCCAATACATTTGATGCGCTTGTATGGGTCAGCTTAATTTTCGCAAGGCCTGCCTGTAATTAAGTGCGAGGCAGAAAAAAGGAATTCATAGGATTGCCATAGGATGATGCCGAGACAAGATGTACCGCGGCAGGTATGCCTCTTTATGGCCATATAAGCGAAGAATGTTGGCAATTGAGTTTGACGTTGAAATAAGACGCGACGCAGATAATCATCGGGATAATGTTCAATGTCAACGGGCCTAGAGGGCGGTGCACGAAAAGGATTGATTATTAAAGTGAAGATCTCATTATTAACATTGGGCTGAGCGAGGCAAAAAACGCGGCAGTTCTAAAATTAGATAGAGTATGTTCTGAAGCTACCCGGGACGAGACTAGCAATGGGCTGTGTGCTCTTGGGATGGAGTGAGGCTTTGCTTTGCTAGTCAGGCCAGGGGAAACGTGTTTCGTGAAAGATGTCTCTCGTTTCGTAGTAGTCACCAATTCATAAGGCTGTGCGATTGAGAAAGAAATGGCGGGCATGTGTCTCGCTTGTTTACGTTAGTAGAATGTCTGTGAGTAAGATGGACGATGGATGCTGACAGTGGAGGAGGAGGAGCGGTTCAAATGTCCATCCTTGACCGTCAGTTTATCTGTCAGCCGCAGCCCAATTCAGATCCAACGGGAGCTTCCATACCATCCCATCCCACATCCCACATGCAATTTGTCACTATAGTAGCGGTAACTCAATCTCAGCTCAACTCAACTGAGTGCAACTACCGGTGAATATTATGTACTTTGGTGATGTATTGTATTGCGTTGTTCGTGTTACAGTACTACAGATAGTCCCACTTGATTTGTTTGTCTCTCACATGTTGATCAACTGGGGAAAAAATCCATCGTAAAAAAAAGTGGTGGTGGTGGAGGTGGATCGAAATCCTAGCAGGTGTCGTCAGCACCAAAATGTATTGCTGTGCATTCAGGGTCCTTGCGTTCTTTTCGTTTGAGTCTGCAAGGATCATCAAGACCCATGCTAGGTACCTATTGGGCTGAGTTGAGAAATAATACGGAACAGTGAATTACCGTTGGAGGATAGGATTGATCTGATGGAGCCATCAATGTCATCATGAGCATCTCAGCGAAAACGGAACTTCTACGGAGGCTCCCTGTCTATCAATCAAGGCTTGTTCCATTCAATGGGTTTCGGCTGCCGGGCCAATGACATGATCGTCATGCTGATCGTTAAGATAGAGAGTTTGCATATGGATGTTTACTCTCTTTTCTGTCACTACTTGTGTCCTATTGTCAGCCAACATACCATCTGATTGTCTATTCTTCAGCCGTTCAGCTAGTACAGCCTGATCGGAGCAAATGAGAAGCTGCGCCCTCAAGGTTGGACAGAGTGAAAACAAAAACAAAAAGGCAGCGAAAGCTTCAGTGGCTGAGCGGCGTCCTAATGTCTCCACTGTGACCTTTTTAGTGGGAACCTGACCTCAAGCTGTAACGACCTGAACCCGGGCTTGGGATGGGAGTCGTAAGCACGACGCCTCCAACACAAGGCTTACTTTTTGGACACTGTACTCCAGCACAAAAGTCTGTATAGTTACAGTGTGTATCTCACCTCACACTATAACCGATCTCAACTGTCCGGGGTATCGACGCTGCGCCACTCCACTCCTCCACGTCAAAGGGCCAAGCCAACCACCCCCTCTTCTTACAGCTCATGGATGCGGACCTGATGCTGCTGGGCTTGGGTTTGGGCGTTGTAGGACGGGCTGTATCACTAAAAACTAAACGTACCTTAGTGCTCACGCCCAGCACCAGCCCTGGCTTCAGCTTTTTATAAAACCACCGCTCTCTTCCTCCCTCTTTCTTCTTGCTGTATCTCGTCTCATCTCATCTCACCTTTTCCCTTTTTTTATGTTCGCGTCATCTTACCTGTCGCGTTCTGTTCTACTCACTCGAATAGAGTCATTCGCTTATAATAGCACTCGTTCGCTGCTAACTCAACTTACGTCATACCGATTCGACCTCCGATATCGAAAAGACGTTTTACAAAAACATCCCACCGCATAATCAACAACCACACAAAAACTCAATCTTACAACCGCAAACTATAATCGAAAATGGGCGTCGGTCGATTTTTCTGTGTGCTATTGCCGTTCGCACTTACTGTCGGCTCCATTATCTTCCTCCTCGTCGGTGCCCTCGCTGGTGTCGCCGACAAGTCTCTCTACATCTTCCGAGTCGATGTTGAGAACCTCAGCATCAACCCCGCCGATGTCGACAACATCGTCGACAACCTAAACCTCGACGAATTCAAGGTCAACACCCGTGATGTGCCCCAGCTTTTGACTCGTGCCGAGGATGGTGCTCCCATCAAGGATAACATCACCGCCAAGATGCTCGGTCTCGACAAGTACTACGACATTAACCTCTGGGGTTTCTGCAAGATCGACAAGGATGGCAAGCGAAAGTGCGAGGAGCCTGAGTTTGACTGGGCCAGCAAGTCTCTCAACACCTCTACTCTCGTCGGTACCAACAAGAACATCGCTATTGAGCTCCCCGATGAAATCCAGAGTGCTCTCAAGGCCTTCCGAACTGCCACCAAGTGGACCCAGGTCGTCTACATCGCTGCCTTCATTGCTCTTGCTGCTGAGATCGTTCTCGGAATCTTCGCCAACTGCTCTCGTATCATGTCCTGCTTGACATGGGTCGTCGCCGGCCTTGCTAGCACCCTCGTTATCGGCGCCGTTGTTCTGTCTGGTGTCCTGGCTGGTACTGTTGTTGGTGCTGTGGAGGCCTCTGCCAGGTTTTATGGTGTCCAGGGTCACATCAACGGCCGATTCTTCGCCTGCGTCGCTATTTCCGCCGCTTTCGCCCTTGGTGCCGGTCTCTTCTGGATGTTCACCATCTGCTGTTGCAAGCCTGAGAGCCGATCCGACAAGAAGAAGAACCGCCGATCTGACGGCGAGAAGCTCCTCGGTGGTGCTGGCAACAAGCACGGCTCTTACGCTCCTCTCAGTGACGACCACGAGATGCAGACTGGCTACTACAACCACAACCAAGGCCACTCCCAGTACGGGGCTCCTCGCTACCCCGCCGGTACTGCTCGTTCCGATCTCGCCTACGAGCCCTACTCTCACCGTGCCTAAACAGGCGCGCGAGTAGTTCTCACGACATGATTCTCTAAGTTTTAACTTAACCTCTGATGATTGCATTAAAGGCGTTCTGGTTTTTGGTTCTGGGAATGAATGATAGGATATCGTTTGCTACAGTACTCATGCTGTTATGAACTGTTTTTGTTTATGTTTACGGCTCAGCAATGGTCGTTGGGAGATATCGGTGAAGGGGAAGATGCCATGGAAAGGCATGATACCCAAAGTTATTATTTTTGGTTGGGCAATGGGATGAACATACGTAGCTTGATCTTATACTCGCCCTTTTTATCGTTAAAATACAAACAAATTACTTCATTATCTGTCTCATCATTGTTTATTGTGATTGTTGTGACTGTTATGAATTAGGTGAAAGCTTCACTCGTTATGGGTCATTGATGAGCAATTACTAGAACCAGTCCAAAAATTTTCGCTCATGGCTGACTGAACCCACACCAAACCTCACTCATACAAGTGCTCAATTCCTCTCCTCCACTTGACTCATCCCAGTAGCAGTGAGAGGTTACATCAAAATACACATGTCTTGGAAATATCAGTGAACGTTTATTGTAATTTTCTTTTTGTCTCAAATTTTGTGGCCATGACAGAGGTAAGTTATTGTGCTGCCCCTCCCCCGCTATCATGAGCTCACGCATCCATAGTCACGCCTTACCCGGGGATTTTTCCAGGGTCCCATCACTTCACTCGCATTCTTCAAGGATGCAGAGTATCTTCTCGCTGGCGAGGATACTCATCTAGCCCTCCATGATCTACGACTTGGGCATGCTGTCCGTGTAGGCAGTGTCCGCGTCTTCTCAGCCCAGCCTATTCATGGAATTCGTCTATTGAGCAATGGAAGGGCACTCGCCTGGGGCGCCGCGCAGATCGCTGTTATCTCGAATATTGAGAGTCTTATTGATGGATCAGATGACTCAGTGGTGGTGAACAAGACTGCTGCTCCAGATTGGGTCTACGATGTTGCGCCGTCACCATACGATGACTCTTCGGCGGTTCTTGCCACAGCTCATAACGAGGTTGTTCATCTGAAATTGAACGGTGAGGATGCTCCTGTTATTGGTGCTGTTGTCTCGCCTTCACGACCGATTCTTTACGCTGCGAGATTGAAATGGCTAGACCAAGACTTTGTCCTCATGGCGGGCGGTACCATCTTTGGCGAGATTTTGGTATGGCGATGTCATGTTTCAGAGAGCCGATCTGAACTTCTCGCCATTCTCAACGGCCACGAAGGATCCATTTTTGGTGTTGATATCTCAGAAGAACTACCTTGCGAGGATGGGTCGACGTTGAGGCTTATTGCCAGTTGCAGTGATGATCGTACGGTGAGAATCTGGAATATTACCGGACAAGAAGGAGGACACGAGAAGAAGCACGACTTCGCTGCACCAAGAGAGACTGGCTTCGGATCAAAAGCAGGTCTGGATGAGGGTCCTAGGGCCGAGGAGCTGCGACCTGTTGCGACTATTATGGGCCATTTGTCGAGAATCTGGGGTATCAAGTTTGCTACTCTGACAGAAGGGCAGACACTACCGAAAGCCCCTATGTCCCTTTACTCCTTCGGAGAAGACTCTACCGCCCAAAGGTGGCAGCTCAAGATCGATATCTCGCCAGAGAAGGTATCCGGATCTTTAAAGCACATCGAGACATATGCTGTGCATGATGGCAAGCATCTCTGGGCACACGCTGTGGTCAACCGAGGAGACCAAACACTCATAGCGACGGGAGGAGCTGACAGCAAGATCTCGCTCATCACCCAACCTGCGTCTTTGACAACTTCTGGGTCAACATCGATAGACGAATTGAAGGGACTTGACTTCCAGGATGTTGCAACCGTTTTGCCGAGTCTTCGCGAGCTCAAGCCTCTCCGCGCAAAAGAAATATTCAGCCGTTACGATTTCATCTCTGATGATCGTGTGTTGGTGACGACGAATTGGGGGCGGCTCCTTGTGGGTGTTTTACAACCACATCTCGAGTGGGAGGAAATCGAGCTGGAGGAAGAAGTGAACGCTGAGTTTCAATCATGCTATACACTCAAGACGATTGGCGAGGGAGCAGCTATCCTAGGAACGACCAGCGGCAAGTTATACTATTACTCTGAAGCCCAAGGAGTTACACTTATAGGCTCTGTGCCCGGCAAGATTTTCAACATCTCAATATTATCAACTACTGGCGAAGGACCTACAGAGCTTATTGTTCACCTCCACGGCACTTCGGACTCCCAGTATTTCTCTATCGATTGGCGCACAGGGACTGTGGAAGCCACGGCAGATATCCGTGGCATTGACAAGAGATTCGTTGCCATCTCTGCCGCCCGCTTCAGGAGTGACCTGATCGCCATCGGATCACGACACGGCTTTATCTCAATATTGAGACAGACTGGCAATGAATTCCGTCCTATTTTGGACTTCAGGTTCAACACACGAGACGCCATCACCAGCCTGGTCCCTCTGCCAACTACCGAAGGACAAGAAGCACCTCTATACTTCCTGGCTACAAGCCGAGATACCAAGTACAGAATCTACGAAATCGAAGACCTTGGCGAGGAAGTCCGCTTGCACCTCCAGCATGAAGTCGCTGCCCCTTCTGGTGCAGACATAGAAGGGGGTTGGTTCACACAAGATGCGTCCCCCGAATTGATCTTGTACGGCTTCAAGAGCAAGAACTTTATCGTCTGGAATGAAACACGACGCGAAGAGATCGCTTCGATTGACTGTGGAGGTGCTCATCGGACATTTACCATTGCACATGATCCTGTTGACCACAACAAAGTTCGCTTTGGATACACGAGGGTCAGCAAACTTTACATCTTCTCGCAGCACACGCCGATGCACCGACCGCTCAGGTATGGAACACACGGCAGAGAGATTCGGGGTTTGAGTGCAAATGGCCGATACATTGCGACCGGTGCGGAAGATACAACTGTGCGCATCTGGGAGTATGAGGATCAAGAGTCAGGAAAGAAGGACACTGGACTACGATGTGTCGCCTCTACAAAGCTACATATCTCAGGTTTGCAAAAGATCCACTGGGTTGGAGATGACTACCTTCTCAGCAGTGCTGGCTTTGAAGAGTTCTTCGTGTGGTCAGTTCGAAGACTAGACTCACAGTACAAAGGACTCGGTATCCTGTGCGAAGGTATTCTTGACGACAAGAGTCCTGCCGCGGATCTTCGAATCATGGACTTTGACGCTTGCAAGGACGCCAACGGAAATATCATCATCACCATGATCCTGTCCAACTCGACCTTGAAAACATACCGATACACTCCAGGAAAGGGCTTCCATCTTCTGGCTCGCATGTCGTACACGGGAGCTTGCTTGACACAGATTCGCTATCTCGGGGTGGACGAAAAGGGCCTTTCGGCACTTACAGCTTCTACCGATGGACATCTGACTACTTGGGAAGTGAACTTTGATGAGCCCCTGGTATCCAGTCATGTGCTTGTCCAAGTCGCCCCCGTGCATCAAAGCAGCATCAAGTGTCTTGATCTCCACCCCACCCCAGAGGGCTTCTTGGTTCTTACAGGTGGCGATGACAACGGTCTCGGTGTCACGACCCTCGCCGCCATGTCAAACGAGTCGGGTAACCGCAGATACACAACCTCGAGCCGTGGAATAGTGCGCAAGGCCCATGCAGCAGCGATCAACGGTCTTGTGCTTGTGCAACGCGAGGCGGAAACATTCGGCATCACTGTCAGCAACGACCAGCGCGTCAAGGTCTGGAGTGTACAGCCTGGCAAGGTGAAGCTGGTAGCTGATGCGTATAGCGGTGTTGCTGATCCTGGCGATATCGCTATCGTGGGAGAGAGTGATGGTGAGAAGCTCAAGGTCGTGCTTGGAGGAGTGGGTGCTGAGGTCTGGTCATGGTGAGAGATTGAGTTTGGCGTTATTGGGGGCTTGGAGTTTGTTTAGATTTCATGTGAGAGATTTGGCTTGTGGGGATGAAAAGTATCATAGAATGTACGGCCTTGATGTTTTATACATGGCGAGTTTATACTCGGTTCGACTATGCTATCGCTGTCTTATTTCGACACTCATGATCAGATAAATGAGGAGGCTTTTGCAGAGGTGATCCAATGATTCTACCACGTGTTACTTCTCAAGAGAACCCAAATGTGTCGTCTCAGTGATCTGGTTGGTGAAGATAAGTGTTGGGAGATAGGGGAAGCCGAACCTCCACAATGGACATATGCTTCTGCTTGGTGTTGACATTACTGTCTCGGATGAACCTGATTCTGGAGAAACCTTTATTGGCACAGAGCAAATGTCATAGCGCATTAGCTCAGTGGTTGATTACTGCTCGCCTATCTCGTCTCTATCTGTTTGTTGTATCTACCTAAGCTGCGATTATGGACGTATCCCTTCTCCGGCGTTGAAACGCCACCGTGGATAGTCTTATCAGAGTTTTGATAATATAACTTTAATCGAGTATATGAATTATATGTAGAATCTGCTGGGACCGGTCCATGTTACTTCAATTATTACTCTAATCTAATACCTTCTATATCTACAAACACTTCTACCTATTTCATCTCAGGTCTAATCACTCAAAGACCAACTATCTCCTAAGCGACCACGACGACCAGTTCTTCAACTCAACCTCTACCTAATATGTTCCGGTTTACGACATACCCAACACTCCGCTCTACACTCAGAGTCCTACAAACACCAACACTTAGACAAGCAAGACTGTACCGCACAAAATCACAACCTCAGAACACAACTACCGAACATACCTGTACGAACGAGCAGAGGATACAACTTCCGTCGAAGCACATCAAGGAATCATTCGCAGCATCGGGGAAACAAGCTTGTTACGATGGACTTTTTGACGTGTGGCTACTGGCGTTTCTCAACAATGTGTCGAAGAATGCTTCTGGGAATCCGGCTGTGGGGATTTTCAGCAGACATTATCCTAGGGTGTTTTTGAACGAGGGAAAGTAATATGCGAGTGGTCTGTGTATTTGGCTGCACTACGGATATAATCCACAGAGACAAGTACTTTTGTCGTTGCCAGGATAGCGAGGACATGTATCAACATTCCACTTCTCTACTCTTCATATCGCTAGTGGTCGAGACATGAGAGAAACGTGGTATATCTGGGATAGAAGTGTCTAAGCTTAATCAGAAGTGGAGCAATAGAGAAATGCCAAGACATTTCTTGATATGTCGCAATTGAAGGTCCCTTGCATTCTCAAGATTGTCCAACGGTCGAGATCGGCAAACTACAGCCGAGGAATCTGAGAATTAACCGATATAAAGTGACAGGACCCAAGTAATCCCGTCAATCAAAGCAGGTCAGCGCAATGACTCTGTTATAGAAGTGTTTCGAGATTCCTCGCCAAAAAGCACCAGCCAAGTGACTGCAATTCGGATTGAGGGTAAGCATAGGGCTGAGCCAAACTAGAAACAAGAATTAAATTTGGAATTGGCGTTTATTGTTTCGTTTGTCATGTCTCATGATTCAAGTCTAGACCTTGTGGTTGTGAAACAGTGTCTGTCTGTCTTTCTTTCTCTTGATTCATGTCTCTGACCTGATTTCTGGGAATGTGGGCGCATTGTCGCGTCCCGAGAGATAGTATAAGTGATACACTACACTTCGGTTCGTTGTAGATCGTGATAATTAGAGAGAGAATAAAAGGGTCGGCAGTTGAAGATAACAGCATCGAAAATCCAATTGCAAGGTTCCATCAAGTTGATTGTGACCCCAGGAATAATGACGCAAGTGGGCCCTTTCCTTGTCGTACCTGCATTAGTGCGAGAAGGACCCAAAACTGAAGCCCAAAAACCAAGGAATTAAAAAGGGAAGGAATGTTGTTGATGGATCGACTATCACGAAAGAGAAAAAACTTCTTTCATTCTTCTTGCCCGGAGAAGAAATCGCCGGATGCAGTTGCCTTTTTCTACCCTGTCAGTCTTGGCAGTTGCACCAACAGACTCCACTGGCCCAGGCTTTGGCTGTTTGCAAACATCCATTGCATCTCCCTTGAAATTTTGTTCAATTTATTCTGCAGTGCTTCTAATATAAATTTCAGGCCAAAGCTCGCCTTTTTTTTTCCTTTTCCCGCTCTTCAGCTTTTGCCCAACGTCACTCTTTGTCTCTTCAAGCTGTTGTCATTCTTTTCTACAAATAGTCACTCTTTACCCAACGCCTACACTCTTTACTCGACCAGAAGTCGTCTATAACTACGCATTTTTTACTACTACGACTACTATCACTGACTCTATCACCACCATCACCATGAAGTGGTTCACTCTCGTTTTTGCTGCTTCTGCTGCTTTCGTCACTGCCTCGCCTATCGCAAGATCCTCCATCTCGCCAACTGGACCTTGCCCCGAAGTGAGTACCACAAAGAAACGCATAACTGTACCCAAACTTACCAAGTCTTCCAGTCCAAAGTCGATGCTATCCTCAAAGGCGAAATGGATGCCTCCGAGTGTTGCTCGTACGGCAAATGCAAAGGCGATGTAGTCGTCTCGGTTGGCTAAAAAGCCCACACTCTTTACCAGCACACATATGCACACACGCATGCATGGAAGATTTACGACGTTATGACAAACACCACTGGATTACATCCATACATATTTCCTACAACTGAATGATAACCACCAACGAACCAAGAGAGAATCCGACTCGGCCTGCAAAGACGGGTTTTACATACGGTCTTCTATCAAGAACATGTAACGGAGAGGACAATCTGATCGAGCTGTCCTGTGGTCCACCTGAAACTGTTTCGAGATGCGCTAGACGCTGCACGACATAGTGAAGAAGCGGTTGGATTCAAATTAAGATCATGTACGATATTGAACCCATTTGCACGAAATGCAGAAAAGGTTCAGTAGCTGGGAGGAATGGTTACGATTTGTGTTTACGCTGCAGATAGTCAATACCTGAGCTGAATGTGAAACGATTCCCAATTTACCGCCATCTTATGCTGTCCGGAAACAGTATCTTCAACCCCCGCAATACCGCTATGACCTCTTGGGGAAACCTCAAACTAAACGGAACAGACAGTGACATTCATGATCAGAAGGATATCAAACGACAGAGACCCAAAGTGCCATAATAGTAGAGACGAATAAGAAGCGACAATCGTTGTTGGTGATGATGATCGACTTTGGTGGAAGCGGCCCGCAGCCAATTCTGATTTGTTATGCACAGTTCTAGATCTCATCAGTTGCTGCCGTTGATCTTGATCCTGATCCTGATCAACACAGTTCATGAGCCTTCGGAAAGTGACGTGAGCAGTAGCAAGTAAGAAAGCTTGAATAGCTGCTTAACTACAGTAGTTGGCCAGTCTACAGTAGGTCTAGGTTAAAGTAGAAGCTAAAAAGCGGAGTCAAGCTCCGAGCCTAAGGAAGCGGAGTCGATCTTGATCCGGTCCCTTAGTTGAGGGATCGTAAGGCGTTGCGTAGAGTGACAAGAGGAGGTGGTCACGAGGGGGCAGTTTTTGGGGCTGGATTGAGCTACGACATGCAATGACGATGTTGCTTGTCAGTGGGAGAAGGATGCTACCATTGAGTTGAGGGGTACAAATACTGGGTTCTCATTGGAGAAGTGTGCTATACCGGGTACGGGGTTTAATGAATGATTTCTCTTCCCCAATTCTGTCATTCTCTACAAAACACAATTTGCCTCGGATGCTGCAATTGTCCCTTCTTGTAAGTTATATTGCAACGTCGAATACTTGGTTCATCGCCATTCACCTGATGTGATCCATGGATGTTCTGATATCGTATCCTTCGGTTGGTCGGGGATGCGTCGGTGGGGCATCCGTGTTAGCAAGGTCCCATCAATATCGATTCTCAAAGTGTGGAGCGTCCAATCCGCTCTCACTGTGACTGCAACTAACTTGGACCCAAGCCCTGTAAGTACAGGGACATGCACACCACCAGAGGCGAAGGGTCATTGCAGAGGTTCAAATCACTCAATCATCTATTTGGATATCATCTTATGATATATGTTGTCTCCGGCAGTTGATTCAGACAGTGAGATGGATATCAGATCAAGTCCAAGATCATTTCATTGTCTTCACTGCTGTACCACGCTTCAAACACTGCTCCAAGACTCCCCTGATCGTTCAGCCTCCAAATACTCCCCAAAAGGTGTGGAACAGAACCTAACATCACGTCACGTCAGAGGCGCTTTTCTCTCCGCATGCACATACAACTCAAGGTTGATTGATGCATGCAACAGACACCTCCGACTCCCAATGCTTCTTGCTTCTTGCTTCTCCTCGCACATCACGAGCTTAGCTTCTCGGCTACCCTACGGAGAATAAGCATTCATCGACGATTGCCGCTGCAAGAATTCAAACCCATCCAATCCAATACGATGGCCTGATATGACACGACACCAGGTTCAGAAGCTTAGACCCCTTCAACGGTTAAAGCTCACGGACATTGTGCAAAAAGCAATTGCTTGGCCTATTAAAATTGTCAATGGATCTGTCCGAGAAAAGCCCCAAGATACCTTGTCTTAAGTGTCCAGGGGTATCAATATCGTTCGTAACTCGACGTCCTCTTCAGGGTCCATTTATCGTCACTCTTTCCAGAGAGAGGCACCGAGTAATGGATGGATGGGTGGATGGCACAGAAGCTGAGGCGTTGTCGATGCCATCCGTACAGTACATAAAAGTCTAGGCCAGTCCAAAAATTGAGTCTTTCCACGATACCTCTCTACCTTGCTGCATCTCCATGTAGGATCAACCATACGTGACAATTGAGTCGAGGTAACCCAAAACAATTGATTGGGTGATTCAACGCCGTCTTTGTTCCATCCAATTTATGGTTCCCTTACCCCAGCTTTCACTCTTGCTTCAATTGGAAGTCTCCATCCACCATCCAATCTATTCCTCTTAAGCTGCCTTAGGCTCGATACTTTCACCTTCACCACCATCACTTGGCTGACACCATCTTTTAAGGCGCCCCCCTCTTCTTCCTTCCAGAGGATAAAAAAAAACATATCAATATCCTGTTTCCCTCATTGGCAATTTTCTTTGATTCCTCTCGCCTTACTGTACCTACAGAGCTTTGTGGCCATCGTCTGTCTTACTGTACGGCCCAAGTTAGCGTCGACTACTCTACCGGTACCGGCCTGGCTGCCGAGGCGACGAAGTTAATCGCCCGCCCAGCTACCAGCTACCGAACTCAAGCTAGTGGTTCTACGGATAGCTCTCCCCAGATCACCGTCAAGTCCCCGCCGCTTTCTTTTCTGAGACCTCCGCCAACTTCACATCTACTGTACCACGTTTCCAGATCGAGTTATCGCTCAACACTGGTAGACCTTTTACGCAACATATCTTTTCTGAAAATCCAGGTAAGACCTTTTCAGTTAATTTCTGTTCATCCTTTTCTGTGTGACGACGCTGCTTCGCTCAAAGCATCCATCAGCCCGTCTAACCGGCGTTGCGTTGCTCGAGCCACCAAAACCCCCAAGCTTTCCGCAAGCAAGCTCTACCCAGTCACCAAAAGTATCGGTACCTTGCTCTAGGGCTTTCGCTAACGCATCGTTCTCCAGCTTTGACTGGCAAATGGACTAGGGGACAGAGAGTCTCCTGCCTCGCTCGTAGCTCGCCTACCCCTCAGCCCAGTCCCGTCCCCTGATCAGAAGATCACATCAGTCGGGCTCTGAGGCTCTCCCCACTTCGGTACTCTCCACAGCTTTCTCCTCGCTCCACCTTCTCTTATTCATTCATTCATCATAAAGGGTTGTTGCGACTCTACGGATAGTCTAGGTCAATTTTCCTCCTGTCCTGTCCTGATCTGTTCTTCTTTGTTCAGTCAGGCCAGTCAACTTTTGCGACGTAGTCCACGGCGCGCTTACAGCTAGGAAGCCCCCTCCCCTGCTGCGCCGCCTAATTACAACCTAAACTCCCAAAGCTTCTCCATTCAAAGCTTCCGCGCCACCCTGGTACTTGCTACTAGGTGCGAGAGGAACGGCAGTATTAACTGGAGGTTCATACCGCCCAGTTAGAACCTGGTCTCGTGTGAACTGAATCCCGTCTCGACAACTCGAACACTCGGCGCATTATATCGCATCGAAACCTAAGAGCAGCCACGACAACCAGCCGCCAACAGCGACAGAAGCAGCAAATACCTATCGCGACACAACACAGCACTGCACACTACAACGCTGTTCCGCGACACGCGACACCCATAACTATCCCCTCCTCCTCCCACGCCTCTTCACCAAAACCATCTTTACCCACTACCGCCTCTTTGCAGCGCGCCGCTGTCATTCTCCCCCGCCTTCCGACTGCATTCCGCAAACTCTCTCGGGCTCTTCCCCCGTTCCCTCATTTGACTTGCACACCTTGTGCCCGCCCGTCACCAACTTTCGCGATCAACCACCCGCCTTGATCTTCAACAAGACTTCTTGATTGTCTACAGGGGTCGACGCAGGTTTCAATCTGAGAGTTACGATACAGGCCTTGTGATCGCTAATTGTTCGCCACCGCCGCCGCGCTTCTTGCCTTGTTGCCGCCCCCGGTGCAGCATTAACCCCGCGTCACTTTGGGTGTCGGACTTCGCGCGCTGCTTTCGAGCTCTTTCACTGACAATGGGCCACGATTGAGTCTCCTTTGTCGCTACAGCCTATATCAGTTCTCACGCAGCCCTCACTCCCACGGGTATTTATCTGCGCCCTTTATTCTCATCCGACAACTTGAATCTTCTGTTTGCGCCTGGGGTTAGACGCGCTGGTGTTTAGATATTCTGTCGCCTTCTTCCAAACTAATCATCCACCTTGGCTCAAGCCGCACTGGTATATCGCAACCACACATCTGCGACTCTACCGACATTGCAACCCAACAAGGCTGCATTTCCCCGACACCGATCACTGAATCAGTGTCATTTTTCCTACGTTTCATCTGTTTTTAACGATCTAGAATTTGGCACGTGTAACGACCTAGTCTTTAGATATACTTGAGATCTACATCTCTGGTAAGTTTCACTTGTTGCACTGCAGCTAATCTGGGTCATTTTGACCAAGATTCTGCCTCATTTCTCAGGTCTCCTTTTATGCACTCTCTTTCTTTTGGCACCATTATCTGTATTTCCTTCTCCTAATTTTAGAGGAGCCACTTATTTGCCGTTTTTCATGACACTCTATTCATTGTTGAGCGCTCCGCTAATCATGTGCAGTTGCGTTTATTACTTCTCAAAGAATCCTTTACAGCCTACAGCTTTATTTCGGCATCGGCTTTGTTTCTCTGCGTCTTTCGAAACACGATCAACTTGTGCTAGCTAATTTGCCGTAAAAACCCAAAAGCTCTCAAATAGTAGAGCAATATCAACCAGCTGCTTTTGTGATTTCAAATTCATACAGAGAAAGAAACACAGGCAGTGTGTGTTCTAAACAATGAGCTCCGGTTCTCTCAAAACAGGGCCGTCTTCAAGACTCGGTCAAGGGTCTCATCCCACCACTCCAGGCAACAACCAGTCATTGCTGCTCGATAAATTGCATGCAAGGACCTCTACGCCCGATTCCGAGGCTCTCGCTAGTTCAGACGACGAAGGCGATCATCGATACGAATCTGCGCAAGCAACCAGCCAGCTCACATCATCTCAACCACCTAAGCCCGTTCGACGACCTTCGTGGTTAAACGAAACCTCTCAAACTCTGGGTCGTCCTCGCAGAAGCTCAATTGCTAGTAACTCAATGTCGCCAACGACTTCGCATCCCAGCACGCCATCTGGTGAAGCTGGTGCTGGAGCCTGGGGATCTCACTCAACTTCATCCGTGATGGGTAGACAACCAGGCGCATCCGCTTTCCCATGGAGTGGTACTATCTGGAATACAGATCGTAAAGACCCCCCTGCGCGGCTCAGTGAAGTGTTGCCCTCACCGACATCAACACTGCCGCCCGGTGGCGGCAACTCGTTCTTTAACTCGGAGATACAAACATCTCCAGTTTCGCGAGACCCTGTCCCTAACGCTCAAATCCCGTTTGCTATTCCACTCCACCCCACTCCTAAAACGTATCGATCGCAGTCTTATTCCGTCGGGCAGCTTGACCCTGAGAGCAATGCCGCGCCGCCTTCGATGAGCTCCTCGGCCATGATGGGACGTGCTCGCCACCCTGCGCTTCAACATCGACCCTCACGCCCTAGTATGCTGAGCGAGATGGCCAACGACGGCACAATGCTTGGCAAGGTCAAGGAAGTTGAGGACGATGAGGATGAGAGCCCGAGTGAATCGATGCAAAATTCTTTTCATCAGTCCTCAGATGCTAAAACAATTGAAATGCTGGCACGCGAAAACGCCATGCTACGCCAACAGCAGCAACAGCAACAGCAACAGCAACAGCAACAGCAACAGCAAACGCAGTACAACTCCCGCATCAGACCCCGCGCAGTCACTGGTAACTCCTACACTGGAAACGGCTATTCCTTACGGGAAACGGTTCCAGAAAATTCCGATTACGCTATTGATGAGCTCGATGAAGCAAACGAGTCTGGGGACATGTTGGCCAAACGCGCAGCGAACAGGCGCATGAGTGAACTTGGAGCGGGTTTCCGTTCGCCTTTTGGTGATAACCGAAAGGCAGAAAACGCCCACCTCAAGAAAGCTGCCCTTGGCTGGTCCAGCTCTCTCGGCTTTTCCTCTTCTGACATCTCGCAGAGCAGGAGACATTCTTTTGCTACATTGCCCACTCGACAAGGCTCTATCAGCTCTATTCCTGATTCCGCACTAGAACCTTCCGCACTCGACATGCAGCAATCTCAGGATTATCCTCCGGGGTACCCCGATCCTGCCTCTTTCGGGGCCACTTCACATGGTATGCTGGAGCGCGAGACAACTGTGGATCCTTTGCTAACACCAACAATAGCTAACCAGTATTTTGGTGGAGGGGCCAACATTGGAGCGAACATGGGGAACGCCTACCAGGCTGGTTATGCCAATCAGTACGGATCTCCCTATGGTTTGCCCAACCCCTATGGCAACCGCGCGCCTTCTCCCCATCGCAATGTTTATAACATTGCCCAGCCCCGCCACAACCAGCTCCTTCATATGGTACTGTTCAAGTGCGCTCGAGCCGATGTGTTCTATATCCAAGAGGGCACTGGTCTCAACGTCAAGCCTGGTGATCTGGTGATAGTCGAGGCTGATCGCGGCACTGACCTGGGAACTGTAGCTAAGGACAACGTCGATTGGCAGGCCGCCAAAGACCTCAAAGAACATTACGCCGAAGAGCAGTACAAATGGCTCATGATGTACTCTCAAGGTGCTGCTGCCGCGCAGGAGGGATCTAGTGCAGGTCTCCTCGCCTCTTCCACCGGTCTTCAAGGAAGCGCGGTTGGAGGCATGGGACCTCCCAGCCAGCACCATGCGCAAGAGCCCAACGCCGGTGAACTTCGACCCAAGCTCATCAAGCGACTCGCCCAAGCCCACGAAATCCATGCCTTGCGGGACAAGGAAGGCCAGGAGGCGAAGGCGAAGCGTGTTTGTATGCAAAAGGTCAAGGAGCACGGTCTTAACATGGAGATCCTTGATGCTGAATTCCAAATGTGAGTCTTTCCACCATTCGTGAACCAAACGCAACTAATATGGTTTGTTTTAGGGACTGGAAGAAGTTGACTTTCTACTACTTCGCTGATTCGTACATCAACTTCAATTCCCTCGTAACAGATCTTTTCAAGATTTACAAGACGCGAATCTGGATGTCTGCTATCAACCCCGCATCATTCGCTAGTCCTACTCTTGGTATTCAGGCCCCTAGTGGTATCGGCCCTGGTGCTGTGAACGCCAACCGTGGTGCGGGCGGCAATGATCGTCGCCAGAACCAGCAGGTACAGGAGCCTCATCAGGCATCTGCCTTCACTCCTGGAGGCCGAGATGGTCGCGGGTACCGCCCAACCTTCAGTCAACCATTTGGCAACGAAAATCGCCTTCAGCAGCAACAGCCGCAGGCATCTGGGTACCCTCCCTCGAACTATCCTTCGTACCAACAGTTCGGTAGTCCTTTCACTAATCCCCGAACCAACCCTGGTTATGGTCCAGCTGCGATGGCTTCTCTTGAGGGTTATCCCGGAGCAGGTGTTCCCCAGCTTGGAGAATATCAGCCCATGCGTCAGCGGTTCCCTAACCCTCAGTCAGGACCAAGCCCTGCGCCTCACTCTCAGGCAACTTCCCCTCTAGCCCCTCAGAACGACTGGGTCGGAGGATTCCAAGGTCTTTCACTCAACACACACTGATCGTGTTGCCGCATACGTTTGGCGACCATGAAAAGTCTCTTCTCAATTCGCTCCTTTGCATCAAGACATATCGCAGCAATCTCTTTTCAATGGAAGAGAAGCAGTTGATATCTAAACAGTGGAGTTGTTGGCCAGTCTATCAGATTCAGAAGAGTCAGGACTTGCTTTTACTGGACTCAAGAAACGGATATTTGCGTGTGTGTTTAAGTATCGCATTAAGATTCCGGCATTCCCTTTCTATGATTTATTTTTGGGCGTTTACAGGCAACTCTCTTTCAACACTCGAGAAGTACGAGATTGCTCAATAGCTGCTTTCTATTTCGATATCGCTTTGTTCAGGATCAGTGATCCAACGGCCGTTTACGACAGGGAGTAGGGGAAGAAGACAAGACGACACGGATGGCATGGATATTGCTTTTACAGGTTGAGATTATAGACAGAAAGACCTAAGGGTTTCGCATTTAACGCTGTAACTAATATGCGATGAAAAAGGGACACTTGGAGATATAGCCGGAATCATGTATGACAAAGACTTCGTTTACTATTCATCTGCTTTTATACGTTTGCTGTTTTCTTTTTTCCCCCCTTAGTTGGGTTTGCTTTCGAGGGTTGCGTGCTCGGTTCGAGGCCTGAAAATGAGACTCTGTATGTGATAGATTAAATTGGAGCTCAGGTATCACTCATACATAATCGTTTCCCACAATGAAGCCGCAGATCTGATTGTGAAGAACGTGTTCCAAGAGAGACGGGTGCCTGCCTGTACAGGATGCTGTGTGTAACAGCTGACTTTTAAGAGGAAGGTGCGGGCGACTCTTGATTCTTGCCAACCTTTGGTAAGAGCGAGGGCGCACCTTCCCTCCAGCCCCGGAGTATGCCGTTCTCTTCCCAAAAAACAAACAAGACATTCTTTCTACACCGAGTCCAACCTATCAATTATCTGAGTCTGAGCACTTTTCTTTCCCGGCAATTGTCTAGAAGTTTCACATTGCATCTCAACATGCCTCAAGCTCGCAAGAGGAAGGCGTCAAGCATGGGTAGGCGCTTCCTCATCCTCCACCTTACAGTCAACTAAATATTATATAGAAAGAAATGATCCCAAAGATACGCCTCCAAAGAAAGCAGCTCGTGCGCGGAAGCCGGCTGCAACGACGACGCAACGGAAAGGCAAAGCTGCTGCCAATAACTCCACAACTACAAGGGGAAAGCCACAGCAAGGCAATGAGGCGAAGAAGAATATTCAAAAGCAGGCAGATGATCTTATCAAGCTGATTGATGAGGGGATCCAGACACGAACGTATGGGGTTCCTGGTGCTCGCATAATGAACATGCTAACTATAATAGCCCTCGGCTCGACCGCAATGCAATCATGAAAGAGTTCCCTTCGGGCCTTGCCACTGTTCTACCTTGGATGCACTCTACGCCAGCTTCAGCAAAGAAGATCCCAAACTACTCACAGCTGATGCTGAAGGCACTCGACAATCTGCGTAGCCACGTCGATGCCTACGAAACATTGGTTAAGAAAGATACCGGAATTGAAGTGCCGAACTGGATGCGCTGGAGACAAGATGCTAAAGACATGGAAGATTTGAGCGAGTGTAGCCTTGAGATGGTTACACAAATCATCAATCACATTGTCATGCCTCACATGTACGAACTCCCTACCGAGCCTGAGGAGACTGAAAGTGGCGTCGAGGAAGTAGCATGGGAGTTCATCAAGGAGGTTCTGCCTGAGACGTCTGACGATGTATGGGGGAATCTTGCCCAGGGTCATTTGAAGGCTTTTACAGAGCTGTTGAAGCTGTTGCCGAAGGAAGTGGAGAAAGAGGAAGAGGTTTGTTTGGAATGAGCTGTGTGAGCTACAATCTGGGTGTACGGTGCATCTTGGAATTTTTCCGATGGAAGTGAGAAAGATTAACTATATTGATCGTCGATCTGTAATAGAGAGAACATAATGGGATTCAAGTAGATCGTTCTTCAAACATGGCTTCCAGCCAATCACGGCACGTTTCTAACTGTAACGATCTCGAACAGTTCTTCGAGTGTCAGCACGTGACTTGTCAAAGCACAGACCATGTTTTCAACGCAGCCCTGGATGAGTAAGCGGGCTAGCGCATCGCTTAACCCACAGGCCACAATTTTCCACAACGGAAACTGAGTTATCGGTGGTTCTTTTCCTTCTTGAAAATCTTCGACATCCTACTAACCACCAGGACCTCGACCAAGCCGGTATGTGAACCCCCCATTCCCCCTACCAATTCTCCTTCTTGCAAGCCTTTTGTTTTTCTCCTTCAATTCCTTTCGCTAACCTTTACCGTTTGCCTCGACAACAGCCAAGATGGGTGCCCTCAAGTACGTCGAAGAGCTTCAGAAGAAGAAGCAGTCGGATGTCGTTGCCTTCCTCCTCCGAGTTCGCTGCTGGGAAGTACGTTAAACCACAACAAACACATGCACAAGATTTCTCTCCCCTGTGGACGGCGGTCAACCTGCTCTCGATCTCTTGTTCTCTCGCGTGTTCGAAACAATCGATTTCTGGGTTTCTGTGTGGGATGTTTTTTCCAAGACTCCACAATTGGATGAAAATTCTCAGAACGAAAGAATCAGCACATTGTCAAACAATGCGTACGCTTGGACACCGATGAAGAGAACTCGAGACGAAGCAGGCTGGTTTTATACCCCGTCTCTGCTATACACTCGTTGAACATTTGCTGAGAGTGCATCAATATAGCTCCGTCAATTGAACGTCATCCACCGCGCCTCTCGTCCTTCCCGTCTGGACAAGGCTCGCCGCCTCGGATACAAGGCCAAGCAGGGCTATGTTATCTACCGCGTCCGTGTCCGCCGTGGTGGCCGCAAGCGCCCTGCTCCTAAGGGTGCCACTTACGGTAGGTTTTTTCTCGAAGCTCCAAAGTGAGGGAGTCAGATTCTAACGTACCACCAACAGGCAAGCCCACCAACCAGGGTATCAACCAGCTGAAGTACCAGCGATCCCTCAAGGCTACCGCCGAGGAGCGTGTCGGCCGCCGCTGCGCTAACCTCCGAGTCCTCAACTCTTACTGGATCAACCAGGACTCTACCTACAAGTACTACGAGGTCATCCTCGTCGACCCCCAGCACAAGGCCATCCGCATCGACCCCCGCATCAACTGGATCGTCAACCCCGTCCACAAGCACCGCGAGGCTCGTGGCCTTACCGCCACCGGCAAGAAGTCCCGTGGTCTCAACAAGGGTCACCGTTACAACAAGACCAAGGCTGGCCGCAGAAAGACCTGGAAGCGCCACAACACCCTCTCCCTCTGGCGATACCGATAAACAGCTCGCCCCATGCTATGGGCGGCTGGTACGTTTGTTGTTTTCGCATTACGGCTGTCTGGTTGTACGCGCGATTTCGATTTGGGAGGGTCTGGTTTTGGCACTGCATGCTTGGACTCTGGGGAGTCGGGAACCTTATTCGGTAGCACAAAAAATGGAATCAAAAGTAATTCCAATTTCATGATTAAGATTAACAATACCTACGGTTTCCTGGCTGAATACTGCTCTCTGATATGTGATGTGACACTGGCTGTGATTCAATGATGCGACATCAAACTAAATAACTACTGCAATTATCCAATGCCTTCAAAGCCTTTTCTTCTGGTCTTTTCGGGGTCTTCCTGTTACTGAAATTATTTCTTTTGCTGCCCCTCATATTGGAAAATGTTGCACTTTGTGGGGCTAACTATTCAAGATCCACTCGCAAGCAACAGTCTTCCGTTGCTGTTCCTGGCAGTCCATCATTTCAGATTTCATCTGATCAACGGGTACTTCCTGTCTCCTTCTGCTCCTCAATCTGAATCTCTTCAGCATAGATTAAATACTTCACTACTTCAACATATAAGATAGTTGATTACCCTGCTGCAGCAACTTCTTCGGCCGTTACAATTCTACTGGACTAAACCTCAACGTGTACTTGCACTGCCATCAAGTGTCTTGGCTCTGAAGCATTCATGAAAATTGTAAAATTTTGGTCTTGTTTCATCAATAAGGTCTTGGTAGATTCTATTTTGTGAAATTGATGTGGCGTTTTGGAATGTGGCTTGACCTCCAATTAATTAAGCGCGTCATGTATCTGTGTTAGCCGCGTCTATCGTAGTCACTTAACGCGTGACTTGCAACCTACCATCATCAAATAGATCACTAAACCAGAAATAATAGAACACAAGTGTGTTTGTTGAATCACGAAGTGTCGGATTCTTGTGGCCTTGTCTATTTGAGTTTCTAGTTGGGTGAGAAAACTTTGTAACAACTGCCTATCTTACTCGACCCATTGCCTCATACCTCTTCTCTCACTTACACTGCACTTTCATTCACACATACACCCATGTCTCATATATCATCGTCCTCATGACAGACCTTCTCCAAATCCTCCCCTCCTTTCCCCTTCGACCTTTCGCAGCTCTCATCCCAACAATTGAGCAAAATGCGCTCTCGACAACAGATCTTCTCACTCTTCATCCTGCCGACATCGCAAAACAGACGCGCCTCCCTATTCTCGATCTCAAGCGCCTCATAGCTGCGATACAAGCCTCTCTCTCCGACGATCTCAGTGCGCAACAGCCGCTTCTGGAACCTGAACTTGAGCCTGGTTCTGTGCCGGAGAAGAATGTTATTAGCACTCTTGATGATGGTCTTGATGCTGCGTTAAGGGGCGGCGTGCCTGTGGGGGTAGTGACTGAGTTCACCGGTGAGAGCGGCGCTGGAAAGACTCAGGCCTTATTATCTCTCTGTCTAGCCGTTCAACTTCCACCTCCTCATGGTCTAGGTCGCGAGGCTCTCTACATCTCAACAGAAGCCGCAATGGCAACGAGTCGTCTTGCTCAAATGCTCAAGCATAATCCTATTATACAGCAATACGACGAAGATGCTCGCCCTTCGCTCGACGCTATCCACAGCGCCGTGACTCCGGACTTGGAAACACAAGACCACATTCTCGCTTTCCAAGTCCCAGTTCTATTATCCCGTCACAAGATAGGACTCATCATCCTCGACTCAGTGGCCGCCAACTACCGCGCCGAATTCGAGCGCCAGGGTTCTCACGGCTCTAATATGGCCGCTCGAAGCGCTGAACTCGTCCGCCTCGGCGCTCTTCTCCGCGATCTAGCTCGCAGGCATAATCTTGCCGTAGTGGTAGCCAACCAAGTCGCCGATCGTTTCTCCTCCAGCTCAACACCACGACGCGCACCTCCTAGAAGCAGTGGTGTCGTCTACGAGAGTCCCCTTGCTTCACGTAGTATGCCGCCCCCTTCATCTACAAACCTCCCCGGTACACCCTCATCATCATTACCTTTCGCTTTACAAGACCCCGAAGGCCCACCACCGCCTCCGGCATTAATGCTTGATCATCAGCAGCGCTGGTTCACAGGCTGGGGTGATGATCCTCACGCATCTTACTCGCTCAAGACGCCCAGTTTGGGTCTCGTTTGGTCCACGCAGATTGCCTGTCGGGTTGCGCTATTCAAGCGACCTGTTTATGGGCGCATAAGACAAGCTGCGCCGATAACTGCGGAGGATGACTCTGACTTGGCGGCTCCAACGCTAAGAGGATGGCGAAGATGGATGAAGGTTGTCTTTGCGCCACACGCACCCTCAACAGGCCAGGGGCTACATGGAGCAGTTGAATTCGAGGTTACGATGGGGGGACTAAAGACTGTTCAAGCCCAAAAGAAGAAGTGATAGCGATATGTTTGTATAAAATGTGGAATAGCGATATGTCTTGTCGCGTCTACACAGTTGTCAGGTTATGAGACATTGGTGCAAATGCACGTGCACGAATAGATATAAAATAAACAATATGATACCTCTCCTAAAAATAACTATGCTGTGTATAAGGTATACAAGTTCCTAAACTCCATTCTTATGCATATCTACACCGTGCAGCCGTTCATTACCTGGGATGGGGAAACTCGTCATCCATCTGGAGTCGTACACCAACGTTCATACTGATAAGCTCCTGCACAAGCAGCTTCGCTGCGTACGGCATCGTCATCTTGGTAACCTCCCTGGTGCTCTTGCATGTGTGACAGTAACCCTTGTATCCGAACAAACCACATTGCTGGCAAATGTCAATCTCGGTACCATCCGAGCTGATCATAAGTCGTTCCAGCAGAAGTTGAGAAGCACCGTAGGCGATCAGACAATCACGTTCCATTTCTCCCAGACGCAAACCACCGTCTCGCGAACGACCTTCTGTAGGCTGACGCGTCAAGATAGCTCGTGGACCTCGAGATCGAGAATGCATCTTGTCCTGCACCATGTGCTTAAGTCGCTGGTAATAGATGGGCCCATTAAAGACATAAGCTTCTAACGGTTCTCCAGTGATACCGGATGTGAAGTAATCCTTGCCTTCCCATGAGAATCCATGGTCGACCAGCACTTGACTCATCTCCTCCAGTGGGTGAGAGCGGAAAGCATCACCGAAGCCATAATCAGGTCGACCGTGAACAATAGAAGCTTTTCCTGTAAGACACTCGAGCAGCTTGCCGACAGTCATTCGGGAGGGGAAACCGTGAGGGTTCATAATAATGTCAGGGCTCAACCCGCTGTCCGAGAAGGGCAAGTCTTCCTGCTCTACAATAATACCCACAACACCCTTCTGACCGTGACGAGACGAGAACTTGTCTCCCAGCTCGGGTCGTCGAGTCTGTCTGGTCTGGACCTTGATGACCGTAGTATCCTTCTCAGTTTGAGAGATCATAACCTTGTCGATGTACGCGGGATCTGCGATTCGGTAAGAGACGGACGAGTCGCGGAACTCGCCGGGTCCGCGGTCCAGTCCAATACCAGTGCTTGTTTGATCGAGTGGCGTCTCCTTCTTGACCATAGCTTCGCCGCTGTTCACCTTATAACCAACAATTGCCAGGCCGTCGTCGTCTAGAGCCTCGTGCTTAGCGATGCGACGTTTGATCTTGCCTTCGCCTTCGTTCTCAGGATCTCCGATACGTTCTCTGCGTCCGTTGGGGTATTTCTGCAGTTCCGTAGTGTATTTTCTGAAAACTTGACATCGGCCAAAACCTCTGTCGATTGACGCCTTATTCAGGACCAAAGCATCTTCAATATCGTATCCTGAGTATGACATGACAACAACAGTGGCGTTTTGACCTGCGGGAAGCTTGTCGTAGCCAATAAGTTGAATCGTCTTGGAAATAACCATAGGTCGTTGAGGATAGACGAGAGTATATAGCAGAGTATCGATACGGTTAAACTGGTTATAGGCGATGGCTCCAATAGCCTGTTTACCCATAGCACATTGGTAGGTGTTTCGAGGCGATTGGTTATGGTGAGGGAAAGGAATCAATCCTGCAACGGCTCCGAGGACAGTAAATGGCTCGATTTCCAAGTGAGTGGTACTCTGAGTCACTTGGTGTTCATAAATGGTGATGAGTGCGTCGTTCTCCTCGTTCACATCAAGGTACTCGACAATTCCTCGGTTCAGGAAGTCGTCGAAAGTGGCCTTACCCATCTGAAGTAGTCGCAAATGCTCGGGCTTAAGCTTCTGCTTACCGTTCTTAACAATGATATAAGGTCGGCAAATTCGTCCTTCATCGGTAGCAATATGAACGGCGTTGAAGTGGGTATTGATGTTAATACCAACAAAGGGAGAGATCCATCCTCTTCGACGCATCGTTCTGAACTTTTGAGCAAATCGTTTTGGATATCGAGTCAACGCGAACGGTGTACCATTCACATGGATGATGTAGCTCCCCTCCCGATGCATCTCAGCACCAGAGAAGTTGCGGATAGGCTCGACACCAGCATCAAGTGTGAAGATCCATCTTTTGACAGGCTCTTCGTCCACATTGGTGGTGATATGAGTCATCAGAGCCAAGTTCTTTACCAAACCACAGGCTTCACCTTCAGGCGTATCTGACGTACAGAGCATACCCCATTGCGATGGTTGAAGCGCACGAGGACCGGAGACCTTTCGTGTTTTTTCGAACTGACTGCTAATTCTTGTCATCATGCCAAGAGCAGCGATATAACTGAGTCGACTCAGAACATGGGTGACACCCGCTCGGTTCATATTGAAACGTTTGACATTCCAGTTTCCGGTCTGAATGGCGCGATTGATTCCGTAACCGATGTTGTTCGCGTGGTTGCTAATCATATTGACAGCATCGAGAGGGACAGCCCTATTATTTTTCTTGAGAAATTTATCGATCGACATCTTCACGTTGGTGGTGAATTGCTTGAACAAATCTTCGAACAAAAGTGAGAGAAGTTGACCAGCAAGCTCAAGTCGCTTGTTTCCCACGAAATCTCGGTCATCCACGAGCTTAGGGTTGTGAGCAGCAATAAGAACCCTTCGGGTCATCATAGCCACATAGATAGCCTTTGGATAGAAATCGAGTCCTTCGATGGGTACGTGAGCAATAACCAGGTTAGCCAGAGCATCAAGCCCTTCTTCGACGTGGTTACGGCGAACCTGAGGACCAAAGATTCCTCTGCGAGGTGCCATCTTGACTCTGGCTCCGATGTACTCCAAGGCTTGGTGCTGGGTGAAAACACCGACCTTGGTGGCTTCGTCAAAGTTTACAAGGAATTCGTCCTGGTATCGTCCATCGGATCCTGCCACGAGCTGCATGATTTCCATGTCTGACAATCCACCCAGCGCCTTCAAGATGATAACAATAGGAATCCCCTCAACCAAAACGTTGTGTGTGAGGAGAATCCTGTCCTTTTTCAGCGTAACGTAGGTTTTCGATTTTCGCTCGTGTGTCGAACTGGTGACCGAGGCGGAAATAATGTTGTTCTTCTCGTCTGCTTCGACAATGATACGGTTCTTGCTCAGCTGCTCCTGGATGAGAATGACTTTCTCTGTTCCACCAATAATGAAATAACCACCAGGATCAAGCGGGCATTCATTCATCTCCTCCATCTGTGTATTGTTCGCTTCGAAAAGGCGGCATATGGAACTCTTGAGCATGACTGGCATGCGTCCGAGGGGCACATTCTTACGTACGATCCTCTGCTTGTCTCGGATGTATTGAATGTCGACGGAAATTGGTGCAGCATATGTCATATCTCGTAGGCGACACTCCATGGGAGTGACTTCGGTGTGTGATTTTGCATCTTGCCAATCTTGACGCCGGGGCTTGTCGACTCGAATGTCTGTGAACCTGTACAGGCGGTCAGTATGATGATTTCAAGTCACTCTTTAGAGAACATACTCTAGCCAAAAGTTGCTGTCTACTTCACTTCTGATCGTTCGGTTGGCGCGTACAATGTCTTTGATCTCCTGCTCGACGAAGAAGTTGTATGAGTCAATGTGCCTAGATATTTAGTCAGTAACTGCAGGACACGACAGGCTTTCGCTTAGACATACTGCTTGACAAGACCTGAGGAGAAAATTAGTGACGAGACTCTTGGACCGGATCGACATTCTTACCCTTGACTTTGAGGAAGGCGGGCAAGAGCTGGAACTTGTCTTCCTTTGTAGAAATGGGATCTGTGAGCTTCTTGCCATTGTAGAATGGCTCTAGGAGAGCTTCGAAGCCATCGTCGACCGTAGGCATCTTGAATGTCACCTAAGAGCGCGCATCTATGACGGAAGATTCGGGGCGTGTTTGTGTTGGCGCAGACTGACTACTTTTTTTCTGCGGCAGCTTGCGATAACTACTAAGCTTTCGCAAAAAGTTCTTGCCCCGCGGTCATAGGTGGAGCCGACTCGGTCGGTTGTGCCACGGTGGGGGACGAGCGCGCTGTGATAAGATAAGAATCACGTGTGTCTCTTCGACTCAATGTAAAGATCTGAAAGCCTTACTGTTGGTCTCGACATTGGTCAATGGATCATAGCAAGTTGCGAGAAACACAGAACTGCTAAAATCATTAAATACATCTTAGATGCTTTTCTCGTTCTCCAATTGTTCGTTGACCACTTCATGTATAAACAGAGACAATCGTCCTGGCAGTTGAGCTTACCCTATAGTTGCTGTGAAACTAAACGTTGAACTCAATGTCCTATTTATCTACCCCAGACAGTCAACGTTCGGGTGAGTATAATTACAGTGATACTTATTGCTAGATCTAAGTGTAAGATCACGCACTTGAAGCAGAAGTCAACGAGGTCAAGGCAACTGTCGTTCGCGGATCCAGACGATATGACCATGGGAAGTCGGTAATAGTAACCTATGTTGCGAAATACCAGGCATAAACAAAGTATATTCATTGGATAGCTGTAAAATTAGAACATAATTCCCTTCAACCTAGTAGTAAATGCTCTGCCACCACATTGGATACTGAAATGACCAATGTATTGCGTGAGTAATTTACGTGGCATCCACGACCCTCGAACAATACAGTAGTTTGAACTTGATGTTAGGTATGCCACGAAACCCGTCTTGTTTGAGTGGTGAGCCCATTACAAAGAGTTTCAGTCATCATTTCAAATACACAGCAATTGCAGTATCATGGGTGAAACTCTCACTTATATTCAGCGGCCACAGCGGGATAAACCACCAACATCATTCTTGGCGCTGGCAATTATCCCCCTACAGCAAGTTGATCGGACCCTGACTTCTCGAGTTACGACGTAGTGAGGTGGGACGGCGAGGGGACTAGGTAGCTTGATGGACCACTTGTAGCGGCAGGAGATAAAAGTCGGTGAAGGGGAGTCTCTTCACAGTGAGGGGAAGTCGAGCGAATACCAACCAGAAGAACAAACAGCAGCAGCAAGTGGTGGTGGAATTTGGCGTGTCTCGTGGATGCTATTAGTTCGTATAGTTAACTACTGTTATCTATCCACTGTTAGGTTGATTTCAGACAAGGTCTTTTGTCAGAAGCGTCTGAGCTTAAGTAGGTGGTACGGGATAGCTGACCGTCGGAGTCGGCTACGAGTAGCAAGGCCTAGAGAAATGATCATATTACGGCTTTAATTATGCAACGCTGGGTATTGTTCGCCATTGCGTAGGAACAGTTCCTGATAAAGATACTTGCAACTCTGTCAATCACAACCTACCAGTAGTGACGAAACTACAGCAGTACTAGTTGTAGACTACCTTCATGTGTAACAGTGCGGTCGAGGTGGATCTCGAACCAAGCCGAGGGTTTTATATACCCCCAATATCGATTTCAAACCAATGCTCCCGTGATTTTGCGGATTCTACCATGGTATGGAAAGCTAATTGGCTTACACACCAGCGACATTCTGAAGGTGCTACCGCGGAGGTCAAAGGGAAACATGACGCCAGGTGCAACGCAGACCAAGGTTATGGCGGTCCAGCGATCGGTTCCTGGTCAGGCTCCATCAAGCAACGATGCGAACCCAGCATAGAGTCACGCTCCATCAGGCTGGGTCCTCACAGGTAGCTGTGATAAGCTCTGTAGCCTGTTGAGGCTGAGGTCGAACGAGCGTAAGCCCGTGAAGCCCCCGTGTGAATGAAGTTTCGAAAGCGGTGAACGAAACTAACAGACCATGATCGTCATGTGTCAAGTGTTCGTGGCGGATGGCTGAGGGCTCAAGGCACATATGTTGTTGTAAACAAAGTGGCGATGCCTATGGCCGTTCAGTCTGTGACGAAATCGTGGGCCTGTTAGGTTGAACAAGCTCCTACGCCTGGGAGTTCCTGGTCGATGCATCAAGGGCAATCTGGGGACGTGTTAGTTTGACTTCTGCAGTTCAATATGGGTTTTTGGGTGACGTGCAGGAAGGATAACAGCACTAACCAATCGGCGGCGTAGATTGAAAGTGACTGGGATGTGCGCTTGGTCCACGTCTTGCGTGCCTCTGGAGGACAAGGGTCCTGAGAGATATCAATCGCTTCCACTTCCCTTGGAGGAGCGCGGTCTGTTGATGCTCATGTCTTGGTTGTTAAAGATCTCGTCATCCCCACACCTGCTCTGATTGACGATGAGTGGGCACCTGTTGCGTACCTAGTTATCCTAAGATGAGTTTAGAGGAATTGTCAAGTCGCAAGCTCGGAGAATCCAGGCAATGGCGGCTTGCTATAATCTTCTCGAGGTTGAGCGAATTGATGGCAGAGGGACCCATCCCAATCAGAGAGAAGGAACCCAAGGCACGACATAAGCTATCCACTGGCAGGCGTGATCTGAAGTCTGTAGCTTCCTGTTGTGGGGGAGAAGCTGAAATGTAGGATCCAATAGCATCTGCGACTATCTCACCTTCCTTCCCTGCATGTCTCACAGCTTGCAATTCGTTCTTGCCTCCATTAGCTCAGGATATCAACGAGTGACGATTTAGTGCGACACTTGCAGAGGTCAGGAGGGATAAAAACTCCGGTAAACATTCACGGCTAAACAAGCCTGGAAAGAAAGATAGCGACCCCGACTGCTTCTCCATCGAGGTAGGGAAGGTATGGAAGCTACCAAAGCCAGGGACCACCTATGATGCATACCTGCCTACAGTAGGCAGCTAATCCCTGCAGCCCTCCATGCTCTGTCAAGCTGTGGTCCCATGCAAGATTCGACCCGAAGTTGTCATCCATATCTTTGACACCGGATAAAACGATTCATCTACAGACGGTATCACACGAACAGAGACAACTGGGAAGGAATAGCCAGAATTGACATTAATGTCTCAACATACGACAGGCCTCAGCACATCTTCTGGCCTTGTACCACGCTTTTTAATGCCATAACCCACCTTGGAAGATATTGTGTGGATTCGGACGAGAATAGCCCGAAGTGTTTCTTACTATGGTGTCAAGATATCGGGCCTTGTCTTGAGCACAAGCTTCTTGTAAAAGACTGCGAACTTACTACGAATTGAACCCTTTATTCAGTTCATTCTGGAACGAAGCCGACAGACCAATAACACACCACTATTGCTAGTCGATGTGCCTAGCCGTTGAACGAAGTGGACAATGTATCCATCCATCCATCCCTCCGTCCCGTCCCCTGGCAGCTGGAGAGTTGGCTTTCCATGGTGCCTGATTTGGGTTCCACTGATGGTCTTGTTAGTGGTTCTCTTGGGCGCGGATGGATCACAGCTACGTCTGCAGCTGTTCTTGTAAAAGTTTCATGTGTCTTGATTGTGTTCATACCCGTAACTACAGTACGACGCTGGCGTTGTTGAATTCAAGGTTGCGGGTTGCCTGAGATGCATATCTACTGTAGTCTGGACCTTGTGGTGAAGAGCTTCAACCCATGTCGAGCGAGATAGCCCCTGGCCAAATGACTGTTGTCAGATACTTCGATATTGGCAATGAGATCTGTTTATATGTTTCATGTGTTGTCAATCTCTAATACGCAAACTTTGTTGTAAAGAGGGAAACTTTACAGAGGTATATTCCCCAAATCCATAATTGAAACCTTGTTCGTTCCCTGCAGTTCTTTGCCGTTTCTGGGGGTGTGTCCTCGTTCATGCTTCATCCTGGACCTGTAACTGAACCCTGCGTCTCGGTGCTTCAACGACTTGCCTTTTACTGTTTGCTAGGCCCTGTCTCGTGTCCACAGCTCCCCACGTCTGACGCCGACCGACCTTCAAAGCCGAGCGCCAAACAGCCCGCCTTAGGCCAGGTTCCCATTCTTCTAGTGAGGTCCCATCACCGACTGGACACTTTTTTCTTCTTCTCTTTTACTATCAACCTATCCTTACTCTTCTATCCATCGATCGCATCTCGCGCCGTCCCTCCCTTTCCTCCAGACCAGCCTGTCGCTCCTGGCTTTCCAGGGCGCGCTGTAAGAGAGAGAAAGCGTGTAAACCGTACGTTGTACAGATACGATACCTGGCTCCAGCTACCTTACTCGCTATATTCCGCTCTTATTACCACCTAAGCAAGACACGCGCCAAGTGTCCGTCCGTCGTTGTACATCCGATTGTTTACTCCCACCCACGCACTGAGCGTCATTTCAAGTCCAGGTTGGTTCATCTTTTTTGTCCAGAGCTTCCGTCTCTGGTTCGTCGAGGCATCTCGAGGAAGGAAGCAACTGTACCTCATTCTCCCCACCCTCCCGTCATTCTCGTACCTGCCCTCTCCAGCTTCCATACAAGGTCGTCCATCTATAGGCGCGTCGCCTACCTTTTCATAGCATGAATGTACTATCGAATCTTGGTAATCTGCTCTTGTCTGTCTCTCCTGTCCAGTCGGATTATGTCGTCTACTCCCTTTTTCGGCCAAGGGTAGCATAGCGCGGCGAAGACAAACACCTACGCATCCCGACCTTCCACCGACATAGCGCAGGCTGGTATTCGTCCAGAGCATACATTTGGCAGATGTCCGTTCACATCGCGGCACGGCACGCCTACTGGATATAGATCGCACGCCCATGCTACCTTAATTCCGAAGATGATGACCCAGACGAGTCCTCGCAGCATGTCGCCGGAAGATAGAAGACAGCCAGGAACAGGATATCAAGATGAGGATGCGTATTCATATTATGCTCTTCCTTTTCTGTAACCATACATACTAGCACCGTTGTCGTCCTCAATAACACCATCTCCCTCACCCTACCGTTTCACTATTGGTACTATTCCTAGTTGCACCATTCCGAATTCAATACTTTAACTTCTGAGCTCTACTCTTCTTCAGGTCCACGAGAAAGTCCCTGTGGTTCGTGTGGCTTGAAGCTTCATCATCCCTTTCAAGTCAACTCGTCTCCCCCCATTCTAAACGTCCTACCTTTCCCTATGTGTTCTGTATACAGTACGGATACAGTCACATGCTACCTATCATCAACCTGCTCGAGTCCACAGGCCATTTCAGTTCTAGTCGAGGTGTACCAACTCAGCGCCCACGAACCCCCTGGACTACCTACATTACCTGTAGGAACCCAGTCCCAAAGGACACCCCCCATTGCCAGGGCCATATCCACACTGACCACGTCCACCCCGCCTCTCGACAACGTTCCATCCATCGCCTTCGGCTCTTTTTGCTCTTCCTCTGCCTCATCTTACATCTTATACATTCGCGTTTACTAATACTTGTCTGTTTCTCTCATGTCTTTAGTGTCATAGACTGAGACCGCTTGCCAATTCGGCGTGTACTATCTTGTATCTATTAGCCTGCTATGGACGAACTGCGCTTTCGCTCCCAGCAGTCCCCGCGGGGAAACGACCCGGCCATGCATTCGTTTGTCTCACCTCCACGAAATGCCTCCAGAATGCCGGCTCCCCAAGCCCAAGCCCAAGCCAACCCTCACGTCGGAGCTCACGACCATCGATCTGGCCTTCCCCGCCGCTTCACCACCGATTCTGGTCGAGTCCCGACACTATCTACCCTGGGTGCTCAACGAGTACCAGAGCCTTCCCAGGATTATAATGTGAGTAGTCAAGATATTGAAGATTTACCGCCTGTTTGGCGCCTCGAGACTCCCGGTGACTTGCTTCCGTGTCAAGATATTTGGTCGCCAACATGTAGTAATGACAAATGCTGATATAATGGTTTATAGGCAATGCAGAAGGTGCAATTGGTACGTTCTGGAATCGCTTTCCTGTCCTTCATCACATAATCCACCGAACGTATCCCATGTGCAATAACACCGATGTCCGAGCGATGCGAAACCTACCGACATGAACTCTGATCGTTGACTAATGGCAAACGTAGATTGAGAAAAAGAAGATGGAGTACGAGCGAATCAGAGAACAAAGGCGGCGCTTTGAGCTCGAGATGCAAAAGTTGGACCAGCAACAACGACGAGAGGCTTTGGAGCTTGCTCAGATGGAGGAGGAAGTGGGTAGAATGGGTGGCCACCAATCTGAACCTACAACACCCCCAGAATACCGCGACAACTCTGGGTTCCCTACATTTCTGTCACGGCCGAGTCGATATTCCATGTCCAGCTTGACCTCCCCTCCAGGTCTCTTCAACCGCCCCATCCGATCTGGTTCTCAGCTCGCCTCTCCCCAATCTGGTATCAGACAAGCGCGATACGGCTTTGACGACACCACAACCCAAATGCCTTCGCGCTCTGTCCCAACTACACGTCGAAATAGCGACGACGAAAAGGAGGAGGCCGTTCGACAGGACCCTAGTAGTCATCGTTCGGGCAATGCGTAAGTGAATAAGCTGCTGTCGTATGCATTTGTATTTCGTGAGCCCGCATCTTTCCAAGCGGTGATTGCGGTTGGCCTCTGAAGTCAGGCGGTCCAGAAGAGTCTCATCAACGAGTTGGCATAGAGATGTAAATCGTTACGATCTAGGATTTTGGTCCTTAATTCAGGTCGCAGACAACCATAACAGATCGAACTTTGTTATAGCGAACGGGTCGATTTGGAAACCGGGCCTGCGGACTCTTCTAAGCTTTATCACTTTTCTCTACCCAGTGGGGAAGGGAGCCCAAGGCAGTGAATCACTCTCGGTTCGGTTCTTGAGGATATAAAAGCTTCTAGTTGAACCTCTGCTTGAGTCCTAACCAACTCTTCTTCCACTCAACAACACTTCTCACAACAGCACTTCTCATTCAAGCTACCTTTTCCCTTTCCCAATTGCTTCACTGAAAAAGAAAAGAATTTTCGAAAAGAACCTTTTCGTTAGCATCAGCTCAGATTTGATTACTGTATTGCAGTATCGAGCACGCTTTCGCAACTCACTTATACCAATCACCCAGAAGTTTCTCTACAAAGCATTCAAACAAAGCTAACCATGTCTTCTAACGATAGCATCAACCGTTACTCTATGCCTGTGACACGTTCGCGTACTGGATTGTACGACGTCGGTCTTGATCAGACGAACACTACTCGTTTCCTCTTTGGCGACGAGGATTCAAATGCACTGGCCCACAGTGTTCCCGACGAAAACTTCCCGACTCTTGTTCGCCGTGATGATCAGATGGTGAGTTCAGTTTTTCATCTTGTCTGTAATTTTCGTCCCAAACAATCCTCACGTTGCCATTCTCGAAAAGCTGGCACCGCGGGTACTGGGAGGAGACTGTCTTTCAGAATTTCATACAGCTTCTCTAAGTGCGAGACTCACAACTGAGCTCCACATTTCCCCCGAGGTGCATCTTCACCGGAGCCTCTCCCCTTACCATTGACCTATTGCGTCTTCAACATTTAACTTTTTGTGTACAATCCTATTCTGCCTCCCTGGTCAATCTGTATTCTTTGTCCCTTTATCATTGGGCGACTGCGCAACAATACTCTGAGCTCCTGTTCGTACCCTCGAGCGCCCCACCTTAGAATCTATGTTGCTGCTATTGTTGCTTCATTGTCTGAACAGCAACCCTACGCTCAGCTCTCTGCATCCTCGGCCGCTTTGGATCTTGCCCTATCACTTCTCCTCAACCCGAAACGAAATATTCCTCTATATCTTGGACCTATCTTGCTAACCATCGCCGCGCTCAGCAGAGTCTCCCTTCTATCAACGGAAGCTCCAACATTGTGAGCGATCTTGTTGGCCTTGCCTCTCGACCAGCCTCCCTCCGCCACTCCATTGACCTCAAGTACATCTCCGAGAACGCTATCGAAACTGGTTCTATCATGTCCTCCACTGGCAACGGCAACATGGCCACTCCCCCCAAGCTCCAGAGCTCGTTCTCTTCCAACGATGTTCCGACTGTCAAGAGCCCCGGAGGGTCATCTTCAAAGGCCAACACTCACGCTCAGCAGCATTTCCACAACCATAATGCTAGCCTTGGCCGCATTCCTGCTGGTGCCGTTCACCGTGGTCACAGTCGCGAACTTTCTTCAGACAACACTGCTGTTAGCCGCGAGCAGCCCTCCTATCCCTCCATCCAGTCTGCTCTGCAGGCCAGTGCAGCTCCCTTTGGGCCTAGCACCACAGCTCCTGCCCCAACATCCGTGGGCAACAACACTCCAGGTGGCGCTCCTACCATGGGCAACAACTTCAACAACAGTGGGTTTTACCCCATGAACGGCTACGGTGTTCCACAGGGCGTTCCTCAGGGTGCTGTTCCTCAAAACCACCCCCAGGGTGCTACCCACCAGCCCGGTGCCTACAATGTGAATATGCTTGCGAATAGTATGCAGCAGATGAACATGAATGGTGTCAATGGTGGTAGCATGTACCAGCCCCAGAACTACAACGGGTACAATGCTGGTCACTATAGCCAGGGCAACCAGCCTCGAGACAGCCAGGCCCGCGTCATGCAACATCGACGACAGCTTGACAACGAAGGTTAGTGATTTTTGGAGTGACTATGTGTACCTCGTACTGATTTCTTCATAGCGATGTCCCGCTACCAGAACGTGTCCCTCGAATCCTTCCAGGGTCAAATCTACGATCTTTGCAAGGACCAGCATGGCTGTCGCTACCTCCAAAAGAAGCTCGAGGAGCGCAATCCCGATCAGGTTCACATGATTTGGAACGAAACCAACAAGCACGTCATTGAGCTCATGACGGACCCGTTTGGTAATTATTTGTGCCAAAAGCTCCTTGAGTATTGCAATGACGACGAGAGAACTACTTTGATTCAAAACGCTTCGCAGGATATGGTCCGCATTGCGCTCAACCAACACGGCACACGTGCGCTCCAGAAGATGATCGAGTATGTCAACACTCCTCAGCAGATTCACATCATTATCGAGGCTCTTCGTTTCCAAGTCGTCGAGCTCATCCAGGATCTCAACGGCAACCATGTCATTCAGAAGTGCCTCAACAAGCTTGGCTCTCTTGACGCCCAGTTCATCTTTGATGCCGTTGGCAACCACTGCGTCGCGGTCGGCACTCACCGACATGGCTGCTGTGTTCTTCAGCGCTGTATCGACCATGCATCGGGCGATCAAAAGCTTTGGCTCATTCAGCGCATCACCGAGCATGCGCGAATCCTTGTTCAGGATCCCTTCGGCAACTACGTCGTTCAGTATATCATTGACTTGAACGAGCCTCTCTTTACTGAGCCCATCGTCCAGACTTTCAGAGACTGCATCACCCAATTGTCTCGACATAAGTTCAGTTCCAACGTCATCGAGAAGTGCCTGCGCTGCTCTCTGCCTCCCTCCAGGGATCTTATCGTGGATGAACTTCTGCGCGGACAGGAGATGGAACGCCTTCTTCGCGACTCTTTTGCCAACTATGTCATCCAGACAGCTCTAGAGTATGCAACCCCTTCTTACAAGTACCGTCTTGTGGAAGCTATTCGCCCAATCTTGCCCCAGATCAGGACCACTCCCTACGGTCGTCGTATTCAAGCTAAGATCTCGGCCTTCGACAACCGTGGCAGCGCTGCATCCAGCGGCCAAGTGACACCAGCCGATAACACACAGGGTCAGATCCCTCTCCGGGCTGCTCACTCTCGTGGCCTCTCCGGGAACGGACCTATTCTGCAGGGCAACGGTATTCCTCCCAACGGTCCTATGCCCGCCATGCGCCAAAACATGCCTGTCTACTCCCCTAACTCAGCCATGAACGGCCAGGCTCCTACTGCCGGTGTACCTGTTCAGCAACCTCACTATGGACAGGCTCCTGGTAGCTTCACCCCCAACTCCGCTTCCAACGGCGCTGCTAAGGGCAACGCTGGCCCTGATACTCCTGCCACTGGTAACACCAATGGCAGCGCGGGCAACACCGGGGAAGCTAAGTGGGTTTAGACTGACAAGTCTGAGAATTAACCTGCTTGTACAGTGACGCTCATGACGGTCTTCAGTGGTGCCGTGGTGTTGACACCGCTATGATTCACGATTTTCCTTTGATCTGTCTCAGAAACTAAGCCAAAAGGGCGCAGGCCCAATTCGATCGATTGACACGACACCCGCCAGAGTTGGTCGTGTGTAACATTATCAAAATGGCGCTACAGGACAGCCGCTTATCCTGACGTCTTCACTCTGGTATGCTTTGCTTGGGAAGAACGGCAGCGTATATAAAAGGGCAGACATCACGATTTGGGCGTGTACATGTATTTGGATCGCTACGATCACAATCCTCGGCATAGACGATTTTATCCTATTCGGCTTTTGTTTTTCCACTAGCTATTTGCGCTTTCGACTAGGGGCAACGATTCATGTTTGGGTTGTATGATTTCAGGGACTGCTGATTTATTGCTTTCTATATGGGGCATGAGAGATCCTTGTGGGTTGGCCGGCAGACTGGCCTAGAATGAGAGAGAGAGAGAACGAACACCCAAGCCTGTATCTAGACTAGGTCTTTGAAATTCAGGGTTCCCTATTATACTTGTAGCTTCCGGCATGTGAAGTCCACGAATTATAATGTGCGATGACATGTGAATAGCTAGCCAAAATATTCGACTAGGCTTCACCATGCTATCGCATGGCCAAAAGCTCATAAGTCATCGCAGCACGGACAAATGAGAGCGGAAATCTATCCCTTTCTTGTGTATAAGCACCGGCGATGTTGGATCAGTAGCCGTATCATCCAATCGTTCATACCAAATTGGCGTTCCTTTAGATAAAGGCGAAAGCATAGTTTGTTTTATCTGTCCAGGCGGTGCTTGCTCCATCTCTTGTATGTCTTTCAAAACCTGCACAATCAGCCTGGGTCTAGTTGATAGAATGGAGTCAACACTTAAGACACACGAATTCGCTCTGAGCGCCAAGGAAATTGCACATTTGCCTTATTCGAAGTTCTACCTATTCTGATATAACACATGAGCCCCTATAACTCCATGCACTATCCATGACCACGCTATGCTATGAAATATGTATGATTTAATGCTCAGTAATCACTCAATCTCAACTTCTTTCCAATGTCGCGACGACGAGCCTGTGCGGCAGCAGCTCTCTCCGAGGTGCGACTATCGGAGGATTCAAAGTGCTCGCTGCGAGCCTTGAGGGCTTGCAACAGCATGCCGGCATCGAAAAAGCCATCTGAATGTCATGTTAGTAAACCATCCACAAGAAATTCCAAGGATGGGTAAACTTACATCCGCCCATTTCATCATCTTCACTAAAGGTACTGCTCTCATTTGTTGGTGACGTGGTACCAGTGGCTGAGCGCAAGCTTTCAACTGCAGTAATAGGCCGTCCTCGAGATTTGATGCGATTGAGAAGTTTGGGACGTTCTGTTTCCACCTCACGAGCACGGCTTGCTTTGCCGATAGACATCTTGCGGTTACCAGCGCGAAGGACACGGCGGATCTCTAGGAGATAACTCTCGAAAGTGTCGACAAATCGCTTTGTCTGACGATGTTTGCTAGCAACGCAAATAGCAAGTCCTTCATCCTTAATAATGTACCCAATACCAAATCCATCGCCCGACGTGGGACCGAAGCCGAATTGGCGAAGGGCAGGATTGCCACAGTTAGAAGTCGAAAGGATAGTGTTGTTAAGCTTATCCCATCCAGCATCAGAAAACAGAGCTGGGAGAGGGGCTTGGTCTCGCGATCTAGAGTTGACGCTGTAGCCACGATCCCGCGTGGGCCTCACCTCGACGCCATCCACAGCAGGGTGTGAATCCTGCGCAGGACTGCCAATAGGTGTTCCGGCCTGGTCAGAGTATTCATCACCAGGGCTAGAGTAGCCGTTGCTGTAATCAAGGTCATCGTCCAAGCTTCTCTGCCAAACGGAGAACAAAGCGTATAGGTGTCGGTCACAGCCCTCGGCCTTTGCGCATTGCCGGGTGTTCGCGGTATGCTTCTGGCAAGCCTTCCTAAGCGCCTCGATTTTGGCTTCAGCAGGGTTCTCAGCCCAAAAGGCCTGGACAAAATCGACCACTTCTTCTGAGACCGTCCTGATTGCTTCTGTTCGGCCATGCAAGAACATCTTGGTCATGGCGGGCTCATAAGTACACTCCACACGGCCATAGAGCCCATAGTAGGCGGCCTGAAAAGCCATCTGAACAAAAGCATCCGGCGAAAATCCCATCGATGTGATAAAGTTCTTACCATAGTGGCTAAAGTCCAATGTTCGGAACTCGTTCTGCTCAATCAAATCGGCCAAACGGGTCTCGGCGAAGCGAACAGCAACACTGAGCTCGGGAATCATGTCCCATTCCAACTTTCGCGGGGTAACACTGACATCGCCAAAACTCTCGGGATCGCGCTTAGATGGGTCGGGGCTAGAAGAGGCCCAGAGTGAAGGGGCCATACCGTTGATGGTGCGGGCGAATCGAAGAATAGTGTCGGTATAAACGTCACTGGCGAACCGTAGAACTGTATGGCCGTCGACGCCAGTGTGTTCGAAGTTGATGCCAGCACTTCCGTTCTTGCAGACAATAATCTGGAGTTTATCGTACCACCGGTTTGTGCAAGTGCCAATCTGAACGCCCTTCTCAATCTCGCTCGTGCCACAAAGCATATTTTGGCAGAGCGCTGCAGCATCAGCAGGCTCGGCGTAGTCCAAGCAAAGAACAAAGAGAGCTGAGTCCACGATTCCCAGAGAATCAGCATTGTTGGAGCCTGGCTCACTGGTCAGAACATCTCGCAGGCCGGACCAGACCTTGCGGTTCTCAGTGCTCAATACTCCCAGTGCCCCCTTTGCAGCATCCTGGATCGGAATTTGAGTCGCATCATCGACGATAGTCTGGAGGTTTAAGGTGATATCTTTTTCGCTCATGATAACATCCGAATTATCGTCCAATACGTCAAACCAGTAAAATTGGCCGTGGCACATGACGACAATGTGTTTCGATTCAGGATCTTGTTCGATTTGACAACCTTCCTCAGTGGGTACTCGAGCAGTTCCAAACAGCCTTGAGAACTGGTACATGCAAAGAGGAGTCCCCTTGATCTTGTCTGGGGCAAGTTCTTCCTTGCGTACGGCACGGACAAATTCAAGTGATGAGACGACCAAAGAGGCGGCACGAGTGACCTGATCGTTGCGAGCGGGGGTCGGATCATCCTCCAGGAGGAAGAAGGGGTTCAGATTGAGAACAACAGGATTGTCGAAGTTGAGGTAAGAGTCGTACCCTGTGGATGTTAGTATATGGTTGTCAAACGGGCTTGGTGTTACTACTTACAGAACTGTTCGATATAGCTTGTCTTTCCCTGGGCGTATGTCTTCAACTTCTCCTGCAGCTCGGGGCCATCACTCTTGAGAAACTCGTTTACAGCATACTGTGTCTGCGCATGCTCCCGCGCTGTTTGCAGCGGCTTTAGAGCTTCCAGGTACTTCTTACAGCTGGATTCTAGCTCGGGAATGGGAAGTTTTGGCAGTTTGTCTTGGCCTGCGAAGGTGATTCCACCATCCTTCCTTGATTCACTGGCCATTGGATAGCGTTTGTAGTCGCCGTTGAGTCTTGGGGGAGAATTCCGTCGTGGTTGAGATAGTTCAGGGATGTCAGGCAGAGTCCGAGGAACAGTAACGCCTGCAGATGTGGGTGTAGAAGATGGGTCAGAGAGCCTCTCTCCAAGAGACTGGGGAGGAGTGAACGTCCGAACTTGAGTCATAGTGTTAGTAGGTAATGTTGGAAATCGAGTCTAGGCGTAGATAGGTGACACGCTTGTGCTAACGTTGAGTCCGCGAAGAGCGGTTCGGTAGAAATAGTGACAGTCTTGTTGAGGGTAATGGTATGGCATAGATAAGATTGTTTCAAATGGGAAGAGATGAATGATTGATAACAAAGGCCAAGGCAACCCAAATGAGAGGGCATATGGCTCTGATATAAGCCGAGTATTGTGACCTCGCTGACTTAGACAAGAGTCAAGTGGACCCTCCACGCACCCCATAGTGTACACACCTTCTGCAATGCACCTTCACCCTCTCTGTATGTAGTTGATTGGGGTAGCCGAGACTCCGGTAAAGAACCTGGGGTCAGGACAGCCGGGAGACATGATAGGGCAGAAGGGCTGAGTACACGGGTTGGCAATGGTGAAACTTTTCCGCAAGCCCGATACAATGCACTCGGTGCCGAACCGTGGGTTCAGGGAACGTCTAGGTAGAATAGGCCAGGCACAGTAACTTACCGAGATTGAGATACGAGGTTTGATTCAAAAAAGCGAGAAATCGCCGAGTAACGAGGACCGGTAGAACTGGAGTCGGTGCCGAATCTGGAGACCGTAACGCGATGGTTATAAGAGGATACGGCTACCATGATATGGATGAGGCTTTCCAGTAACGCACCTTTAAAGAATAACCGAGCGGCGTGCAGAAGCGAAGCAGGTGCAGTACTACGTAATAGGCCAGAGGCGCGAACCGTTCGCCACAAAGTCTTATCCGATCTGAGTGTTTGGGTTACCGTTGCGGACGATTCCCGAACATAGAGTATTGAAACTAGAATTCGGACGACGGGATGTTCAGAATACGGTTGCGAGCCGCAGCCGTGACGACAAGGAGAATTGATAGAACCAAGCCTAGAGCCAAGAGGATCCACTCTTGAAGCAGTTTGGGGTATATCGAGTGCTTTTGAGTGGCCGGGTATTGTAAATCATCGATGCTACCGCCCAAGCCGTAACGGAGACTGCCCTGGTAAAGCCTCCTACACCAAAACCCCAAACCCCAGATTCTAGCCTGCAATCAATGTGAGGGGTCCTTTCACGTGGCAAAACAGCATCCTTGCAGTCTGACTGTATCTCTTTCTGCCTGTAGGCATCCTCGAGCTTTCAAAAAGAAAAGATCGAGTACCACTGTCTAATCAGTCTGGCGTCTTTCATGTGCAGGTTAAAGCTGGTTTATGGTTCATGGAGGGGACGGCCCATAAGCATCATGTGCCACAATCGAAGTCTGGGCTGACGATGGTCAGCCAGGCACGTTCTTTAATCATTTCTATATTCTTCGAGCAATCTAAAAGTCGATATGCTTTGCGCACAGAGGAATATTCTGCTTGCGTTGGAGGTGCTAGGATATTTGAAATATTTCAGTCGTTAGATTTCATCTGTAGCAGTATATCCCATCTCGGCAGTATTATCGTAAACAAGACATTGTGAGTAGATACTGGAAGGTATGCCAACTAGCTGCCTAAAAGAAGAAATTGTGATGTCTTTAGGTTGGTGGCCTGGGCACATGTCATAAGCAAATGACAAGCCAGAATAGGATCAGTAGACAGGCAGCTCTGGTCTCTTGGCATTTCCGAGGTTCAAAGGAGCCGGCTGTTGGCTGGTCCTGTAGCGAAGAACAAATCGAGGATATTGTCATATTGTACAGTATATGCGGTTCTGCAGCGGATATAACCATCGGTGAAAGCCAAGGTTTATTTTCGGTTCGGTCCAAGGGACGACGATGCTGTAACAAATGGAAGCCGTAGATATGGAGGCGCTTCTGGGTTTCGTCATAACCATGGCCCCTGTTGTTCCCGTAGTGGGGGAGCAGCAATTAGAATGCGGGATCGTCGCAGCCAAGCGCACATATGAGTGGTCAATGAATTACTGTAGACCTTCAAGGGTCTCGAGGTTCTTGAAAGACAATAGACAGTGTTGTAGAAATTGTCGATTATTCAAGATAGAGAATCGGCAACAAAAGTGAAGAAGAGATGGAGACTTTGTACTCCTGCCCTAATTTGCTGTAGGCTATAGGAAAGCTCCTGCCTTGGTCGGATTTAGGGGAAGTCGGGCAAGTCCCGACCACAAGGACTTCCTTCCTTCTTTGCAGCTCAAACTCGTTACGCATCTCATCATAAATTTTATTTCGCCCAGCTTCCACCTACCTACGGTATTAAAGGGCACCTATCTTTCATGTGGTCGCAACAAGAAGTCTCGTTCATTGATCAAACCACGCTACTTGATCAGCCGCCCGGCATTGTTGTTATGCCTGTGCATGTCCTCAAAGGGCCGGGTCCGCATCGAGACGAGCTTCGGCTCCGTTGTAGACGGAGGAATGGTAGCCGTTCAGTCTCCCGCAACGCCGCCCTCAATATACCCAACCTTCCTTACCTTACAACGTACGCCTGCGATTGATTTCACATGCATATCTGATCAAAAAGAAATCAGTGATGACAGTTCAGCGATTTCCGGCAATTGACATAATGTTTGATAGTGTTCAAGGAAAGCATTATCAACCTTCTACTATGCAACGCCCAAAGATCACCGCCATTTCGAAACGAGTTCCCCTTTGATCACGAAAATTCCACATTTGTTTCTCGGATCCATGAAAAGGATTTGATGAGGCTCTCGGCTACCAACTGCCGGATGGCTCAATCCAAGTCATAACCCTGTCTATGTTCCTCTCATTGTGGGAGTTCATTCGAGCTGTCAGCAAAGATGGGTCAGTCTAACCGCATTTGGTAGTCCATTCGAATTGAATTCGGAAAGCTATGCGATGCGAGGGTCCTGCAACAACACAGCCCTACTATGTATAAGGCTCGCATCTACTAAACTAAACCGTTGACGGACAGATAATCTGACCGTGTTTCAATGACGTTGGCCCTTTGCTATTGGTTCTCACTCTTCATGTTCATCCCAAATAGGAAACCTCATTCGAATTGACCCGGTTCAAGAGATGATTGACTTACTTCGCCTTGTTGCCCCTGGTTGAACATACATGATCCTTCAGGATGAACTGGCTGGAGAAGGCGTTCAAGCCGAGAACATTGCAGATCCTTAATAGATAAATATATCCTGCTTCGCTTCCAACAACTGTTCCCAGTATTCGACACACACCAGTCCTTGAACACGCAAGTACCTGGTTCAACGTTCGACTTCCCAGCTTTCTTTCACAGCACTTCCTTGTTGAGCTGGAACAACATGATCTCGCTAGTCAGGAAGGCCATCAAGGCCAAGCAAGAGCGCGAAAAGACAGAATTCCCCTCTGAGTCCATGGAACTGCAACAGACACATCACGACGCACCCCAAGAAAAACAGCTTTGCCGGCATATGGACGCCTACGAGACTTCGACTGTAAAATGTGCTTCGTGTGCATCAGAGAAGAAGGCCGCAAGGGTATACCGATGGAAGATCATCCTCGGCCTTGTGGCACCTTTTGCCCTGCAAGCTCTCGACTCGACGATGTAAGAAAGAAGTTGACAGTGTCTACATCAAAAGCTAACTGAGTTTAGTATTGCAAGTGCTCTGCCGTGGATTGCATCTGATTTTGGGGAGGTTTCACAACTCAACTGGATCGTCTCAGCCTTTAATCTCACATCCGCAGCGTTTATCCCATTCTGGGCTCAGATGGCCGATGTCTTTGGTCGAAATGCATCGCTAAATGCTGCCATCGTTCTCATGCTTATCGGTAGCGCTCTCTGTACTGGAGCTCCCACTACTGCCTTTCCGGTACTTCTCTTGGGTCGCGGATTTCAAGGACTCGCTGCAGCTGGCCTAAATGTTGTTGTTCGCACTATTCTTGCTGATAAGGTTTCCTTGCAAGAGAACGCGAAGAACTGGGCCATCTTCTCGCTTGTTGGTGGAATTTCATATGGACTTGGCCCGGTTATCGGAGGTAGGCCATATCCAGTATCTCCAGATCTGCAAGAACATAGCTAATATGCGATATCAGGATACCTTACAAGAGCAGACTGGAGATGGTGCTTTGGTATCAACCTCCCCATCGCGGTTCTCGCCCTGATCGTTGTTTTCTTCGTCCTTCGCAAAGAACTCCTCGGTCCCCAACCTATTTCTGAGCTTAACGAAACGGCCGAAACTGGCAGACGTACTAAATTCATTGCACGACTTAAAACAGTAGACTTTGGCGGTCAACTTTTGTTCATTCTCGGTTTTGGACTTATCATCCTAGCTTTGACCTGGGGTGGAGCGACATATCCTTGGTCGTCACCCGCTGTCATTGTTCCTCTGGTTCTCGGAGTCATCTCTGCCGGCATCTTCTTTTATTGGGAATACTTACTAGCCCCAGGCAATATGATGGCTGAGAAGTTGCCTTGGCAAAGAGCAATGATCCCTTGGGAACTGATCTCGAACCGAGATATGGCTCTTCTGTTCTATTGCGAGTGTGCCACGGGTATCGGGATGTATGCAGTAAGTTGAATGCACTACCTCTAGGGTTCTCGATGATCTGACCTCTTTAGGTACTCTATTTCTGCAACATCTACTTCATTACAGTGAGGGTAAGTTAATGCATCTCTAAATTCGAATCATTATTGATTATGTTTGCAGGGATATGACTCTGATGAAGCCGGCGTGCAGCTTCTTTACTTTGTTCCCGGACTTGGAGGTTAGCTCACCAGATATCGCTGGGTGCATGAGAATATGCTAACAGTCTCTCAGTTGGTGTTTACATCTGCTCCTTTATGTGCAACCGCTGGCCTCGCATGACATTTCCTTCTGTATTTCTCGGTACACTTACTGAATCCGTTGGTTTGGGCGTTCTAGCGTGGGCCATCTGGGCCGATAAAGTGAGCGTCATCTACGGCATGATGGCTCTTGTGGGATGCGGAAGCGGGATGCGCTTCATGGCGTCGCCCCTTCACGGCATTGGTATCTTTCGTCACTTGCGCGCTTCAGTCATTGGACTCATGGCGGTCGCCATTCCTTTCGGCGGTACCATTGGTTTGACCATCATGTCTACAGTCTTCAACAATACCTCGGGGCTTGACTCTCATAGCGGGGGATTCGACCATGTTCAGTCCAAATCAGGGGAGGCGAATGAACAAGATATTCACCAAGCTAAGATGGGTGTTGTTTGGGCATTTGTTGCCGTCACTCCCCTTGTTGCTCTGGTATGTCATTCACGATCCTCATTATCTTGACATAAACTGACGTCTTCTCAGGCATTCCCACTTTCATGGTGTATCGGCAACGTCAAGCTTGGACAAGGGCCTCCTGGAGAGGATGGTCCTACGGATATTGTAGTGAAGGGATCTTATCTCCTCAAGCTATTACGAGGCCAGGAGAAGCTGAGGGTCGAGAAGAATGCTTACCGACTTAACAGCTCGCACAGCGGAGCGTGGTCGGGCAGTATAGCCTCGGAGCGGAGCGTTGACGTCCCAAGGCCGGTACAAGGTTCGCAACAGGTTTAGCTATTTGGCAATTGTACACGGAGGGAATTATATAGGCGGGGAACATTGGAATGGGTTGTTTTTATTAGCGTTTAGAATCAGAAGATACCATGATAGATTTCACTCAGCCAAGATCATTTCGGCCATCTGCTATATCGCTCCCGCTCTGGGTCCTACCATGTAGTTACTTGGACAATACTACTGAATTGGAAAAAAACAATAGAAGGAAACAATCGTAGCAGCATGGGGATTCCAAAAATCGTAGAGGTTCATATGACGTTGGATAAATATTACCGCCGGTAGAAGGATGAACCGTTGCATCAACGAATCACGTACGACGTATGACTTGGGGTAGTGTAAGTCCGGAAGTCAATCGCCTGACCTGACTTTTGACTCTCTCTACCTCCTGCCAGAAATCTCGCGGCAAAACAAGAATGCGTCTTTGTTTTCATTTCTTCTTGATTCTTCCAACTATCAATTCTCTCTGTGATTTCATCTGGGAGCTTTCTGATACGTAACTATTGTGTCGTACCGCACCTCTTATCTAGACAATTGATTGCTACACCTTTCCTCGACCGCCACCACCATGAGCGATATCGAAGTTGAAGACGAACAAAGCCCCAACCCAAGATTTTGGCTCGAGTTTCGCACTTTTGACGATGGCTTCTCTTCAAGATCCAGCTTACCGTCGTCAGCGCTCACCGCATTTCCTCAATTCGCACAACTCCCGCCTGAATTGCGCCTGCGAATCTGGTCATTCCTCGTCCAACCCCGCATCGTCGTCGTGTGCTGTCTTCAGCGCGATGAGCGCCTGGACCAAAGACGCTATGAATTGAATCAGCGGTCACACGGTAGCTCAGTGCCTGTGCTTCTGCACATCAATCGCGAAGCGCGCTACCTGGGCCTGCAACACTATGAGCTTGCCTTTGGATGGCGCATTTCGAAAATACTCTCTGATACACCCGTCTCTGAGCCGCCACGAGTCTGGTTCAACTTCGACCTCGATTGCGTCTATCTAGCAGGTGAACTAGAAGCGTACGACATCTACGGGTTTAACTCGGCCATGGTATACTTCCTACGCCGGGAGGACACGCATAGGGTTAAGCATCTAGCATGTGTGCTTTCAGAGCTGGGCTACGCGGAGCAGGAGAGTGATCAGGTGTTTGGGTGCTTGTGGCATGTTGTTGATGGGTTTCCTGCTGCTAAGAGGGTGTTGCTGACGGTTGGTGAGGGGGATGAGGAAGCATTGAAGGGGAGTAAGTTGAGGAGTACAGATAATGTGATGCAGAAGATCTGGAACGGGTTTCTGGGTGGATCTGCGAAAGAGAACAGTTCGAGGATGGCGGATAAGTCGATGGTGATGATCGAGGAAGAGAATCTACCAGAATTCGTGGCAAGTCACTAAATTGGGCAAAGAGGACTACCCATGAACAATATTAATACTAATAGCTGCCTCTCCCGGAGGTCGGTCACCCGGAGGTCAGCTGAGTGGGTTGAGCTGATAGCGTTACTATACGCACCAGCTAGAGGCAAGCAGGCAAGTTGCGAACGCAACTGGAGGTGTGGGGGCTCGATAACCTTGTTTGAAGGGGAAATATTCTAGAACTCTATTAAGTCTTTGTAGTTATTTTTATCTCTTCGTGGGACAGGTTTGGGCGGATCCATGTTCGCAACGGTCAGACATGCAGATGTGTTTAGGCATGGTCAGTTGAGCGACCTTGTAACGGCCGACAGGTCTAGTGGCTCGCCCGTCCCCAATCAGCAAATATATAAGTTTGATTGAGACTTCAGACGCCTTTCTGGCTTGTTTGTATTATGTGCTACTATCGTTTACATCTACATGCTGGTCATGGTAGGGTTGCTTTCAAAGGTGTTTAGATGGTGATGGCTTCAGGTTAACTGACCCTCGGAAGACATGACAACGGGCCGTTAGATCCAGTTTCCCAACACGGAAACCATCATGTTCGTGTCATCTCGTTTCGATCTAACGCATGCTAGTGCAAGGTACAGCTTGCAGTAGAATCGGCAGACCTGGAAGTCTTCATCACGATGGACGACGGTAGCTTCACATCGAAGCTCCAGGGTAAATGCAAGTCAGAAGCGAATGCTATGCAACCAATCAAACAGTCGAACGTGCTTGGAAACCATTATGGAGCTAATCATGACATGGGGCCCCACATGAACTCCAAAAGTTTGGAGTATGCGTCGCCTCCGACTAGGATTAGAAGCTGAGAGGCAACAGAAAGAGAAGGAAGTGGAATAGAGAAGACGATAAGATGAGGCGAATACGCAATTACAGACAAGGGAGTGACAAATGTGTTGTTGTTATTGTCAGATTCTGCCTGTAAGGTACACGAATCGTCTTTGCCTGCCTTTGGCGCCTTGAAGAGTTTGCAGCAGTGAAACCTGAAAACCCAACCACGAACTCGCAAATACATTGACTACCTAACACAGCAGAACAAAATCAAACCAAATCAACATCGTCAGGGGTTTTCTCGGTTACCTGACAGACACCCCAGACAGTTACTCGTTTGGGTATCAGGGGCATTCGGATTACTACGCCACGCCTCAGCCCTGGGGCCCTGTGAGCCCAAGTGGATGCGCAGAGAGTCGTGGAAGCACTAGGAAAAGAAGTGATACCATTTGCCGTTGCGAGAAGAGACGAAAAGACAACAACAGAAAGAAAGAACCCACTTCGGTTCGGAGTAAAAATATGGGGGTTGACGAGTGATTCGAGATCCATTTGCATGCAACAGCCCAACCGACATCGTCAGAAGCAAACTTGAAGTCAATTGGAGTTGGGTTTACGTCTTACTGATTCCAGCCTGATGCTATGATCGAGTTGAGACAAGACCAGTAAGCAGTGGCCAATCCTCCGACAGGCTGTAGACAGGCAAGACAGGCTAGATAATCCATTCAACAATGCTATCGCCTCATAATGATACCTACTTGAGAGTCCTCTTCAGATTCATGTACCTGAATAACCGACATAGTGCAGTTGTTAGCTACGTGGACATTAGTAGCACCAAAACCAACACCAAACAAAAGTAAATCAGGCAACCTGCATCGCCAATGCACCTAATATAATCCAATCACTTGATAGGTACGTTCAAAGTAGCGGTAGCCAGCGCATTGTTGGACACCAAGAACAAAGCAAGGCATCCATCCATCCATATCCGAAACCCAGTATCTGTCCGATATCTCAATGACAGCACCGTCGTACGATAGACATCGATACAGTACAGTATAGTAGAGCTAGAATATCAGAAAATTTCATTCAATTGCCACAATATAGCACAGTAGAATATTTTCAAGATCGTCTAATGACGTTCGGTGATGGAGAGGCAACCTAGAGTTTTCGCAGTGCTAAACCCCAGGGAGAGAAGAGCGACAGAGAAAAACTGCAGCACCAGTTGAGGAGGGGCAACAAGAGGGAGCTATCCGGTCGTTTGGTGGGGCAAAGTATTGGAAACTTCTGACTGGGTGCAATCTAAGGACGCATCCAAAGTACTCTCGACTTTGAGCTTGCTGACCCTTGCTCGGATGCCCCGCGCTGGAAATTTTGGGAAGCAAAAAGTTTATGAGGACATGACATCAGTGAGATCCTCAAGCGAGTAGAGGCTGAGAAAGAGAATGAGCGAGACAGAACATAGCAAACAAACGGAAGCTACGGGAATAAACATGAGATTTCTCGCTGTCAGTGGAGATTTCGGCTGCTTCGCAAGCACTCACTCGCCTTCAAGAAGCAGCCAGAATCAGATCCAAGATCCATCTCGACACCCATCGTCTAGGAGACGGCCTACGGGGTCGCATATTGCAGTTTTTTTAGTGGAGCAAACCCAGATCTGCCAGGTGCACGCAGCTGCTAGACGCTTCTTCAGACCCCCCCATTTGCGGCTTTGCCTCTCCAAACACACCCCCCACTAATGCCTAGCAGCGCCCAGAAAGCGGTAGACGCCCCTGCAACTCTCGAGAAGCTCTCCAAAGTGGGCTCCTTTGGAACAGCGCAGAACCGCATCGAACCTTGGCAGCCGCCTTTATTTAGATGCTTTGCTCAACTGCTCTTGCTTCCGTCTTTCTTTTCACATCATCATCACAATCCAAATACCCTTCAAAAGACTTCAAATATCACGATCTCCCTTTGAAGCACACTGCGTTTTCTTTTCCTTTTTTCTCTCTACGCCATAATCTCTCTCACCTACTCTACACATTAAATCACATACACATCACACAAAATGGCTCCCGCCGTCGGTATCGATTTGGGTACCACGTACTCTTGCGTGGGTATCTTCCGTGAGGACCGGTAAGTTTTCTTGACATCTCAGATCTATAGATCTGCCTATTTTTCGCTTGAGCAAGACACTAACTTTTACCCCAGATGTGATATCATCGCCAACGACCAGGGTAACCGAACTACCCCCTCATTCGTCGGTTTCACCGACACCGAGCGTCTGATTGGTGATGCCGCCAAGAACCAGGTCGCTATGAACCCCCAGAACACCGTCTTCGACGCCAAGCGATTGATCGGTCGCAAGTTCGCCGACTCTGAGGTCCAGGCCGATATGAAGCACTTCCCCTTCAAGATCGTTGACAAGGCTGGTAAGCCCGTCATTGAGGTTGAGTTCAAGGGCGAGACCAAGAACTTCACTCCTGAGGAGATCTCCGCCATGATCCTCACCAAGATGCGTGAGACTGCTGAGTCTTACCTCGGCGAGACTGTCAACAACGCTGTTGTTACCGTCCCCGCCTACTTCAACGACTCTCAGCGTCAGGCTACCAAGGATGCCGGTCTCATCGCCGGTCTCAACGTTCTCCGAATTATCAACGAGCCCACCGCTGCCGCCATTGCCTACGGTCTTGACAAGAAGGTCGAGGGTGAGCGCAACGTCCTGATCTTCGATCTCGGTGGTGGTACCTTCGATGTGTCTCTCCTCACCATTGAGGAGGGTATCTTCGAGGTCAAGTCCACTGCCGGTGACACTCACTTGGGTGGTGAAGACTTCGACAACCGTCTGGTCAACCACTTCGTTAACGAATTCAAGCGCAAGCATAAGAAGGTACGTACGAGTTAGCATTTTTGTATTTGATTTTTCTAGTATAGTATTTCTTTTGTTTTATCATCGCAATAAGGTATCAGGTATCGCAACGAAACAATCAGGTGTTTCAATGAAGCATCATCACCCGACATCATTGTCTGGTTATTACTGGCGCTTGTCTTCTTTCTACCATTCCATGGTTACTGCAGCTCGACATCATCGACTCAAGACACAACAAGACACCATCATGGCGCTCTTCTGGTAAGTCCTGGCAATGCATGGCACTCAATGATTCTTCAATATACTGACTCTTTACCAGCTCATCATTTCAAGCCTGGCAGCTATTCTGGTACTATTCCTGGCTATTACTGGTCGTGTCCACTGGCATGGGATGACTCATTTTGCCTGAGGGTCGCTCCTTCCATGCGAACTTCTTGCAACTCAGCCCCCACCCTACCCCAACTCTGCACCTGCCATCCCAACCAGTATCACCAGTCATGACTGCCATACCTGCCATCCTTCAGCTAGCTCCTGCCAGCAATTGCCAGCAATCCTCAGCCCATGCCTTCCCATTGAAACAATATGGCACTTAAGGTCTTCTGGCCTGAGCATGGCACCCAGAACTTCTCTTCCCATCCTCAATCATCCCAACCCATTCGCAATGGCTGAGCAAGACACGTCCTCGACAGGCCTTACCAGACTCATTACTCTACTCTGCTGGTCTCACCTCTTTGTCCGAACCTATGTTCATCCCACGTTTACCGTTGTTGTTGATTCTTTCAGCACTCTCACTACTCTCTACGATGCTGCTCAACTCGCCTTCTGCCCTGGTCTACTGGACACAATTTGTATGGCCGCTCCGCCTTCTTTTGTCTGGTTCAAAAGCCTGTCCTCCTATATCCCTGGTAAGCTCTGGGGTATCTACGTGCTTGTGCTTAAGAAGCCTGGCTGTATTCCTGGCATCTACATTGGTTGTGGAACGGACTCTAGTACAGGAGTGTCTGGACGTCTCAGTGGTCATCGGAATGGTCGACAGTGTCCACAGTATGTCGACAAAGCCAAGCGAGATGGGTACACTATCACTCATATGGCTCTACTTGTTTCCTGTCCCATGCCCGCTCCAGCTGATCGTCCTCGCCTACGAGTTCTATTCCTACTCCTGGAAGCTGCATTTACTTGTATATTCTGGGCCCTTCGCCGCCGGGATACACCATATGGGATTGAACACTTGGCTCCCTGGTCTCAAGATCAGTATGCATGGGATGGCCTGTGTTCGCATAGTCCTATCACTGAGGGAGCAGAAGTTCGCAAGGGAGACCTTGATCTTAGCCCTGAGGAGCTCAACCAGATGGACGCCATCATCAAGGACAAGAACCGTACTTACCATGCCAACTACGGGAAAGCTCTTCGTGCCAATCCCACGCCTGAGCACATTGAGCGTAGTCGAGTCAACAATATCAAGCAACGTCCAGCAACCATCGCCCGCCAGCAGGAAGCAGTGGCCAACCAGACTTACCATTGTTCTGTCTGTGATGTGTCCTGTCGCGATGCTGCGATGCTGGCCCGCCATAACAAGACAACGCGCCATAAGAAGAAGATGGAAATGGGGGACTCTGATTATGTTTGCGAACCTTGCGATGTTTCTTTTAAATACCGTTCTGCTTTCAAAGCTCATCAGAAAACGAAGGGCCATATCGCGAAGACTAGAAGTAGCTAACTCGTACCAGGATCTTGGTACCAACGTCCGCGCTCTGCGACGTCTCCGAACCGCTTGTGAGCGTGCCAAGCGAACCCTCTCTTCTTCCGCTCAGACCTCCATTGAGATCGACTCTCTCTTCGAGGGTATCGACTTCTACACCTCCATCACCCGAGCTCGTTTCGAGGAGCTCTGCCAGGATCTCTTCCGATCCACCATCCAGCCCGTCGACCGTGTCCTTACCGACGCTAAGATCGACAAGTCCCTTGTCCACGAGATCGTCCTCGTCGGTGGATCTACCCGTATCCCCCGTGTCCAGAAGCTCATCACCGACTACTTCAACGGAAAGGAGCCCAACAAGTCCATCAACCCCGATGAGGCAGTTGCCTACGGTGCCGCTGTCCAGGCTGCCATTCTCTCCGGTGACACCTCCAGCAAGTCCACCAACGAGATCTTGCTTCTCGATGTCGCCCCTCTCTCTCTCGGTATTGAGACCGCTGGTGGTATGATGACCAAGCTCATCCCCCGTAACACCACCATCCCCACCAAGAAGTCTGAGGTCTTCTCTACCTTCTCCGACAACCAGCCTGGTGTCCTTATCCAGGTCTACGAGGGTGAGCGTCAGCGCACCAAGGACAACAACCTCATGGGCAAGTTCGAGCTCACTGGTATCCCCCCTGCCCCTCGTGGTGTTCCCCAGATTGAGGTTACCTTCGATCTTGATGCCAACGGTATCATGAACGTCTCCGCCGTCGAGAAGGGCACTGGAAAGTCCAACAAGATTGTCATTACCAACGACAAGGGCCGCCTGTCCAAGGAGGAGATTGAGCGCATGCTCAGCGATGCTGAGAAGTACAAGGAGGAGGACGAGGCCGAGGGTAAGCGTGTCGCTGCCAAGAACGGTCTTGAGTCCTACGCCTACTCTCTCCGCAACACTCTCTCCGACCCCAAGGTCGAGGAGAAGATTGAGGCTTCCGACAAGGAGACCCTCACCGCTGAGATTGACAAGGTCGTCCAGTGGCTCGACGAGAACCAGCAGGCTACTCGTGAGGAGTACGAGGAGCACCAGAAGGAGCTCGAGGGCAAGGCCAACCCCATCATGATGAAGTTCTACGGAGCTGGTGGTGAGGGTGCTCCTGGTGGCATGCCCGGTGGTCCTGGTGGCTTCCCTGGTGCCGGTGGCCCTGGTGGTGCCCCCGGCGCTGGTGGTGACGATGGTCCCACCGTCGAGGAGGTCGACTAAATTCTTTGATACCCCAATAACATCAGTCTCGACTTCTAGAGCAGTCATGTATCCATGGGTACAATGCGGAGGCTAGTGGTTTTTCATGGGATGATGAGATTAGATTTTCTATTTTTGTTTTTGCGACTTTCACGGTTATGAAAAGCTCAGGTGGTTTACACTCATGTATTTAATGAATCAATGAATCAAACATTCATAAAAAACTTTTGCCTTCTCCATCGTGACATAATTCGGTCAATTACCATCTCAGGTATTAGAAGAATTGTAACCCAAAAGCATAAGAGACCAAACAATTTCGTTCCTTTATGTAAATTTAGGTTACTACTTGGGCTACAGCTTAGTCTAAGCCTTAAGGATAATTCTTTTGCTTCCCCCGCCAGGTGTCAGTAATTTGAAAATTAGAAAAAACCATAAAGGATGAATTTGATGTACAAGTTGAAGACCATACCCAGATTTACTAAGTTTGATCAACTGCAGTACAAGACGAACTCTGCCAATTATCGACATTCAAATCTTGCTTACGCCATGCAGTTCTGTATGATACTTGTTAATCATCAAAGACTTGCGTGCGAGTTGTGTCAAACAGCCCAAGACCACAGATGGGTCATATGTCTAATTTGCTGCAAGAGTTTCTTTCTGTTAATACACTATGATAAGTTCGTTATTTAATCATCAATCGACTGAGTAAAAAATGTCCCCACCTGCACCTTCTCCCCTCTACTCTCCCACACATCCTCACTACTCGGTTTTCCTGGTCCATACTTTGTAAACTCCTTCGCGCGATAGTGCTCCTTCACAGCCCTCTCTCGCTGCTCAGCAGAATATCCCTTCGCACGCATACAGAACCAAAAGTCATCCCAATGCTCGCTGCACGAGCGCATCTCTCCGTAACGGTATACCGCTGTGAATTGGCCGCCCATGGAGTTGCATCCCCATGCTTGGTCGAAGGCTTGACGGCAGGACATGTCGGTGGGCAGGAGGGCTTCGGAGAGAGCGTCGCGGGGTGGGATGTTGGAAGGTGTAGGGGCGGTTGAGCGGGGGGACTTTTTAAGGGCGAGCCATGATAATGGAGAGGAGGAGGAAGAGGAAGACTGTTGTTGTTCGTCTTGTGTAGGTGTTGGTTTGTTCTTTTCGGCTTCGAAGAGCTCGAAGAATTTCTGAATTTCGGGGTCGGTATTCTGGTTGGAGTTGGAGTTTGATGAGTGTGTTGGATCTGAGACTGAAGTCGAGGTAGTTGATTTGGTAGAAGGTGTTTTCTCGACTGGCGTCGCTGTTTTATCCTCCTTGGAAGGCGTCGAAGACCATAGCCAACCCATTGTGATGTTGTGTAAGTGGTAAGAAGTACTCGGAATATCTTGAGGTTGATGCTCTTGATCCCAACGTTGCCGAAAGGCAATATTATTTGTGGCTGTCGATGAGACCGGAGGAGTTGCCTTGCTGATCGTAAATCCAACAGTAGATGCGAGTGATTCAATCTGGCTGAGTTTCGTACTGCGAGCGAAGTGGTTTGTCAATTGGATTTTCGAGATTTGGAGAAGATGCGCCGCTAAGTTGAAATCTATGGGGGAAAATAGATCTGCCGGGGTTCCGAGATCATGACATGATAATTGTTACCAACGGTACAGTTATGGCAGTTTGCAATGTAAATTAAACTCAATCAAAATATGTAATATCAAGTCAGTATCAGCTGCAGGCTCTCATCGAATACCGCAGCAATACGAGTAAGGTTGGAGTGGTTAATGGTGTGTCGCAGGTAAGGGAGCATATCATGTAAGTTGGGAAAGATCAAGTAGCGGGGTTGGTATTTTTTTCTAATTAAGCATAAAAAATGATACAATGATTTCGTCTCTTAGGGTATATAGACTAAATCATCCCGTCTCTTATGTTCTCATTTCGTCTTTTATACACTAAAATTCCTCGCTGAGAAGCTTCTTCAGTTTGGTCATCTCCTGATCCCACTTGGCGATCTTAGCCTGACTGTCTTCAAGTTTGCGAAGCAAGAAGTTGATACGACCGGCGGTCTCTCCTGGCTGCTTAGGCATGGTGCCCAACAAAGCCAACTCATTCTCGACCTTTTCAATTGAACGAGCCTCAGCCTTGGAAGAGTCGTTGAGAACATCATAATCCATCTTGGCGCGGAGAACACGATCCTCGAGGAGGACAGAGAAAGCTGCTTGGTGCAGAGGTTTGCCAGCTGTAATGGTCATTGGGCGGCCCTGGTGAGTCTTCACGGCAATGAGCTCCGCGCTGACGAGGCTGTCGATGGCAGCATCGGCATTGGAGGCAGCTGCCGGCGCGGCGGAGGAAAATGGTGCGGAAAGAAGGACTTCGTTGTAACGCAGCTTAGGGCTCTTCGCAAGAGACTTGATCAAATGCCAGGCCTGTTGAGAAGAAAATTTTTTGCCCTCAATATCAGATGGCTTGCCAAGAAGGTAAATCCTAACGATGTCGGTAGCTGTCTCGGAAACGATTTCGTCCATAGCCTGCTTGGGAGACTGGCCAGTTCTAAGGCGTCGAGCAAGAAATTCCAAATCCGTAAGACGGCCGCCAAGTGTATCAATGCACTGGTCGAGCTCCAACATGTTGGGTCGTGGGATAGTTGTCTTTGGTGGTGCGTCGTCACCCAACTCCTTTCGTGCCTTCTCGTCGGCAGCAAGTTGATCCTTTAGACGGCTCAGAACAAAGTTCTTGGCCACCTCGGGTGCGAGATCACCAAGGGAAACGGTACGGAAGAGTCGATCAGGGAGGGCCTTGTCAAGAGGCTTCGAGTAAGCTGAATCAGTGGTAAGGAAGATAACATGGGCGACATTGTTCTGGACTACAGTGGCAGCCCACTCAGCGATTTTGTCGTAGATAATGCTGTTCTCCTCGCCCTTGTGGAGGAAATTATCGACAACAACGACGGGTCTGCGTTCGGGGTGAGCTTCCAACCAAGCATCTTCGGAAAGCCTGTAGTCACTGTCTCTTTTGCTGCGCGAAGAGACAGCAACATCCTTGAGGGCGCCGGTAGTGGTTTGCATTATCTTGTTGAGTTGAGATTCGAGAGTTTCCGAGAAGCCAGCCTTGACACCAGTGGTGCTCTGAACAGCAAGGTCAATCATGCTGCTCATGCTGTTTGCCCAAGAAAAGACAGGACGATAACCAACAGCCGTTGCTAGACGCTTGATGGTACCTGCCTCTCCTCTTGCCTCGACGATACGTCTGCAGTCAATCTTGAGCACATTCTTGCGACCTTCCAAAGCCTGATCCATTACCATTTCAACCTTTCCGGAGCCTTTGGGACCTGTGACAACGATAAAAGTGTCAGAAGTCTCATCAAGCCAGCCTTGCACTTGTACAATTGCGTCTCGTCTGTGGTTCCAGACTTCCTCAAGACCATCTTCACTCCTCGATTTCTGTGAGAGTCCGAAATTGCCGGATTGTTTCTTGAACCACTTGTAGACACGCGAATCCTTGAACTCCAGAGAGTGCTGGATATGAAGCTTGATGAAGAATTCTCGGATCGGGTCAAAGATCAATACTGAGAGACCGGCAATCAGGGCAGCGAGAATAGGAACAACAATACGAGGATGGTTAGTCAACCAGTTCCAGATGCTGTGTGCCTTAACACGCTTCTCAAAGGATAGACGAAGTTTAGTCCCTTTGCTGCCACCTCCCAAGACCTCACTCACTATAAAGCCATGCATACAATTGCGAGCTGTGATCGCATCCCTTGTTACAGGGAATTGGATGTGGGCATATCGTGGTGTGATCTTTGAGTCAGTGGGCTGCGGGGTAATATCTGCAATCTTTCCGTATTTGCGGAACAAAGAGTAAAGTGTCTCTTCGGGAAGCTCTTCAGGAGTAATGCCAGGAGATGGAGGAACGAATTCGATTTTGACAAAGCTGGTAGGGTACCTATACAGGTCCTCTAACCAAGGTGTGCCTTGTACAAGACGAGCGTTTACAGGACGGAAGATGGAGAACCATGGTTTAATCGGCTTTTCTCTCAATCGCTTTCCCAATTGAGCTTCGATCTCGGCAGGATCTATGCTGGAATCATATTTGAACTTGACATATGCGCCTCCATCTTTGAGGCGTGGCAGGATTTCGGTGACTCGGATAGGTAGGTCTTCTGGGATGGCAGTCTTGACGAGGCGGATGGGGTCTAGGATTCCCAACGAAGACGTCTCGAACCGTCTTAGAAGGTCGGAAACGTCGTGGTCCGATTTCCAAGGACGGACAAGTACACTGCTGAGCTTGAGAGGGAAAATATTGTCGAAGAAGAGGATGGCCTCATTGGATTCTGTCGTGATGTGACCACTCTTGTCGGCCCCTTCTTCCGCCGAGGAAGCAATTGGGGGGTTCGCTGCAAGGTCCCCGGGGTTGGCAGTCGTAATCCACACGCGATTACTTCCAGTTTGATTCTGGTGGTGTATTCTTCCTAGCCGTTGTCGAAGAAGTGATGTCGCGCATCTTGAAGTGAGAGGGGGCCGCTGGGTTGCGAAAAGCGCCGCCCTGGCAAGGCCTCGGCTTGGAATCATCATGAGAAGGTTTTAGTGCCCCAAGGGCTCGATGCCCATGCTGTGAGGATTCGAACTGAGGAGAAATTGTGGAAGATCTATGTTTATGTTGTGGTGGGACAATGACTTAGCTGTCTCAGTCTGCACAGCTAGCTTCCCGTGATGAGGTCATTGTCCAATAAAGCATTTTAACTACCAAGGTACGGATAGAATTATCCTCTGCTACATAGGGTGCTCAAATAAAGTAGCCTAAAAGCTAGCCTAAGCTAGCCTAAGTTTTCCGAGTTATTTCGTCTCTTATGCTTTCGGCGGCCAATTCTTCCAATACCCTAACGGATGGCATAAGCTGTTGCAATAATTTCATCTCTTATGTTCTGAGGTAGGTTCTTACCTACGGAAAGCGCGCTAAGGTGAGACAGCTGAAAACGATGAACCCACCCATGAACACTCAAAGCAAGGACTCCTTGTGAAGATCAACCCCACTATGCGCGGAGAAGAACGTGGGACATTCAAGAGGAAACACGACACAAGATAATGTGGGACATTCTCTGCACCTGCAACAGTTCTGCATTGAAATCATCTCATGAATGGTATACAACTAACTCACAAAGCGCCATGAACCGTACATGAATCATAAAGCCGGCCAACAAGATATACTCCCATCAGTGGATATTCCCCTTCCCATACTTTTCGCCAAGGGATGTCCTACAAAAGGGTCCCCAACAAGAATGGCCTTTGATTATGCTGCAAACTGATGGAGCAGCACGAATTTCTATTTATTTCCCAAGCATGATGTTGCTATTCTTAAGCCATCATGGATAGTTGTGACTGATCTGCTTCTACCGGCTGTGCTGATATCTCACATCCTTGAGTAAAGAAGATTCGTGAGTCTGTGTCGTAGTCATTTGTTATGCTGTAATAGTTTCCTATTTACCATTAGTAAGAGCGGATATTAAGAGCGTATAAGGGACATACCTCTGGGAACAAACCACATGCCTCCAGCACTGAGGCGGAAAGAGGCCTCGTTCACAGTAACGAGCACCTTTCCAGTATGCACAAAGAAGACCATGTGCATCTTACGCGAGTTCTTGGGTCGCTTCTCAGATCCAGCAGGTAGATCAACGACACCAGCACCCAGAAATGGCGTTGTGAGCGTCTTTGCCATGCGGAAAGATACATTCTGAACATCTCGTGTTTGAATCGCGGAGCCTGATATGGCGATTCGATCATCCATCACTTCCACTGGCTCTTCGTCACCAGGGGGGTTCCTCTCATGCTCTGGATCCCATAGAATGACTTCGCCGTTGACAACACCAGGATCAATCTCCCACTCTTCGGGCTCGACGGTTTCCACCTCTCGAACAGCCTTTGACTTTGCCTTGCCTGGGCGACCTCTGGACTTGGCTGGTTTTGAACGCACTTCCTCTACAGGAGCACGGATGACCTCTTTGATGGTTGAAAGCACGAAGCGATCGCGACCAGAAACATCCTTGAACTCCTCTTCTTCCTGAACCACCTTGTCGCCTGCCCACCAACTGAGCGGCTTGAATGAGTGTCTTCCAGATCTTGTCGTTCGTACTTCCTCGGCATCGTGTCGCACAGAGACAAGACCACGCTTTTTGGGTAAAGGAGGTCCACGTTGAAGCGCTGCGAATGATGTCTCCCCGACATCGTCCGCAGCATCGGCTGCCGCTTGCGCCTTGGGCTTTCGACCAGGCCGCCCTCTTGGCTTTGCCTCTGGTTTTGTTGGAGCGGTCTTTGATGGTACAGGTTTCGTCGGTTTCGATGGTTTGGGTGCTTCGGTACGTGGCTTCTTGGTTTGCCTAAGGGGCTCTTGCTCTTGTTCCGGCTCTGAAGCTTCATCTTCCTGCTCTTCAACCTCTTCTTCCTCCTCCTCCGGCGCTGGTCGTTTCCGTGATGCGGGCGCCTTAGGCTCCTTTGGCTGAACAGCGTTCTTGGGTTTTCTTCCGGGTCGACCTTTAGCGGGTTTAATGATCTCCTCTTGCTCTTCCGGCTCTTCCTCAACTGGCTCCTCCTCAACCGGCTCTTCTTCGACAGGCTTCGCCTTTGGCGGTCTTCCGCGTCGCCCTGGCTTTTTAGAAACTGCGTCTGTTCGCTCTTGGTTGGATTTGGCTGATGTTTTGGTGGCCTTTGGTGGAGGCGCAGGCGCCGGCTCGGACTCTGCTTCAGATTCCGGTTCGGATCCAGGTTCTGATGAATTGCCGCCCATACCATCTACCAGTTGAAGCGACTCATTGAGCAGGTCCATGTTGTCCTCCACCTCGTCGTCACCTTCAGGCGCATCTTCCGTCTCCTCGTCATCCTCCTCGTCATCCTCCTCGTGAGTTGTGCCATTGACTCCATTAGCCACAGCCTTTCCGCGACCCGGGGGTTTTTCTCCAAAATCGATTTTCCTTGTCACGGTGTTATCGCGCTCTTTAGGACCAGGTGATCGGGTTGGCGAAGAGAGGTGTTCGAGATTTGGATTTCGTCGAGGAGAAGACAGCAGTGTAGTCTTCACAGGCGAGCGACTTCGAGGTAGAGGAATGATGTTTCTCCTAAGTACAGTCTGAGGACCTGGTCCAGGATCTAGAGTGGTGTTAGTCATTGGATCTTATTGCAGCAAAGCTCAATAAGCTAACTTGTGTCAATTTCCATGTCCTCGCTACCTTCCTCATCATCATTGTCCCCGCTTTCGTAATGGTCGTTAACTTCATCGTCGTCGGAGTGTCTCGGTGGTGATTCTGTTTCTTTGTTGTCTGGCGAAGAGAGGAGGTCGTCAAGAGGTTGCATTCCATGCTCGTCGCGATTGCCTGTGTCTACTAGTGTGACACCAGTTTTGCTGGGGGAAAAATTAGAATTTTGTTTACTGCGTCGCATCGAAGGCATCTCCGCGATTGAGATGCGCAAGTCGACTTACCGACCACGAACACCCAGAGCATGGAAAGCTTGCGGCTCAGCGACTTCGCTGCGCCTTGGACCACCGCGAGGGGCCATTTTGCTTTTTATGCTGTGATTAAGTGTATCGTATTTCAACTAGTTGCGCAGTATAGTCCAGAGTTTTCTTGTATTTCGGAAAGTTCTGGCGGTGGACTATACAGTTAGAAGTGTCAAAAATGTGACGCGACTGGTGACGCGGGTGGTTTGTGTTGTTGTCGTTGGGCGACTTTTTAGCGGTCGCGAGTAATTAGATGAAGTGGGCTAGGAAGCTGGGGGCGTGTTTGGAGGGTCGCATTTGGCCCGGCCCAGTAAGAGCGCTGGACTGACACAGTGGGTTAAGGTATCATTCAGCAAAACCGGTGACTAAACCCTTTCAGTAGGGCTTTTGATGTCTCTCTGGTTGAGAAAGGATGGTCTCGAGAACATCAAGAATCCAGTCAAGTTATAATTATCAAATGTCTTCAGACAGCAGGTATGTGTCGACACTTGAGGCTTCCTGCATGTGGCCTACTTTGTCATGGCTCCGTATAAGTGCCTTGATTTTTCAAAGAGCATACAATGTGAGACGCAGCTTTGTATACTGACATTATATAATGGAATAGAAGTAAGCGTTATGTCTATCATGATCTAAAGTACGGCTATTGAAGATGTCAAAGATGCCGTCCAGTATCAATTTGATAGGATATGGCTAATACCTGGAAAAGTGGAACCCAAAGTGCTTAACGCGTCCAAACGCGTCTCCTAAAGATATATCCCATCCTCAACACCAACCAATTTCTTTACTTTCGCCTCCAGGACAACCACTAATACCACAACTGCCAATTGACCCAACTTCGATCATCCAAACTTCACATACAACGCAAAACCACTACTGAATAATAACGACTCCCAATTGCATCATGACAGACTCACCGGCCGAAGACGTCCCCGAGACAACCCGTCCTTCCTCCGGAACCTATATTCCACCCTCCGTCCACGAAACAGCCCTTATTGCAGGCTCATCATTCACACATATCTCAGCCGTTCCTCCATCGCTGCTTCCTACCGATCCTTCAGACCCATCTTCCGGAACACCATGCTGTCTCGGTGTTGACGAAGCTGGCCGTGGCCCCGTCCTGGGCCCTATGGTCTACGGCGTTTTCTTCCTTCCCATCTCCCTCTCCGACTCTCTTCTCCGCGAGACACACCACTTTGACGATTCAAAGGTCCTGAAACCTGCTGTGCGCTCTGATCTTATGCGCACGCTGTGTACGCCTGGTTCAGACCTCTACGAATCATGCGGTTGGGCTACGGCCTCGTTGTCGGCAAGGGACATTGGTGCGAACATGTATCGACCTACAACTGCGTACAATCTCAATGCTCAGGCTATGGACGCCACGGTCGATCTGATTAAGGCTGTGTATGCTCTTGGTGTCAATCTCCAGGAGATTTACGTTGATACCATCGGTCAGCCCGCTGCCTACCAGGCCAAACTGCAGCGTGTATTCCCTACGGCAAAGATCACTGTCGCTAAGAAAGCAGATAGTCTTTACCCTTGTGTTAGTGCTGCCTCAGTTTGCGCAAAGGTCACTCGCGATGCCGCGCTGGAGGTGCTATTTGAAGCGAGGGCAGATGAGGAGGAAAGGGGTGGTGAGGGAATGGCTTGGGGCTCAGGTTACCCATCTGATGGAAACTGTGTAAGCTGGATGAAGAACAACATGCACCCTGTATTTGGGTGGGGTCCAGAGTGTCGGTTCAGCTGGGGCACAGCGAAGGATATGCTCGAGGGCAAGGGAAATGGCGTCAAGGTCGAGTGGCCACCAGAGGACGATGGAGAGACAAGCAGAGTCACTGATTTCTTCGTCGCGGGAGACAAGAATAAGGAGTCCTCGGAATTGGGCAATTGGTTTGGTACTCCTGCGGATTTGGAAGCATTTTAGATACCCCTGTAATCTACAAAGGAACAAACTTGGTGTCAAGGATATATGCATCATGGCGCTAGTGTAAATGGAACATTTGTTATTTGGTCTTTTTTATAGACATTATATCCTATTCGCTAATCATATCTTACTCGGTCTGGAGCCACTCCTTACGAACTCCGACACATCCTTTTTAAATCAAATGTCATCAAGGTCGTCCTTCTCGGCAGTCGAGTTGTTGGCCTTCCTTCCTCGGCTATCCAAAGTGTCCATGCTGATGTTATCGCTGTCCTGGCGCGCAGGCATGCCAACAGCCTGTCGTGCGGTATCGGAGTTGGCAATAAAGTCTCGGAGCTGCTGCTTGGCAATCTCGACACCCTGTGTCATGGCAGCATTGCTCATCGAGAGCATGGGACCGAGCAGATTAAGTTTGTATGCCACATATGTACCTCCAAGAATAACTAGAATAAGGACGCAGAGGAAAGGATTTCGCAGAACTAGAAGAGGTCATTAGTACAAGCAAAATAACAGCCATATGCAATTCAAACTTACCAGTCAAGATCTCATTCCAGCCGAGAGCAAGTAGCAGGCCGTAGAAGTACCACGGAACCTGAGAAACTCCACCAATGGCTCCACGCTTGGCCTCGACGTACACTCCATCCGCGGTCTTCTTGAATCGTACAACAAGATCCTGGCGCTTGCCCTCGCTGAGCACAGTCATCTCCTCTTCGAGACTCTTGCCATCTTCCTCATCGATACCACCAATAGGTACCAAATCTTCCTCATCACCAGCCTGAACACCGCTGGGCTGAGGTCCAACAAATCCTGGCAGGTCAGGAGGCCCATATGTCTCTGAAAGTCGGAACCTCGAAAGAAGAGGAACCAGGGTGAGGGTTGACTCTCTCGCCTTGGTGTAGATACCCTCGATATCGTCGCTAGGTCGCCATATTCTTGGCACACCAGCCTCGTCATATCGGAACTTGTCTTCGAAGTTCTCTCGGAGCTTCAGCAAAATATTGCCCTCCATAACCTCTTCCTCAATCTTCTCGCGAAGGGCGTTCCAGCTCTTTCGGCGCAGTCGCCATGTACCAATGTCGACCTCTTCGCTGGTGGCATCGAAACTCTTGGCACGCTCAGCAAATCGAACCTCAGCCTCCTTAACGATGCCTGTGAAGACTTTCCAAACTCTGTCCCAGAGATCCTTTTCGGTTTCGGGCTTCTCGCCAGTCTCGGGGGCACCAGCACCGCCTCGTCCGCTGCCAAGCTTGTTGAACTCAAGGCCAACAGCATCGTTAAGTCGAGAACGGACCCAACGCTCAACACGAGTCGCCAGTCGTCGCATCTCCTCCTTTCGCAACTTAGCACTCTCCTCGTCGAGTTCCTTCTCAAAGAGCCTGGACTGCGACTCGAAATTAGTCCACGCAACGCCCTCAATCAGCAGGCTCTGCGCCTCAACGCCAAAGATATCCAGTGTCTTTCGCTTCTCATTGGCAACAATCTCAGCGAATTCGTACTGGCCACCAGCCTTTTGACCAGCCTTAACCTTGTTGGCAACAGCCTCGCCAAAGGCAGCAACACCAGCCTTATGAGCAGCAGCCAGCTGGCTTTGGTAAAGAGCCTTGAGACGAGTATCGATCTTGCCCTCAAGCTCGTGTCGCTTGCGGGCGTAGACGCCCTTGTGGTATCGGCTAGCTTGAACCTCGAAAGCCTTAATGCACTTCAGGCGAGCGTCATTTCCGGCCAGACCAAGGTCAGGGAGGACAGTTGGAATTCCAAGCTTGGAAGCTTCGCTCTGCTTCTCCTCAAGGGGTGCAATGACCACATCGAAGTCGATCTGAACCTCTCGGGAGATCTCGTCACAACGGAACTGGGCAAGGAGCTCCTGCTGAGTAGGCAGATCCAGGTCCTTGTTGTTCACGATCTGATCCCAGATACCCTCAGCATATACGGAGAAACCATCGGCAGGAATGCGTCGGTGGTACTCAGAGAGGAAGAGACCGCCCTCGAGCTCTTGGTCACCGTGCAGACCAGGTTTGCCGTGTCTGTGGCCAGCTGTGAATCGAGCTCCGAGCTTCTGGACCTCCTCGGTGAACTTATCAGCCTGGAGAATCTTGTGGGGCAGAGCAGCGAAGCCGAAGTCGAAGTAGTCTTCGATGCGTGAACCCTCCAATCCCTGAGGCTTAGAGATAGACGACCAAATCTTGGTCAAGTCCTGAATCAAGGTTGTTCGAAGGTTACCGAGGGGAGTGGTGCCGAGGTGATCGCGGATAACGAAGAAGAGTAGAGATCGAGGAGTTGATCTGGACAGTGTTAGTTAGTAATCGCGCATATATGGGCTATCATGAGTGGTTTGGCTTACTGCTTGTCCTTAAGGAAGAGCTGCAGGTTGACCTCAAAAACGGTCTTGAGAAGACCCATGTTGGCACCCTGGTACAAACCAACCTGGTGCTCCCAGATGTTGACGATCAGGACCTCACTGGTAGCCAGCGCAAAAAGGGCACTTTTGCGCTCAAAGTCCTGGTCCTCACCACGCTCTCGGCCGTCTGTACCCTCAACATCCATGACGAGGATGTTCTCCGACATTGGGGTGCCTGCGCTTGTCTCCTTCTTGTTCTTGGACATCCAGATACCCTTGGTGGTTTGGCGACGCTCGGTTTCCGACATGACGGAGAAGTCGGTGCCAAAGAGGTTGTTGAGCAGGGTGGACTTTCCGGTGGACTGGGAGCCAAAGACGGAGATGAGGTGGTAGTTGAAACCCGAGTCGGCAACATTGGTTACTTGGAGATACTCGTTGATGTGGGTGCTGCATTGTGTGTTAGAGAGGCGTCATGATGGACAAAATGGCGGAGAGAGGAATTGTTCTCTCAACATACTTGAACTCCTTATCCTCGTCGATAACCTGGACGCCATGCTCATAGCTTCCAGCCCCCGGCGCTTCGCCGACGGCAGAGAAATGGCCGTTCATGGTATGCGATTGTTATATATATCGAGAGGTGAGATGATGTAGGTGTAGGTATGGTTACTCGAGCTCTGGGAGGTGCATCCGTGGAAAAGTACGGGTGGCAACCCTCGATAACTGTGTATGCTATGTTATTGTGACAGTGTTATTGAGAAATAGATGGAAGAACCACGACCTGGTTTTGTTTGTATATAAGAAAGAAACAAAAACAGGATCGAGAGTTGTTGGGGCGAATAAAGAGCAGTCGGACGACCAAAAGTTGTGACCACCTGGACAAGACAAGAAAGAGACCTGATGGGCCAGATCCTTGTGACGAGATCCAGTCCAATTGAGGTACGTACTTTTGGTTAGGACATTTGTTAGTAGAGGTTCCACTCTTTAACCAAACCAGCCTCCTTTATCACCTATCAACTCCTTTTGTATGCAGGTAAAGTCAGGCCCAAGTCAGGGCATTTGTTTAATTAACTGGAGTCTTTCAAGATCCATCCCTGCCACATGTTCTGCATTCAACGGCTAGCTGACTTGTTGTGTTTAAAAAAGGCGGTCACACCTAACAAACGGCAAGCAGCTGCCCTTGTACGTCACATGCCATCTGTTGTTCTCTCTGGTCACTGTGACGGTCTTCTTTTGAAAACATGTGCTTATGCTTACGTACGTGCTCAATAAACGAAGGTAAATAGTAAGGAACATTTACCCAGTAGCGATTCTAGCGGCATCGGACCTTTGTCATAGCGGATAAGCTGATGAAGCTTGAATCATATCACTCTCAGCCAATCAGAAGCCTTCCGCTTGAAGGATGGATGTATGTAACACCCCGCCGAGGGGCATCGAGGGGAAGGAGCTTGATAATGATATGAGCTTTCGATGATACAAGTTCAACGACAACAATACAGCTCACTTTTTCTTTTTCAACTTTCACATAATTCTGATACTAAGAAACAACCGCCAATATGCTGATCAAGGAGTCTCACGTTGATGTTCCTGTCGGTGCCAATGGCACTATGCGTAATTCTCACTCTCATCTCATCAACTCATGATACAAGACTTATATGTGGCCAGGTATCTTTGTCTTTCATCCTACTATTCCTGGATACCCCAATGCGTAAGCTTTGTACAGTCGCCCTGGTCTCTTACATACTGATCATTCATCCAGACGATTCCCTGGAGTGAGTCTCTTCAGTGAGATCTACCAAGGTAAGTCTTGAATTCACAACTCCAGAAAAGGTCCATCTTCAACACAAAACTCCAACTTACACCTCTAGTCACCGGACCTGTGGCTCGCTTCGCCCGTCAAATCGCTGGACAGGGCTATATCGTTGCTGCCCCGTCATCATACCACGACTTCACAGGTCCTGAGGCGCTCAAGTATGACGCCGAGGACACTGACCGCGGCAACAAGTACAAGATCGAAAAGGTAAAGTCAACTTACACCATTCTACTCAAATATCCCTCCTGCTAACTTGAATCAGACTCTTGAGTCTTACGATGCCGACTCTTATGCCACCGTAGACTATCTCCTCTCACTTCCCACTTGCACAGGACGCATTGGTTCTACAGGCATGTGCCTCGGTGGTCACCTTGCCGTCCGCGCTGCTGTAAGTCCTTTTCCTTCATGATACCTGCCTCAACACTCACGCTGACTCTGTACCCCAGCTTGATCCTCGCATCTCTGCTTGCGTCGGTTACTTCGCTACCGATATCCACTCCCGCACTCTGGGTCCTTACGATGCCCCAAACACTTCTTCCACTGCTCCTCCTAACAGCAACCACACATTGGATCTGTTCCATAAGTTCAAGGGCGAAGTTGCCATGATTTTCGGAGTCAAGGATACACACGTCCCTGACGCTGGCCGGGACCTCATTCGTGCCAAGCTCCGCGAAGCTGGTGTTGTCACGAGTTTCTACGAGTTTGCCTGGGCTCAACACGCCTTTATTCGTGACGAACTCAGCAAGGGTCGCTACGATCCTGCGATTACCAAGGTCTGCTTTGAGGTCCTGCTTGAACTCTTTGGTCGTGTTTTGAAGACCGATTTGGGAGCCAAGGATGGCGATGTGCCACCACCTGAGCATGTATGTTAAGTCAGAAGTCATTGACTATCAAAGAATAAAAGACTATCTTGAAAGTATATGTAAAAGGTGTAATAATAATCTATTTTCTTTACTTCGTGAAAAAATGAAACCTGCTGTCTTGCAAGTTATGGCTGACCTCATAAACCGGTACACCTGCCCAATCTTTTTATGCGAATAAACCAATCTGAGTGGTAAAAAACGAGATGACTGCCCTAGTCTCTCAAGTACACCGAAAGCCAACATAGAAAATTCCAATCCAAACCCATATGGCCTCTTCACTATTACTACTAACAATACATAATGCTCAGCCGTTACAATTCGTCCGTCTCACTTCCAGGTCCACTAGCGCTGGGGAGCGGGAGGTGGTCCTTGAGGAGGTGGTCCGGATGGTCCTTGACCAGGTCTTGACAGAGGGTTGTTGGTGTTGTATTGGCTGTTGTTGTTGTTGTTGCTGCTGCCAGCATAGGGTTGGTAGCCTGTAGAGCCCCGCTGGGAAGCTGAAGGAGCGAGGTTGGAGTGATAGGGTGTCGAGCCCATGCCAGTCTCAGCCTCCTCGTCGAAGGCACCATACTGAGGACTGCGAGCGCTGCGAGGGCTTGCTTGGGTCAGTTGGATACTAGTGCGAGGAGCTGTCTCAAGCGAAAGTGAAGGAATAGCTTCACCAGCCTTGCGGCGGCCGCGAGTGCTCTCACGCTTGAGATCCGTGCGCAGGTTTTCAATATCTCTGTTACGGTGCATCTCATCGTCGTGAGAGCCCAGCGTGTGGTTGTCGCTGTTATCCCAGACACCAAGGCCAGCGGCAGGAGGACGCGAGTTAAAGCCTTCAGCAGCCGCGGCCTCAGCTTCAGCGGTGTTCTCCTGCTTTGAGGTTGGTACCATACGAGCTTCGTCAGTGGCCTTGGCGGCCTCATCACGGCTGTTCTTGGCAAACTCATCGGTGACAGTGACAGAGTATGAAGGGTTGGTAGGTCCACCGAGAGGCTCACCGCCACCACCAGGCGCAATAAGAGGAACCTTCTTCAGAGCCAGGGCCAGAGCACACATGAACTTAGAGCGACGGCTGGCACGGACAGAGTCGTTGTGCCAGTTGGACTTGTGAGCGATGGTAACATAGAGCAGCAGCTTATCGAGGTTACCGACACCGCCGACGCTAATGCTAAGATCGGGCTGGAAGTCACGGGCGTTCTCGGGCAGACGGACGAACTTCTCCATCTCAAGGCGGAGCAGCTCAATATCTTCGAAAGATGTGTCGAATGAAACGTTGACTTCGATAGTCTCGTGCATGGACTTACTACGAGAGATATTCTCGATCCACATGTTGTTGAGTTGAATGTTGGGAATCTGGACGGTCTGCATAGTGTCAAGGCGGTGGAAGACCGAGTACAAGAGGGAGATCTTGTTGACGACCATCTTGGTGCTGGTGATGTCGACGCGGTCACCGACATCGTAAGGGTGCTTGACGAACAGGAAGATACAAGAACCGAGGAACTCCTGGGCAGTAACCGCGAAGATGAAAGAGAGTGAAAGAAGGGTCGTTCCGGCAGTGGTGAGAGTCGCGATGAAGCTGCTCTGGAAGAAGGCGAGGAAAACAAAGATGACAATCAACAGGACAACGACGAGGAGAATCTTATCGAAAGCTTGAAGAGCTTGACCGATGTCCTTCATACCCTCGGCGATGGCCTTTCGCTCGACACCAATCTCGACCGTCTTTCTAACCATCTCGTCGAGACTGATATCACCGTTGTCATCACCATCAATCATGAAGAATGCCTCCTCAGCCTCTTCCTTGTAAGCAGGTCCGAGAACCTCGTGGAAATCCTCCTGAGTGAGTGATTCGTGACCCTCAACGACGTAGGACATCCAAATACGACGACCCATGGCCTCTGATGACTTGGCCTTCTCAAGAGCTTCAATAACGATGGAGTGAGCCGAGTTGGGGTTGAAGACTTGCTTTCCAGCGATCTCCGAGGCGAGGTTACCGAAAACGGAGGCGACCTTGTCTCCAACCTTTCCGACCTCTCCAATGAGTTTCATGGGAGTAGCAGAGCCATTTCGCTTGTGACCCTTCTTACCGCGGAGCAGCACCTCAATGCTATCGTTGATGACGGCATCCTCATCGGCAAATTCTTGACAGTGAAGAGGGAAGAGAGTTCGGGAAGCATCGAAAAGAAGTCCAAGAAGATGAACCTCTCGCTTGGACTCCCTGATACGGTTGGCGAAGGAGCGCTGATGGTATGAAATACCAATGAGTTGCACAATTGCCTTTTCACCAAGGAAGACGGCGGATGAAACAAAGAGAGCGCCCAAGACACGACCCATGGTGCGTACCCAAGGAACATAAGTCTTGCTTCCATCCTCATTCTGCCATAGGTTCTTGAAGGTGACATAAGAAGCCAGGGCCCAGAAGAAGAAGGAAAAGGGAAGGATAAGGTTTTGAAGAACAGTTGCGTACTTGCGAGTGCCCTTGCTGACGACTCCAGTAAAGAACATGAAGATGGAGGGCAAAAACCAAGCAACAACCTTGGCAGCCCAGCACGACAACCACATAATAAGAACCCAAAGGAAGATCTTGAAGAGAGGAGGACCGTCATCACCAGCTCGGTCGCCATCGCTGGCGAATTTACCAATAGGAAGGGCGTCCTTCTTGCCAATGGCAGCCAAGACAATTAGGGGAATGGCCAGGAGAAGACCGACGGGAACGACGTATACGAGGTATCGAGTGACGACAGAGAAGCCAATAATCTTGTTGTACAGTTTGCCCATTGCGTTCAATGAAGCATCGCCATCGGTACCGGTGCGGGTGAGACCCTCGCCCATTCTTCGTCGACGACCGCGGTGTCCTGGGCCGCTGTTGAGATTCTCCTTCTCGGTAGGGGAGCTATCATCGGGACTCGAAGGTTGGCCCATATCGGCTCTTCTGCGGCCGCTGCTGCGGACAGAGACATTGCTCCTGACCGTAGTGAGCTGAATGCCTTCCATTTCGTGTTCGTTTGAGTTGTTGCTGTTGCTTCCACCAAGAGGAACAAAGCCTGAATGAGAGTGGCGCGAGTTGCGAGGTGATAATGAGACGTGGTGATTAACCATTCTCGTACGCAATTATATATCGAACTCCTACCGGGGAGCCGAATACTTTAAGAGTGCTGGGGAAGGTTGACTAGCTGAGTAGCCCGAGTCGAGTAAAGGCTGATGATGAAACCGATAGTGGTTTTAGGATATGAAAATCGGGGAATGCTAGACAGGGAGTGAGACGGCGGTAGGATATCAAATCCTTAGGCGCGGTTGATCTTCTCTTGTCGAGTCTAGTGAGGTACAGTAGGGGGGAAATAGAAAAGGGGATAATTATCTATCTGCTGGAGACTGGCTCGAGCTAGATGATGCCGAGAGGCGGGCTGGGGCAATTGGTGAATGCCGATGATGTATGTAGTGGATTCAAGGAAATAAATGCAGACAAGACGCTACAACAATCCAATCAGTAGGTACCCGTTCTGGATATTCTCGCTAGGGCGTTTCTCTAGGATGAAGAACGAGGGTAACTGTATGATCTGCCGTCTTCTCCAGCGAAGAACGAACAAGAACAAAACAGGTTGGCGAGTGGTTGGTGCTACCTAGGACAGACAAGAGCTGATGGGAGGAAGCGAGAGAGAGAGACAAGAGCAAGACTAGGGAAACAAACAAAAGATGGGAATGGGAAGCGATCTAAAAAGACAGGATTAGAGAGCGAGAGGGGATGCCGGGGTGGTTATAGGGAAACTGGAACGAGCGTCTGGTGGAGAATGAAGAAGGAAAAGAGAGAGATGTGAAGGAGGAAGATAGTTAGAGCAGAACTAGAGACCAGAGGTTGAAGTCAATCAGTCGTCCATCGACGAACGAGATTTCGGGGATCATGGATTGGGTGGAGGTTCCCTGCTCCTTCCCTGTCAGTTCTTGGCCGGTGCTCAAGCTCGTGTGAGTGTGAGATATGGACATAACACTGTGTTTAACACTGCGCTACAGTGCTAGGTCTGTTCTATTTGAGGTTTGTCCGCCTTGCCATCCAAGCACATCCTAGAAATACCAAGCCGGGACTCACAAACCGACAGTCCCGTAAAGGTCTGGCTCGCGAAAGGGGCGCCCGTGGGTTCATGTTTCTTTAAAAAGTTTACCTAGTCTCCATCTTCAGTGCTTCCACCAGACCACAGTCCCAGCGGGCCGTAAAGGTCAAAGTCCCTGAAAAGAAGGAGGCGATTATTATCCACCGACGGAGAGGTGAGAGCCACTTGCTCAGGTTTTTCTCCCCTCTCTCTTTCTGTTTCCAGCAAAGTAGCCAAGATCAATTGATTTCTATTGGGTCCTTCCAGGGCCTCTCTCCCCTACGGCGCTGGAGCACAGAGGAGAAGAGCCCTACCAGCTGAAAAAGGATCCGCGGCAGGGTCCCCAGACACACTCCTTGAAGTTTTTTTTTTCGTTCGCTCTCTTTATTTTCTTTTTTTCTTTCATCTGCTGTGCTGCAATGCCGACCTTTCAGGGGCATCCGGCCCCTCCCAATCGAGCGTCGTCCTCCAATGGCAGAACAGCAAAACAGCGTTTTTCAACGCCGGGCCAGGGGGAGGCGCCGCCCCCGGCAGCCACAGACAGCCATTGACAGGTTGTAACTGCCCCCTTTGTTTCACGTCTCCCAATCGGGCTCGAGGACTACGCGGCCACTACGAAGAAAAATTATTAGACCCGACCTCATGGTGACTGCAGGTTCAGGTTCCCTTGGCTAAATACAGTGCCGCTTATTCTATAATCTAACTTGACAGCCTTTTAAATACTGAAGGATCAGACAAGACATGGATCATCTAACGATGGGCTTATACGAACCGAACCAAACATGACCGTGACAACGGGCAGGCAATTAAATGCATGACATTTTCCCTATGGCATATTTAAGTTTACTGGTCTTTACTCATGGTCCGGGTATCAAGAAACAGCCCATCATCTTACACCGCAATGCCCACGGACAAGAACATCTTTTTCTCTATGAGCACACGACATGCCATGGAACAGAGACAAGCAGATACGAGAGATCAGTCAAATCATCGGCTAGACAAGATAATAATAACCATATCTTCTCCATATTTCGTTCCACCTTTTCCTTACCCACCGTGAAAAGCTTCGTCCTTTCCTACTAAACTAGACTAGAATAGACAAGCCCAGCGTCCAGCTCTTCTCCCATCATGGAAAAGATGGACACTTGAGATCTCGAGTGGTCCATCTCCCGATCCCGCATCGGGAGCTGACGTTTGGACTTTGGACTGTAGAACACTGTATAAGGTACTGTCTCAAAGTCTCACAGCGTTCGTTGGTGTTGAACTTTTAGGACAAGTAAGCTGTTGAGCAGCAGCGACATCATAAAGACATCTTATTCGATGTTCTATATTCGTTCAACTTGCACATGTAACGGCGGCTCAACAACTCCTACACTAATGATTAACCTTTTCGACCCTTCAACGGCCGAACTTCCCCTTTGTGTTGTTGAAAGAGCCCGGCTAACCCAACACGTCTTGGGACATCGTTTGACGCGCAATTCCCGCGATCAAAACAAAAAAAGACAAGACGAAACAAACCAGCCACTTCCCTATTTTCCTTCTCGCAAGTTCTAGCGTATGTGGTTACGCCGCTAACAGAACAGGAAGGGAAAAAAACACGAATTTGTGTTGATGGTTGTCAATACCTGTGTAAATCTGATCGAATAGCATTGACAACAATGCTAAGGGAAAACATTATCCATGACGCTCGCCATGGGTCTTTAATGCTTCGACCTCCTATTGGCATTGATGATGTGTTTTCTCGCTGCTAAAATCTTGGAAGTTTGTTTACCAAGAGAATGATTTCTTGCTCAATGGGCCCATCTATGTTGCCACTGGCTGAGAAATAATAGCGAACCATGGCCACGATACAGCAATGATTCAGCTGCTACAGAAGCCCCTGCAGACACGAATCGACCGGCGTGGATACGCACCGTTCCAGTTAGACTCTGCCAGCGTGTCGTGTCAGAGTTATGAATAAGGGTTGGCGATGAGAAGAAAAAAAATCAACGCTCACTAGTTTGACATCCGCATTGACCTCAGGGTCAATTCCAGTAAAAACGAATGTCTAGACTTTGTTAATATTTGCTTCTTTTTATGGTTTCATAACGGTTTGCTACTAATTGTCGTTCGTGATGAGAAAGTTCCTCCTGCATATGTGCAGATGAATATGAAACGCTTCTCACTGCTGCACTCTCCTTTTCTGCTCGCAATGTGACACTTGATTGGGGTTCATGGACGAATACTGTACTGTATCCTGTTATACTGTACTGTCAGGGTCCCTGCGCCAAGGTTGTCTTGCTGTAATGCAACCCTTTGACCAGAGCTTGACTTTATGTGTGACCGGAACTGGGACTGAACCTGGACCTGGACAATGACTGGAGAGGACCGACAGTTTGGGTCACAAGATCTCGCTTCAAGTAACGACATTTGATACTCGTAACTACAACTTCAACTTCAACACAACCGCGAAGGAAGTAACAGTGAATATTCACATTCACATTCACATCCAACATCAAATTCACAACGGCTGTCATCCATTCCAGACTCCTCTTCTAACCGCTGAACCCTTAATGTCTCACTAATCCTCCCACAGTATCCATACCACCAACCTCTTCCAGGAAACATCTCCACGTCGTAATGTCGATCTCATCATTCACCTAGAATCCACGCTCGTCGATCATCTCAAAGCTTCGAGCAAGAAAATGCAACGTGATCTGATCGATCACCCATCCCCCGGAAAAGCTTGGCCGTGCTGTGCTGGTCAATGTACTGTAATCCAGCTCCGTACAGTACTGCAACAACGCCCCCAGCTCGTATCGTATTGCAATTGTGTCATTCAATATCGGGTATCGAACATAGATCGCGGTTACGTGAAGCGAGATGCTCATGTGTCGTCACCTGTAACACTTGTGTTGCAATAGTAGGCGCGCGGCATAAACACCATGACGTTGAATGTGCCAAATCTCCCAATATTGTGCTAGTGATTAGACGCCTAAACTCTGCCTCGGCAACTTTGTCAACTCTTCCTAATCCAGAATGTCAACCGCGTTTCGGGCCATCCTCGCTGGCCTCTTTCTTCCATCCCAAATGCTGATCGCTGAACAGCAAAGTGGATATTGTCGATCACCAGTCTTGTTTTGATTTGTTTCTTTCGCGGGGCCCATTCCCAGTCCCATTTCAGTTGATGACGGAATTTCGGGGTCTTGGTCTTGCCAGAGCCAAGACGGTCCGTCTCAATAGTCCAGCTCAGCTCGCTTCTCGGATTCCACAGACCACATTCGGAGCCGCTTCACGACGTCACCGGACAGTTACTAAAGAGCTCGGCGCATTTCCACTTCACCTTGGCCCTGTTGGATTTTGATGAGTAACTCATTAACGACCCAGAAGATAATTGAAGGTGGCAGGCAAAGAACCTCTTGGGCCACTATCATAATGACTTGTTCATCTCCCTGACGTCACATCATTAAAGATGCCCAATTCATTGACTAGCGTTAGGGGAACTGGGGGCTTCATCTCCGTTCAAATAAAAGACATTGATCCAATATCATTTCGCTTGCTACTTTCTCGTGCAGGGTATCATAAAGTGCAGTGCAGTACAGTACAACCAACAGCAGTACTAACCAGACAGTTGTTCCAAACCATGTTGTCCCATCTCAAAAGCAAATCCATAATCAAACGCCAGAGTCGTTATATCACCCGCTCCACATCCAGCCTCATCATCTTGTCGTCTGAACTCCTGACGTAAGTCCAATGTTGTCTTTCAGCTCGACTTTTGCTTTGTCGTTCTCATATCCAAAATCGCTGCCGTGGCTGTCTTCCGGCTCTCCAACAGTATCGAACTGGTATAAGGGATCCAACCTGGCCTCTCGCTGGAATAAGATCCATCTCCTGACCCACCAGGGAAGGACTTGAGTAACTTGGTATCTCACAAAGACTCGTGTTGGCACTGCAAAGATGTAATCAAGCTCCTCCAGCGTACGCTGCTTTGTCTCAGGTAAGAACAAGAAAATCATGAACAAAGCAACAATGTTGAAGCCCGCATACATCCCGAAAGCTCCAATGGCATGCAGCCTGGCCAAAATCAAAGGGAAAGTGATGGACAGCACAGCAGCCCAGAACAGACATGTTGCTACAGCCCATGACATGCCCACTTCACGATGTGACAAGGGAAACACTTCTGCTGAATATGTGAAAGGCACAGGTCCCTCTCCAGGTGAGTAAAAGGCCGCAAAGAGGTATACAAAGAGGGCCACCAGTGCCATATGGAGTCCGCCCGTGCCCGGAATCAAGGTACAAAGACCTGCTGCAAGCAATGTCCATGCCATCTGGGGGAATGTGAAGAGCAACAAAGATCGTCGACCAAAGGTATCTATCGTCCAGATTGCAGGCCAGGCAAAGACGAAATTTACCAGTCCAAAGCCCATCGACGCCAACAGAGCCTGGTTATCACTGGCTCCTGCGTCTCGGAAGACACTTGTGGAATAGAAGGCAATGATGTTAATTCCACACATCTGTTGGGCAATCATCACAACAAATGAAGCCAACGTGGCGCGACGCACACGGGGTATCGTAAAGAGTTCGATGAATCGTTTCGCATAGTTTCCTTGGCCGATAAACTCGAGCTCAACTTCAAGTTGCGCATGAATATAGTATAAATCGCGGGCGGCTTGTATCGGATGGTTTCGTAATCGTAGTAGGGACTTCATCGCATCGCCGTAACGGTTTTTCTTCATGTACCAACGCGGGGATTCTGGGCAAAGGTAAATTAGGAGCATCAAAGGCACGGCTGGTATAAAGGCCGAACCCAATTGGTATCTCCATGCATTGTGGCCGATTTTCGTAACGGCGACGTTTGCACAGGTTCCGAGGAAGATACCAAAGGCCGTCCACATCTGCCAACTCATGACAAAGGCACCTCTGATCGGGGCAGGTGAGTTTTCGGCAGCAAAGATGGGAACTATCGAGCTTTGTTAGTTTCTACACCCACAGCATGCTCTGGGGGGTATATAAACAAAGGGGAACGTACCTGTCGAGGCTTTGGTACCCATTCCAATACCAAGGAGTATACGACATGCAAAAAGCTGCCTCCAATTATCACAGAAAGCACTTCCAAGGACAGGCCAAAGACAAAAGTTTGCCGAGAAAAATATAGTGCCGCGACGTCCAAAACGTGAGTTCAGGGGATCCGAAAGCCAACAACCAAAGAGAGCTGTTCCGATATATGGAGCTGAGTTAACGAGACCGACGAGTAATTTGTCATGTATACTGTCACTGCCGATGCCAAAAGCATAAGGAAACTCGAGATTGGCGCCGTTTGAACCTGTCTGATCCCAACCTTGTACGGCAGCACCGATAGAGCATGTTGCAACGGTCAAGTACAGAACAAATGGGACTCGCCACTTATGAAGAATCTCGTCTCTCAGTGCTTGAATCTCTTCGTCGTTAAGCTTTTCGTCTCCTTCGATATCCTCATAGCCGGTAGGGTCCTGTGCGACAAGAGCACCCTTACGAATGAGAGGGCGATAATGGTCAAGGTCTTTTTTACGGCAGAAGTCATCTACATCAGCTAAGAGTCTTGCTCGAGGAAGTCCCCAAAGAGGGTTCTTGATTCTTTATTGATGTTAGTATTGAAGGATGACAAGAAAGTGGTTTTAGTGGACATACTTGGCTTCAACATTTGCATGCAGGTTAACGTAAGCTTCTGAGGGACGCCGTGCATGTTCGATCATGGAACTGGAAGGATATTCATTGGTAGTTCTTGATAGACTGAGTTGGAGAATTGATCAGCGTTGGGATCGACAATACATCAGCATGGGTAGAGTCCATACCGTTCTACATCGTCTTCGCCGCGATTCGGCGCCATATTGGGTAGTGGACGGACCAGTTAGCAGTGACGCGATGGTGATTGACTTGAATATGAGATTGAACAGGCGGATAGAAGGGCCGTTGCCCAAGGGTGAGAAAGTCGAACCAGCAGAGAACAAATGGTTGTTCTTGTATAGCGCTTGATTTGCTGGTGAATGAAATTGGCGTCAGCTAGATTGATTGTCGCGACCGTTGAGATGAGATTAAGTTGATGAAATGACGATAATTCCTAACGGGTGTCGTCGGGCGATCGCCTCTCGAATGTGGGGTTGGAATGAGGATGAGGCACAGTCAAAGCGAACCGAGAGCTGTCTGGTGGTCGCAGGAAAACAGGATCGGGTGGTGAGAACCCTTAATCAACCGGGATCAATTGCTGAGGTGGTTTTCTGATGATTGAACAGAGGAGCAGGTCGAAAAGTTGGAGGAGGCGAAGTCGAAGAGTAGAGTTGAGTCGAAGGATCCAGACCTTTGGTGTTCGGTTAACTTATGCGACGAACTCAAAGGTTGCCCGTCTTTTGTGTCGTCGGAATTAGGAAAGAGTCAAAACTGAGGGGGCGACACTCGAAACTAATCGGTGGCGGCGAATTATTCTGGAGCGCATCGGATATCGAGTCTGATACAGATCTCAATCGATTAATGATAAAGACACAAAGAAGAAGTCGAGTTACAATAATAATGGAACTGGGAAAGAGGATGTGGAATGCGGCTGCGCTTTATTCGGGGCTTTGGGGCGCTTGAAGATGGGGAAGGAAGGACCAGGGTCTAGTCTAGAGTTGGGTTCGTCAAGTGGCAGGGGGGTCAACAAGAAGGAAGGAACTTTCAAGTCTTGGCCAACGAGTAACAAAGAAGATGATTGATGCTCTTTACTAAAAATCTAGGTATACTGTTATCATGATACTCATTGAACTCAGGTAACAACACATGCCTTTTGATGTTCTCTGCTGTTCTCCTCGTTGTAATCCACTACCCCAGGTTTGACCCAGGATCGATCCATCGTGCATCTCCGCAATAAGATACCAACCCAGTTCAGTTCAGGTCAGTTCAACCCTAGACTCAAAGTACAGTCCAGTTGCTATGATTGTACTAGACGAGACTCTAATCTGGAGACAGCGAAACAACAGGATACATGAATCGTCTGATCAATATCACGAAAAGCACATGGAATACTCCTTCATCTTCAAACAAGGGTCCCTTGTCTCGCTTCGGTTGTCAACTGTCAGATGAGAAACAACCATCCATCTTGAACATCTGCGCCGTTCCTCTGCAACCCAACCTGTTCCTTTACCAACACAACTTGAATATCATGACCCGTTTCGAAAGACAAGTCAGTGTTGGTGGTATGATGCTTTACTTCAACCAACACAGCATCGTACAATTCCATGTCGGTCTCGTGATCAAGCAAGACCCTAGAAACTTCTCTGTGACGACAACTGGTGCAATACGTAGCATTGACTTGAACGGTTATTGATCTGCGTACCAAATTGCCGAGCCGATTCTTTTCTGCATCTGGAATCCTTCATATGCAAGAGACAAGGAAGACCAAACCATGATGCTTAATTCCGCAGGTTATTAAGTTTTTGGTTTCTTGGATACAGCATGGATCTACATTGCATCCTCCTACTCTCCGAACGGATTCCGAAATGCAACTCTCGAGGGATACCCGTGATACTGATCCAACAGCCATTTAACATTGGCATTCATCCTCTTCTTTATAACGTCTCCGACACAGAAACGTCTTTCCCTGTTGGAGATTAAGCTTTACCCCCAGACTTTGATACGGCAATGGCTGCTTTCTCGGGCTGCTTGGCGTGGCTTCAGCTCAAGGCAGCAGAATTTCCAGCTTCGTGAGTGGACGTTGCAGGGTAACCTCATCTCCACCAAAAACGCCCAACACCACGGTTGTATCTCACGATCAAGACCCCTTGCCTTGTTTTGCAGTTGCTCCAGGTTATCCGTCTCATCGGTTGAGTTCATCTGTGACATTCCCCGGATTCCACATGTTTTTCGTTAAGATCCTTCCACTCGTATGTCTGTCCAATGACGAGATGGCAGTATCAATCACTTGCACCCCCATGACTAGGCTGACAAATATCATGAGAGAAATGTTCAGTAGACAATAAAGACAGTAGAAACAATTTTACGTTCTTAAATGCAGATCTTAACATTAACCTCACGAGCTATCAGCCCTATTACACAAAGTTCCTACATACATCCCACTCTCGCCGAACCATCAGTCACCTCAATGACGAAGTAGACTTTCTAAACCATCGCGAGTCATAACGAGACTATAGGTTGCTTACACCTACTTCTCGGAGTCGCCGTTGATAGCTTCTACGTGCCGCATCTCAATTAGGATGGTGATAATACTCTATCTGATCTGTCATCCTCCGAGCGATCCGAAAATTACATAACCACTAGAAAAGATACTGTATTTGACCTAGCGACCGATGGCTTACATATACTGGTTCTACAAGGAGACAAATCACCCATTATATGTTAAGTTCACCGCTACTTAAGACGAATAGATAGCCAAGAGATAGCCATGAATCTGCTGTAAGAACTCAGTTTCCAATATGCAGTCATCCAAAAAGACACATACAACCAATCTCATAACACTAAAAAGCCAAGAGAGATAACGCCATATAATACTAATTACTACCTAAAGAAATCGCACCAACGCGCTCAATAATGCTTCCATAAAAACAAAGCAGGGCAAACCGAAGAAAGGGTATCATCTCCTGGGCGGTAGCTTCAAAGGATCCGTCACCTTGGTTTTCAGATCCGTAAACTTCTTATCCTTCTTGTTCATCGTCATCAGCAGATTCTCATATTTCGTCTTCCACTCATTCGCCGAGAGTCTCGCCTCTGATTCTCCAGACGTGGAATCTGGGCACGCATCTCTTTCTTCGATCAGTTCTGCTGGCACTGACAGCTCCATATGATACGTGCCCCTGAAAGGCCCGAAGCCGTATGTCCATGCACAGCCATACCTCATTATGCCGTCCGCAACTCCCAGGCGCTTGATCCTGCTCGGCTCGGTCACGAGGTATCCGCCTCCTGCAACGGCTGCGAGGTTGATCAGGAAGGCTTGCGGCGATTCGGCGTTGTTGTACATGTCTTCGAGAGTGCAGTTGGTGATTGCCAGGGCTTCGTTCGTCGTACAGGGAGTACTTGGGTTGTCTTCTGCATCTAGAAAGTTCGCTGCAAGACAGCTGCGAATCATGTATGCGAGAACTTCATCAACATTTGTTCGATCCTCAATTCTTTCAAAATAGAACCGGGGGACGTCTTTGGGATACGACATAGTGCCTTCGTTTTGGGTTTGTTTCTCACTCGCCGCCGTAGCTTCCTGCGCAACTAATGAGAAATGTGACGGCGGAATACCGCTATGTGCTGGATGCGGAAGAGCTTGAGGTTCGCTGGGTTCTCCGTTGATGACGACGACTGGTGGAGGAGTTGCGAGTCTTACACTGCCAGAAGGTCGCTCGGGAACTGTCAAAGATATACTTGGCCGCGTAGGCCGTGGTAAAACAGGAGGCGGATGCGGCTGTGATGTAATCGACGGGATCGAGATGGAATCATCAGAAGGTCCACCATCTGTTTTAGGGGCCGTTGAAACTGGGGGAGTGTAGATGGGGGCGACAGGTTCGGACTCGGCTTGATCTGTAGTAGTAGCAACGGACGTAAGTCCAGCTGTAAACGGTGGTAATGATGTATCCACAGGAGTCCGGTGCATCGGCGGTCGTCCTCTAGGTTTAACGCCGCCGTTGGCAACTCCAGGTCTCCAGGCCGAGGAGACATTCTTGGGACCTCTACGCTGAGCAGTGAGTTTCGGCTTAGACGGAGTCACAGCGGACTGTGGTTCGAGGGCATCATCCCAGAAGGAGTTTCGTGAAGTTGGTGTAATGGCAGACTGCGGCCATCGGAACAGCGGAGTTTGCTGGACGTCACTTGGTGTCCAGGGTGCACCAGTTAATCTCGATGGATCTGCTGACATGGGACCGCTTACGCCGTCAACAGCTGACGATGGGGCAAGGTGAGATCTCTGGGTCTGAGCCTGAGACGGTGCGGGAGATAGAGAAGTGGCTGTGTCATCGTCTACTGGACGTTTTCGACCTCTCTTTGGTCGGATATGGGGGAACAGAGCCCTCAGGGCCATGTCATCCTCAAGAGCCACGCCATCCCGTATGGGCTGGCTGGTAGGGTTACTGTCGGTAGGGATCTTTGTCCAGTAATCATTGGGTATATCCATAAGATACTCGAAAAAGGCCTTGACGTGCATGGAATTCATCCATTTCTAGCTCAGCCCTATTAGTGGGTATGCTTTAGGGGTGACCAAACACATCATATCACATACCTTTAACCTAACTCCATACTGTGCCACCTTCTGGTTGCTCTCCTCCTTATCGGGAGGCTCAACTCCAAGCTTTGTCGTCAGCTCGGTCCAGGTGCGTATCTCATTGTTGTAGAACTTGCGGACCAGCTCATAGATGGCAAATGTGTTGAAGGCCTTGCCTCCGCTGCGAGGAGGGTTACAAAAGGCCTCGCGTAGACTGTCTGTAGGTGTAGAAAGGGGGACTGCTGGGTTGCAGAAGAGGATGAAGTCAACATAAGCGTTCTCGATCGATTGCTCCGAGACACAACGATCCGGAAGTCCCGGGCGTGCGACCACGAAGCTTTGGTCCGAAGACGGAGGCGGAGGCGGAGGCGCAGCGGATCCCGATCCGGCCCCCGATACTGATACGCCGGACCGCGGTGGAGGCTGAGCCGGAGAAGGCCGAGAATTGACAATGGCAGGCGACGACATTACGAGTTCATCTCTCAATTAGGACTGAATCGAGGAGAGAAAGAACGTAGTCTTTTTACATAGTCGAATTGTTCGTTTCGTCTCATGTGAGAATTGGGGGTAAACAGAAACAGAAACGAAAACCAAACAAAAGATGAGACATGAATAGAATAGCCGATAGTTCCAGCAGAAGCAACGACGAAATAAGGATGACTCAGGGTAACATCTAATCAATAATACTGAAGCTTGATTGATGCAAAATAGTTGAACGTCTCTTCACGATGGACGCGACTATGAGAGGAGGTAAGGCGCGTTGAGTTGCAAATTAGGTCACCAAGCGATGGAGCAAAAGGGGGCTAAATTTAGCAATTGGTCCAGGATGAGAAAGAGGAGGGAGGAGTCGCAGTCTCAGTCTCAGTCTCTGCTTATTATTTTGGCACTTGCACTGTAGATCAACTATACTAGGTATCGTATGACGGCCGTGCACATAATAAATAATCACTGTCATAATTCAAGCTTCTTCTCAACATTCAATAGACTTCTAACATGCCTCGATGCTCATTCATGCTTGGCTTTAATAAAATCCGTATAATTCCCGCCAGACTCACTTTATTGTTCTCATTGGCTCGCGCATAAGCTAAAGACTTACAAGAATGCTTTGTACAGTAATCAAATCTCTTTACTAATCCGACCTCATAACGTACGCCCTTTTAATTGATGAGTAGCCAACGGTTGTGCATCTCGAGAATGGCGTGCTCAACTACATACCATTTTATTTCCAAATTGGGTACGAGATGGTCAATTGCATCATGTTCGATTTCAAATCCATCTCTTGTGATGATGGTGGATCTACCAGCGCAGATGAAGATATAAAGAGCTGTATATGAAGCATGTATTTTCGAAAGCATCTAATCAAACAAATATTTAATCTCGAACAACATCATTCCATTAACAACAGTTTACTTTGGCCTCTTGCTATAATTGATATACTCAAGCCATACCATCTGTCTATCGACTACTATCTCAACCTCTATAATGGCCATCTCGTCAACCATCCCCCGAGGTGACGTCAAAGCAACCCTCAACTTCTACAATCCTCCAACCGACAACTCCGCTCCCTTCAACTTCGTCGACACTCCCCCCAAGGGACAACCCCAGCGTAACTTCACAGACAACCCCCAATCAACCATCATCCACGACATCCGTGGTCATGAATCCGAGTACACCTTAGACCACGATGCCTTCCAAGTCATCCAGGATGTTCCGCCCTCTCAAGAAGCCGAGTTTGTTGACGACGACTCCATCAAGTCAAACTACTATCCTGAACTGGAGCAGCTTCTTCTCAACAACGTCGCTGGGTCCAATCGTGTTTTCTTCTTTGATCATACTATTCGGAGACAGGACCCTAATGCTGCGAGGGCGCCGGTGACTCGTGTGCACATTGATCAGACTGCTGAAGCTGTGGCCCAGCGTGTACGCAGATACTTTCCCGACGAAGCAGACGAGCTTCTCAAGCGACGCTATCGTCTTGTCAACATCTGGCGGCCTCTCACTAAGAGACCTCTTGAGTCTTTCCCTCTTGCGGTTGCGTCCTCTGCTTCTGTAGAGGATAAAGATATTGTGCCGGTTGAGCACCGCTACCCAGATGGTTACCGTGGCTGGACTGCGGCTATTCATCATAACCCAGACCAGAAATGGTATTATCTCAGTGGCATGAAGGGGAGTGAGCGGTTGTTGTTGGAGTGCTTTGACAGCGAGTCACTTAAGCCCGGTTCCAAGATCAAGGGCCGTGTACCGCATACTGCTTTTGAAGACTCGAGGACTCGACCTGAGGCAGAAGGTCGTGAGAGCATCGAGGTTCGCGCACTGGTCTTTGGTCCTTGAACGTGTTCTCATCACAATGATAGGGGGGGAACTTGTTCACAGATTTCTATGATGGCATGGTTGCTTATTCAATGTCGCTGTAAATTGATCCAATCTCGTATTCATATTATGAAATAATAAGCAGGCGTTCTAATTCTATTCATCAAGTCTTTTCACTCGATGCCATTGTAAAAACGTAAAGTCAACATGATTCCCTGGTGCTTCAGCTCATTCCTTGCCAATAAACCCTGAGTACCAACACTCTTGTCAAATCAAAGAGTTAAACAAATATCACATCGTCCCTTGATGCAGCTTTTCCTGAACTTCGTAAAGTTAGATGCCGTCGTAAGTCGAACGATGCTACGCCTATGCGCCGCGCTTGTAATAGTATAAAAAGACGTCGTTCATGCTCGGTGTATAAGCAAATGACTAGTTCTTGCGTCCCTTGCCACGAGTGCTGCTGCTTCCCTGACGGCTCATAGCAACTCCGCCGCCGCTGCTCTGGCGGCTCATGGGCACTGCAGCACTTGACAAGGCTGCTACCGAAGTGGCTGCAGTAGCATTCGCAGGGCTAGGCTGGTCTCGCAGGCTGCTGATGGCAGGTAGTCCAAGTGAATCGCGGACCTGCTCAGGGTCTTCTCGAGGAGCGCTGGTAAAGGCCACATATTGGGAGTTCTGGTAAGGCGTTGCCACAGCTGCAAGCACCTTACGCATTCCAGCTGGGTTATCGAGGTGAGCTCCGGGCTTGTGAGCAGCATCATACTGCTTGAAGTAGCCCATAACCGACAGGTCAGACATGATGTCGTCATTAGACAGAGGAACAGGGAAGTTCTGATCGGCAGTACGAGGGTAAGGTTTAAGGTATTGTTGAGGCACGGGAGGGGGCATCTTGGGCGGCTCCTGGGAGTGCAAGATGTCTAGGTTGTTAACTTCAAAGTTGGCAACCCCCTCAACTCCCAGAATCTTGTCGTCAATAAAGTTATGGTTAGCACCGCCACGGTTACTGCGAGTGGCATGTGAGACAGAACGCTCCATTGCGGGAGCAGAAGGCTGAGAATCAGCGTCGTGGTCGTTGGCATCGCCGTTGCCAGAGTCACTATCTTCCGGCGAAAGGCCGCCACCGTTCACGCGATTGCGAAGAATGTATTGATGCGCAGCCAAGGCAGCTGTGTTGTAGTTAAGCGACAGCTCCTTATCCGTGAATAGCTTGTCAATACTGTAGACAGGACCGTTCTGCTTGGCAGCAGCGCGAGCCTTCTCAGACTGCCATAGAGGAGTTGTGTTGTGGTTGTCGAGAGCACGTCGAGTCGGCGCAGGGGAGCCGTCGTCGTCGTTGGCGTTTCGCTTGCGTTTCTTGTTGTCTGAGTACATTTGCAAGTCGTCGGCGTCCTTGCGCAAACGTGTGGCTCGTTTGCCGTGAGGACCGCCGGGACTGGCAGGGTTGGTCAGACTGAACTGATTCGGGTTGAGCAGTAAGGCATTGGAGTCGTTGATTTCCAAAACTTCTTTTTCGCGATTCAATCGGTTCTTCTTGTGGGTAAGGGTATTGATTAACCGATCGCGGAGAGTGCTTGTAAGAGCCTTGTGCTCGCGCTTTGCGGTTTCGACCTTGTAGGCATAAGTGTTCTTATACTCTCGAAGTCGTCGTTCGTATTCATTCTGTTGGTGCAAATGGTTAGCGAAAAAACATGACTGCGTGGCGTGCGGCGCCTTCTTACCTTGGATTGTGTTAATTGAAAGTCACGAATTTCGACGAGATCCTCAATCTCGGCCATGAAGTCAGAAAATCTGATACCTGCCATGTCAAGCAGGCTTCGTGCATCTTCGGCGTTGACTGGAGGGCCTTGAGTATTGGTATGTTCCCGTTGAAGCTCGGCGATGACTTGAAGAATCTTGGGGTCGTAGGGATCGAAGCGCTGCACGAGATTGATGTCGAATTGGATCTTCTGTAGCTGATCGCGATATGTCATGTCCCGCTCTCTGTGGAACTTATCGGTCATGCTGGAGAGTCGCTCCATAAGAGCCTGTCTCTTGCGATCTCGTTTGGAATGAGCAGCAGGAGGGGGAGAGCGTCGGTCAGATCGACCGCCCATGTTAGTAGGGGCCGCTGGGTCGTTGGCGGCCATTGCGAAGTGTTATGGAATATGTGTAAGTGATTTTCTGTATAGCGACTGCTGAAGTATGACTGAGAGAAAAAGAAAGGTTTGAGAGAGGGAGAGTCGTGATCTCTCGTGGCTGTGTGTAGAAAGACGTAAGGGTGGAGGAAGCAAAGAGTGCAAGCTGAAGAAATAGAGCTGAGAACAAGGAAAGGTAGGGAGGAGGTAAAGTCTAAGTCAAAACGATAAAAGACTTCTCTGCACAATAGAAGCTTATTGACTGAGTGAACAATAGCACGGACAAACGAGCAACTGTCAGTGCTAGTGACGTACAATACAATACGATCCAGTGCAGGGAAACGAGGTAGAATAGAGTGTTTCTATTGTCTCGGCTCAAACTGAGAGACCGAGAGAGATGGACGCAGAGGCATGACCTCGCTGCGGCGCCTGTCTAGTTGTCTTTACCGCCTTCCAGAAGCGGTAATTTTGGAGAATAGTGCCCCGGACCGATCTTGTAATGCTGTAAGTGGAGTGATTGGTTGAGCCATTAGACGGTGCTTAAACAGTACTTACACAGTTAAAGCTAGAGTGGAGCTATTCAGTTGAACAACAATTAAACACAGTAAGACATAACAGGGACAGAGTAGTTGTTCACATTTTAATTAATTTTCTAAATCTATTATACCGTTCTGGTAATCCCTTCAGAGACCTCCTCTAAGCTTGTGTAACTGGCTAATTAGACCAAAACCACCTGGTGATTTGGTATCTTCCACCACAGCAGCATCTCTCGTGACACTTCCCTTCCGTGATCGCGACTCAACTTTGCCCTTTTCCTTTGTAGCCTGTTCCATTTCCCTCATTAGATCCCGATGCTTGTCTTCCACCATCTTAGCCAGACTCTCTATAAATTTGTTCCTGCCCTTCTCCTCTGCTGTGTCCTTCCACACCAGTGAAAGCTCCTTGAGCTGCTCAATTCTCTGCGCCGCCTTCTCAATGCCTTGAATAGGGTCCTCTGACTTGTTCAATAGGTCTGATATCTCATTCCGGATGTTCTGTAGCACTTCTTTGCCCTTCTCTTCCGAGCTCTGCTGTGCTGAGCCAGGTTCCGGTGCTGATACTGATAAGAAGCCGGAACTAACTGAAATTTCTGAGGGTGGGAAGACAAATTCCATAGCATCGCCGAAGGTTTTGATGACTGAGTCCAGCCGTGATCGTACGAGCGTCAATGTTTGTAGCTGTTTGAGGAACTCCGGGTCATCTGGGTTTGCCGAATCGCTGCTAGTGCCAGCGGCAGTTGTTGACGGTGCCGCGCTCTTGTCTTCCTTGGCCGCAGCAGCCGCAGCGTTCTTTGCCTCAATAGCTTCTTGCAGCCCTTCCGGGACAAACTTCTTGATGTCGTCCTGAAGTGTCTCGTTCATCGTCTCCTGCAAACTCAAAGTCTCGCCACGCAGTAACTCCACCTCGTAAGCCAAACGGCTCCCACTTCTCAGAATGTCATCGGTGAGATGTGTGAGAGTAGTTGATAATCGTGAAGTCTGAGCATTAAGTTGCGAAATAAGAGTCTGGGCTTGTGTGGACAGTTCAGCAAGAGGGGCAATATCCGACCCTGTTCGACCAGGTACAGAACGCTGCTGCAATGGCGGCAGGGTCGCATTTAGGAAAGTTGCGGGATCAAATGTTGGGTCCAGGAAGTCTTGAAGAAATTCGTCTGATGTATGAGATGACTTTGGCTGGATAACGGCCCTGGACTTTCGTCTTGTGTGTCCTGGTCTGGTAGCGGCGCTGCTGGTAGCCCGCCGGCGGCCATTTTTCAATTCGGAGGCCATTCTCTATGTATCTCTGAGGAAAAGCCAGTCTCTTTTGCAGGAATTAAATACGTTGTTGGAAAGTTGGCTTAGAGAACTCAAGGGGTATAGTTTAGTAGCTAGCTTGAGTGAGCTACCTCTAAGCTGGCCACTTTGACGGCGAATGCATGACCTAACCGATGATAACCCGGCTACCCAAAACCGCCTGCCCTCCACTTACAACAATCATCATTTACTTTGGCGATATACTCACCCAACTGAACTTCATACCATAGAAATGAGTGAATCTCAGGAAGAAATGAAAATCGATCCCTCCAGAGCCCAGACGCTTGTCTCTCAGCTCAACTCAGTCAAAGAGCGTCTTGCTACAGTAGCAAACGGTCGAAATGTATGCATGCATGACACTCACACTTCCAACTCTAGAGTACCCTGGCTTACACATACATCAACCAGGTCCGACTTGTAGCTGTCTCAAAGCTCAAGCCTGCAAATGATATCCTAGCCCTTCACCAGGCTCCAGCCTCTCATACTCATTTTGGCGAGAACTATGCCCAAGAGCTGAGTCAAAAAGCGGCTCTTCTCCCCAAAACTGTTCAGTGGCACTTTATCGGTGGTCTCCAGTCGAGTAAGATCCCTGACTCATACTATCTCATCGCACCACCAACTAACGCATCTCTTTAGACCACTGTAAGACTCTTGGAAAGATTCCAAATCTCTTCTGCGTCTCAAGCATAGACACCTCCAAAAAGGCTCAACTTCTAAATACTACACGCACCAACCTTCTCTCTTCGGAACCCGAGCTTCCCAAAATTGGTGTCCACGTTCAGGTCAACACATCTGGTGAGGAGTCCAAGTCTGGCTGCGCCCCTGGTGAAGAAACCGTGGCTTTGTGCCGTGAGATCACCGAGACGTGCCCCAGTCTCCGTCTGCTTGGTCTCATGACTATCGGCGCCATTGCTCGGAGTAAGGCCACCACCGCCGAAACCGAGAATGAGGATTTTGTCACTTTGAAGGAGCAGCGAGATCTCGTGGCTAAGGAGCTCAACCTTGACCCAGAGAGCCTGGAGCTGAGCATGGGTATGAGCGAGGATTTTGAAGGTGCCGTCCGTCTAGGAAGTGGTGAAGTTCGTGTTGGTAGCACGATCTTCGGAGAGCGGCCTGCTAAGGCTGATGCCAAGATCAAAGAGTAACATAACAAAATAGCGTAAATTGAAAAAGATTCATATTGCCTATGCATAAACACCCATCTTCTAGGGCATACTCAATCACTGTCACCAATATGTTGTTTGCGTAGTACTTCATTCAATTTACAGCAATAGATCATGGTATATGACAATTACATCCTCCCTAATAATCACTCCCAGCGGCTTAGTCGCCTTGATCCTATTCAGGGGTTATACAGGGAGCGACAACGCAAGCAACTTCTTAGCCAGCAAAGCACCGGCTTCAATTGAGCGCTTCCTCCGGTTCTCATGCGAGTTCCCCAACGCCCATATGCTTCTTGGTATTAAGACAACTTCCTTTGGCGAATTATAGAACATAAACATCATACTCGCCCACTAGGTCACCATCACATTACGGAAAGAGTCCGAAATCTGTTCTCGTGATGGTGGCTCAAATCGTTCCGGCGCTGTCGAGATGCCTGCAGCAAGTCGTTCCTGCATGTACTTCAACAACACAGCAGGGACAGAATCATCTGTGGCACGAACGGTCAAGCGGATCATCTGCGAGGGGTTAGAATATACAATGCGATATAATGACACGAAGTGGCTTACCTGTTGTCCGTAGTTTGGCTCCAGTCTCATCAGACAGCCAAATTTACCCCCCTGGGATGTATGAAGCACGCTTGCGCCAACAACATTCTTTGGGTTGGGATCCACCATGTCTAGCACACGCCATCTAAATCCCTCTACTGTTTTCGTGACAAAGCTCTCTGTGAGCTGCCTGTCACCCTTGCCATTGACTCCGAAAATGGCTTGGGCCTCTCGAGGTGCACCACCAATCTGCTTCCACCTCTTGAAAAAGTCCTCAGCTGTAAGCTCTGCCGGGTCCATAAACTTGTGTATCGCCACAGGAAGCTTCAAAGTCAGTGCCTGAAGGGCACCAGCCAGGTAGCTGATGCGTACAGTAGGGCATTTCTCGAAGATCTTCTTTGCCTCGAACATAACAACTTGTTGAGATTGTCCACCTTGTACGATGGTGCTATCGGGAAGGTTTTTAACATCCCAAGTAAGATTGGTTTTCTCGTTCTCGTCCAAATCCAAGGTTGTAGTGAAAGAACTCATCGTTGCTGGTGTCTTGTTCTTGAAATAGGTGATCAAGCAAGCCATTTGGCCGCGGTATTCGGACCGAACGCCAATCTGCAGTTGACCATCCTCGTAGAGAACGCCATCCGACCGAACCAGCAGTTTATTAAACCCTTGCTCCCATCCTGGTGACAGATGAGCTGCGCTGGCCAGATTAGGGGCCTTAAGCATCTTGGGCTCGGTGGGCGAAGGTGCGTTGAGGTCCAGACCAGCCAGATCGGCAACGCCATTGCTGTGGCCGTTGACACCCGTTGCAGCCGCGGTCTGGCCGTTCGTTTTGCCGTTCAGTGGCATGTTGGAGCTGAAAGTCCTCTTAAGTGCCCCAGTTCCCATGCTAAGTTCCCTGGCATCGGCATTGGCGTCTTTTCCTCCCACCACCCAAGTCCTTCGGTCGCTCGTGTTTGCATGTTTCTGGTGTAATCTCGACAGGAGCGCAGATTGTCTTTCGGGAAAGGGTGGCATCTCATCGCAGACTGTTCGGAGAAGATCGTCCGTTGGCATGTTCACAAGAGTCAAGTATTCACAAGCTCTTTGCTGCAACTCCGAGTCCAGGTTGTGGCTGTGGAATTCGAACACGTGAACAAGCTGAGGCTTGATTTCAGGGAACAAGTTGACGTATTTGACGAAACATGACAGGATCATCGCGCGAGTGCTCGAAGAGCACGCCGTGAGTTTGCCCTGAAGGGCCATGAACTGTTCGATGGGACTGCAACGAGGTTGGTCGGCAACCAGATGACCGAATTCTCCGAGAATATAGGCACCGATCTTGACGAGGGTTTCATGACAGTGGTCACCCTTGACATACTGCAGCGCATTCTGGGCTGCATACACTTGCAGTTCCTCGTTGTTTGTCACGATCTGGGTAACTCGTTGCCAAACTTCATCACTGACATGGTCTCCGGCCATGGCAATAAGTCGCAAGGAGATGTCAACATACCACTGCACATCAGTAGCGTACTTTTCCGTAAGAATGGCGATTTTAAGGACCATCTCTTCTCGGATGGCAAAGTCGGCGTTCTGTAGATACTGCAGCAGCTCACCAACAATCACTTGGGCGTTAGTTGCATCACACATACTGTAGAGCAAATCCAGACCCTTGCGACGAACACTGATATCCCGGTCCTTAAGCGAACCAAGAATTATTTCTTGGTGTTGTTTGATGGGATCGAGTGTCTCGGCGCGTGCAGCCAGATGCGTCATGGCCTCCAGGCCCAGGTATCTGACATTAGTCTCTCGGCTCTGAATAAATTTGCCCAGCCTTGTGGAAATTTGCTTCATCAGACCATGCTCAGTGTCCAAGTGGATAATAAGGTTAATGGCTTCGAAGAGCACGGCGTTCTGGGCGTTATTTTGCTGCACGTTCTTATTGGTCTCCATAGCTAGATTGAGAATCTTCTGCAAGGATTCTCGAATCATGTCTCGAACATGAGTGTCCTCTGGGAATGGTGTTAGTGCTGCTTTCCATTCTTCGTCGCAATACCTCAACTTACCTGCAGGGGGAAAGTACTGCAGAAGTCTGAGCAACTTGATCTGTAGCCAAGGGCAGGGAACCTTGTAGTAGAGGTAGTCTGTTGTATATTCGCCATCGACAAGGATGCGCTTCAAACGGGCTGCTGCTTTAGCATATGCTCCTTTGTATTGTTCGAGATTGTCTTGGGCCAAGGTCATGACAAGAGATGTCACTGAAAGCGCAACACCAAGGTCAGAGTCGTCCATCAGATGAATAATACGCTCCGCCCATTGTGGCGATACGATGTCTGGGTGCTTGCGATATAGTCGGAGAAGTGTCAAGGCTGCCTTCTTCTTGACGAACGATTTGGAGGTCCTGTATATCAGCGGTCAGTATTTATCTCGCAGGACAGGGGGGCGCGAGCGCATACGGAGAAATCAGGAGCCTATGGACCTCTCCATTAAGAGCTTCACCCATTTCTCGGCTTCCCACGTTCGCAATCGCATGGAGGGCGAGACAGTTGAAGAGCTCGTTATGGTCGAGAAGATCCTTTCGAATACTGTTGACGACAAGATGCAAGAGCTCGTGTTTCTCGTGAAGGAACAGCGTCATGGCCAAATATCCGATCTGCTTCTCAGAGTATTTATTCGCCGAGATTAGATTGACGGCCTCGAGGTGGCCGAAGTCGACATTCCAACCCAGAATATAGATGTATAACAGCTTGCAGACATATTTCTTCTTGTGGTAACCGCTGAGGCTACCATCCTTGAACTTCTGTCGAATGTTGGCCAGTTCCTTATTAATTCGCTTCTCCTCGAGCTCGCGCGCTCTCGCATTTCTTAGATCAGCGATGAACTGGACCAAACCACGCATATTCGCATTGCTGCTACTCGAGCGGCCTAGAAAGCCGGATCCTGAGCTCGACATGATGGGCGATAGGGTGTTCAAGCGGTCGTGCGGACAGTTGTAGAGGACCCCTGATTATGGAAACAATACGGGGGTTAGTGGACTCGGATGAATGGTTCGGCGAGAGGTCTATAGACACGGTAGGTGATGTTGAAATATCTCCAAAACAGAGTGTAGTCGCGCTCTATCGCAAAGATCGCATAGTCGGCTCGAATTGTCCAGACGGCTCACGCGCCAGACATCGATTGTATGTCGATGTGATGGGAGATTGCTCGTTGGAGGGGCGAGCTAAGCAAAAGATGCGGTTGCGGGTGGTGGGTGGGTGGTTCTCTGCTCTGTGCGGTCTAATTGTTAACTTAGGAGTTGCGGAAGAGGCCCGTGGGCTAGGGAACGGATGAGTCGGGGACTGACAAGGGCTGTCACAGGCGAGAGGGTATTTATTGTACGTACTTCAGGCTGAAGAGATCACTGCAGCTGATACTCAAAAGACAAGAAGATGAGGCCTGTCGAGATTAATGAATTTGGTGCAAGAGGAAGTGTGTTCTTCTGTCATCCCATACTGAGGCCAATGGCTTCTAGCCTCTGAGAAGACTCCTGTCTCCTGCCTCCTACGGGTAGTTACCAAAACTTCCAAAAACGGTTTAGCCCGGTGGATTCACATATGGCCCGTGCATCATCCACTTTACACTGCAGCCAGTAGAGAGCTTCCATGGAGTCAAACAAATCCATCATGACTTCTATTGCATCAGCACTTTTGGCACCTCGTCTTTATATAAAGCTGAGACTCATCTTTCCTTTAAGGCTCGAGAGTCCTATTCAAGGTTTCTCACGCAATGTCATCATGTAGAATTCCGTCATTGGCCTTGCGCTGCAGTCAACCAGCTCTGTCGCGACCAGCCAACCTCTGTCGTCCCGTCGCAAATCAACGATTCTATGCTGTTCAAGCTGCTGGAGCTCCCCGTTTCCAGGTCTTCAATCGACGCACAAAATGGCTTCAGAAGGAGCGTGCAGGCATGAATGCGGAGGAAAGTCGCGAAACCGATTATCTCAAAGATGAGGTTGCCATTCGATTGTCAGAGCGGCTTCTGGTAAGTATACATATTTGAAAATATTGCATGTATCTAATTCAAGTCAGGATATCAAGCGTCACTTCCCTCGAGTGCTGGATCTGGGTGCAAACTCTTGCAATCTCGCGCGAGCGTTGGTTCGCGATAATCCTGATCCTGATCCCAATGCGGTTGAGTCGCCGCCACTATCAACGCATATTGACGAACTGGTTGCTGCTGATTCCTCGTATACACTCTTACATCGAGATGCCGATCATGAGTTCAATAAGAAACTCAAGATCACTCGGGAAGTTGTAGCTGATGAAGAGACAATTCCTTATGAACCCTCCTCATTCGACCTTGTCATGAGTTCGCTGAGTATTCATTGGATCAATGACCTACCTGGTATTCTCACCCAAATCAACCATGTCCTCAAGCCTGACTCGCCTTTCATTGGAGCTATGCTTGGAGGCGACACGCTCTTCGAGTTGCGAACATCGTTGCAACTAGCAGAATCAGAAAGACGAGGTGGCATGTCTCCTCGAGTTTCTCCTTTGGCTGATGTCAAAGACATTGGTGGTCTGCTCCAAAAGGCTGGCTTCAAGATGCTGACTGTTGACATTGATGATATCATTGTTGACTACCCTGATATGTTCGCTCTCATGCAAGACCTCCAGGCCATGGGAGAGGGCAATGCGGTCATTGGAAGAGAGATGGGTGCGATCCAACGAGATGTTCTTCTCGCTGGCGATGCCATCTATAGAGAACTTCACGGTAACCCAGATGGGACTATTCCTGCTACCTTCCGAGTTATTTACATGATCGGATGGAAGGAGGGTGAGAACCAACCACAGCCTCTAGCTAGGGGCAGTGGTGACATAAACTTGAAGGATGTCTTGGAACAAAAATAGGCTAGGCTGTTGATTTGTGTAATGTAAATAAAGTAACACCAATGCCGTGGTATACGCAGGAGTTTCTCCGCGACTTCTGGCTGAAGGTCATCGTGATTCTATGTGTTCTTGACCGCTCCTATGCACGCATCTGTCCTCTAGACCCTGCGCCAGTCTGTCATTGTTCGGCCGATGCATCCCAAACCAGCGACCTCAACAACCTTCTCATGCCAGCTCAGAAGCACGCTCATGGCGGCAGTTGCTGGTTCGTTCACACCGCCAGGTCGTCCTCCCATCTGGCTGAAGCCTCCTGTCGATTGGGGTGTAACCTTGTTCGGTGTTCGCGAAGCTGTTCCGGGGTGAACCGTAGCCATTCCCTTGTAACTTTATGTGGTGTTAGAAGGTCAAATTATCCACGTGCAGGAGTTGAGACCTACATATACTTCATCAGAACATCCAGACACTCGGGGCCTCCATCAGAACCGTAGATGCTCTTCAACAGGGGGGACATATCGCTGGCCTTGATCGACTGAAGAACCTCAATAATGGTGTGCAGATGCGCATCCTGTAAGCGTGTTCTCGTCAGTTCCACGTCTCCCTCGTGCTATCAAGCAGTACTCGTTCTCGAGGTCGTGTTGGCGTACCTTGGCAGCATCTGTTCCGTTGTAGACAGGAGTCTCCAAGCTTCCCCTCAAAGCTCCCTCAGCATCCCCTCCTCGCAGTAGCTGCCTGATCTGTCCAGAAAGCTGTCGCACTGCCGCCTCGTCGATCTCGGGCTGTGGGGGGTGGAGGGTGGAGGTGTCGAAGTTGACGCTGGAGTCCTCTTCCAGAGCGTCGATGTTAATAGTACGCCAGGCGTCGCCCAGAGTGGCGCTCGTGTGCTGTTGGATGATTGACATGTTGATCAACTTTTTGCTCAAGTCGAATTGTTCTGTTCGGGCGTTGTAGGCTTGTGTTGCTGTAACGGGCCTGTGATCGGTAGGAAGCTATATCGGTGTCGGCGTGGTTGGATATCCAAGCTGCGTCAGCGACGGCGGGGTGGAGGTGAGGCTGGGGTATGTGGCTTGAGTGACACGCTGGAGCTCTCACGTTACGTGGGTACATGAGCTCTTTGGTTTTTAGTGACTAAGATCTGGCTACAGTGGCTCTTATAGTGGTCTTTCACGCGCTATCATGTACTCTGCTATCTGGGCACGAATGAGTTTACATTGCGGAACAATAAGACTTTATGGTTTAATAATTCCATGGTAAAATCTAGTACCTTAGTAGATAGGTAGGTGTCCTTGATTTACTCTGTCGCTACACTGTCTTCTTACAGCTTATCAAGTAATGTAGCTGGTTCAGTTTTTTGTAACAGCAAAACGACAGTGCATGGACAACGAGTTCCAATCTCTTTTCTTGACACCCTAGGTGCTAATGCTTGTAACCTTCTAAATATCTTGATTAATGGGAAGTCATTAACTGCGCAATATGATATCAGGAACTATGCAAAAAAGTTCCTAATGGTCTATCCATGGAAGTGATCAATGTATCGTTGGATGCAGTTCCTACTGCAAGGCAGCTCGGCTACCCTAAACTTAAAGGCTTACAATGCGTTGCAGGATAGTATCATCCACCGGAGTGCCTTCCTCTCTCCGGGCACTTGCTGCATCTAAAGTATGAGCAGAGTACCTTCCTCTCTCCGGGCACTTGCTGCATCTAAAGTATGAGCAGAGTACCTTCCCTAACGAGGAAATAGGTAGATTGATAGCTGACTCTGGGATACTGTAGCCTTACTACTTATCCCATGTATTATTCGATTTCCTACCTTCCATTCTCTACGTGAACTCATGCAATTGACTCACCATACACCAAGCCATGCCTATGGATCATTCACCCGCCACCCGCTACATCAATCCATCGCAACGGCTGAAAAGGCCGCCTGGAGGTTATTTGGGAAACGCCGTGCCGTGTTGTCTTGAACCTCTTCCCCAGACTGAAATGTTGTCCCATCGAGTAAGGTTTTTTTAGGGGTCAGCTCTATCGAGTCAGCCTCTTCGGGCTCTGCATAGTACTATGCTCAGACGGCGACTAGACTATCACGACTCGTGGCTAATTACTGAATAACGCAGATCAGGGATGTGTTCAACAGCTATTACTGAGGCTGGGCGCGAGATACACAATCTCGATAGCGATCAGCCGGGAGCACGGCAGGCGGCCAGTAGTGGATCGCTGCTCCTCAACGCATTCGAAGCTTGACTCGTGGCTTGCTTGTCCTATCGACCGGGGAGCATACCCGGCATGAACGACACACACTCTAGAACAAATACTCTCACAGATCATCCTTCCAGAAGGTTGCCTACCTGGTCTGGAAAAGAGGCCTCTCCTGTCCCCACAGAAACAGTTCATGGGCATGAACCATGGAGCATGGCTCTTGGGACGAAATTTTTGGAAATTACGAGGCGACCCGGCACGGACGCGCTGCAATAGCGGAAGCGGTTCCCCGGCGACACGAATACTGGTACGTATAATTTCATCTCAAATTTGCAGAGACCAAAAAAGATATGAGGCTGGAAGACACTCATGAGATCAGGTCACATTAAGAACGTTTTGGTGTATTCTCAACAACTGACAGTCTGTTTGAACAGTTACCAGAAAGAAAGAAAAAAGCACACGAGTATGCCAAGCGAGAGCCAATATACACCGATCAAATGACGTCTCACGTTTTACTTCTGTCTTTGCAGGTACCCATAGCTGATCTGCGATACATTCGCTGAGGCTTCTAGAAGCAGAGAAGTAATTGTCCATGTCGCTAGGTATGGACCCAGCCCAACGCATTGCCAATCCGATAGGTGGATATCCAGCAGCCCCGCCAAACATGGTGCCAAGAAGGGTCCTCATCTTGTTCCTGGTACATACAAAGAGCCGCAACAGACAAAAAGTACGGATGATATGTCGTCCGTGACTAGCCAAACTAGCCCAGGAACCAAATGTCACTGGCTTGATTGACTGACCCTAACATGTCAGCCTGATCTACAAGCAGCTGCCCTGTTCAACAAAGCCGGCAGCGATAGTTTGATAAGTCAGATCAATAGCACGATTCTGGGTGGCATTAGCTGGTCCAGGCATACGATGTTGTTCTCGCATACGGTCAAGGACACACGTGTCAGTCTTCGCATCACTGTATTGACATTCCCACAAAATGATACCCGATGCAGGGTCCAGAGTCAGGGTTCTGTGGTGAATTGAGCAAAAGAACAAAGCAAAAAAGCCTCTCTGTGCTGAATGTTACAACGAGTAAAGAAGGCCCGAAGAGATTCTTGAAGAAAAAGTACAGTCTTCATGGCGCGATCACTCGTGGGTTGGGTTCTCATGCTAGTTGAGGAACGAAATATTGAAGATAACTAGACCCAGCTTTGGCTCTAATACCACATGGCAACTATTAATGACTTTCCAGTCTTGGCAAGTCACTCGTCAGCTAAGCTTCAGCAAGCGATGAGCGTCACATGACACAAAAAGGCATCGCGATCGCATCTGTCAGATGAAACTCCAGCGCGTTCTCTAAACCGATCGACTGGTATTGGCTCCAGACAGAGACCCTTACGGTGGATGCGACTGATGAGGAAGCGGATGAAGCTCAGAACGAACGACACCGACCCCTGTTTCAAGTGCGAATGGCGTTTGGAAATCGACTAATGCAGGAACGCCGAAGGTCTGCTGGGGCTTCTCTGCGGCACTACGGTCTGCGTAAAACGCCACAACGTGTGGGCTGCGCTAAGGCGGATGTGCAGCGACCTACCCCTGAACATGCAGGACGGAAGTTTGTTGGAAGTTCTGGCAGTTCATCCCAATCCATGAATTATCCCCACTTGATGGGTACTCCCAAATTGGGTTGACTCAAGTGGAGCTTAGACAGAGGAGGCATCTGCTCGTGAGGAGGACGGCACGCATGGCTAAACCTAGCTATACAGTGTTCTTTTGTCGCCCGTTCGAAGTTGGCACGGTCAGAAGTACCACGTCTGCATTGAGTCTTGTGTGGAGTTCTTTGCAAGCGGTTTGGCAGGCTTCTGGAAGCCTTCTACGAAGCCCCATCGGCCCGCTTTGACTTCAACCCATCACATCGCTACGGTAATCGAGGCGTGGGCATCCTGCAAGTCGTCACAAACGTGGCAGCAAACGAACAAATTTATGATCAGAAGCTCAAGGCTAACAACTCGGCGGCGCATCTGTTCCATGAGCGTTAAGCGTCGCACAAAGGCATCAAATGGCTGATGAACCGATGAATGTGCTCTCGGCGAATTATGGGATGTGGCATATCTCTCTACCTGCCACTCTAAGAGACGTTGGCCCAGTGTTAGGCGAGGCCGGCAAGACTTCCGTCGCATAAGATACACAAGGATGAAGCTTCTTGTGACGCCATGATTCCATGGCAGTCACTGACTTTACGACGTCTCAACTAGCAGCAGCTGAATATGAAACAGTTTTATCACATTGGCTCCAGACAGGCAACTTCGACGATTCGCATAAGACAGCAAGTATTAAGGATGCTCGATCTCAAAGAGAAACATTGTCCATATTTATGATCAGAATATCAACTGATCTAGGCACCGCTACAGCCGATGTGCACAGTCTGCTGTATGTCGGGCGTCGCCGTGCATGACCGGACAAGCGATGCTTAAGCTGCACCGGGTCCTTGGGATTTAAGACCATAAGCGGGGCGGCATTGTTCTGACAAGAGAAGCATCAACATGATCCCACCGAGGAACTCCCACGCGGCAGTTATGATACAAGGTGACATGGCCAACTGCTGCAACGGTACCCTTTCTTACCATTGCATGTCTGTCAGCTAACAGCCGCATTTAAGCTCGATATTCGCAGAAGCTCGGGTATCCGATATTCTCCAAAACGGAAGAGAGCTTCTAATACCTACTATACAATGGACGATATCTCGGTAAATGGTCTGTGTGAAACGCACCGATCCCAAATCAGACGGGCTTAACACCAAGCAAACAGTAGCTGTTCATGAGCAGCAGGCAGTTCAACAAGAGGACATAGGAAACATCACTCCGCGCCTATCACGGCAATCGTTTAAAATCGAGAGTAAACACAAGAGCAACTCTGCAAAGATTATGATACGACTTTGTATGTGGTATTCGGATGCAGCACAGGAATAACTGCATTAAGATATTTTTATCTTTCGAGATTGAAATCTATCATTGGATTTATTTGAGGCATCGGATCTACCCGAGAGCTTGAAAACCGAGAAGCTTCAGGTATTGACTAAATTAGCCATTTTGTCTATTTTAAGGCAAGGTTAATGAAGAAATAGCAGCAAGACGTCATTGTCACTTGTGGCATTGACATATTGCGATAAAGCGACAGAGCACCACATGGCCTTTCCAGTTAGAAATCATGCGCTATGAAAGGATGGCACAGGTGCGACACAGCTTCCTTTACGTGCTACTGGGCACAGTGGCGCGTTATGCTTACCGCGCTCTGACATTACATGATTCCATCCTGCAACGAGATGAGACAAGAGACGTATGGATGCTGAAGAATATTCCTACAGCATTCTGTTGATGACTGATTGTTCGGCACATACTATGATTGGTGTGACGAGGAGTCCTCATCGACGTGGAATCTGGTACGATTAAGCTTTCCAGCACCCAAACCCGGCAGATAAGTTTCTCAGAGTGCCAAATTTTACCAGACCAATGGGTATGTTGAGAAAAACGAGACAGAAGCTGGTTCAAGATGGGAAATCAAACAGACATGTCCCAAATGGGTGATTGCTGGAACAAGCAGACTGGGATAATATGGGTTGAGTTATGACCGACTGAGATTGAGAGCACCGAGAGAACGGCGGACCCCAGCCATGTCACAGAAGTGCCAGAAGAAACTGAATCGACGCTCGTACCGG